AGGGGCTGTAACATTGGTGGACCACCCGGTGGGTAGGGGGAGGGGCTGTAACATTAGTGGACCACCTCGGTGGGTAGGGGGAGGGGCTGTAACATTGGTGGACCACCTCGGTGGGGTGGGAAGGGTTACGTATGCTTCCTGCCCTGCTGCTTGACGTCAGCTGATTAGCTGAAGGTCAGGACCTGTCTGCAAGTTGTGCCTTACGTGGTGTAGACTGACGCCTTTACTGACGTCTTTATTTACCCCAGACCACTTTACGTTACGTGTGCTTCTTCTTGCTTGACGTACGTCATCTCGTCCTGACTGCCTGACGTACGTCATCTTCCTGTTGCTATGACGTCATTCGGTGTAATCTCTATACGTCATTAAACGCTGTGGCGGATTGAACAGCCGACTAAATGTTTCTTCATGGCCCGAGCAAGGGGGGGGGGGGGGGGGGGGTCATTAGCAGTCATGTCCAGTAAACAGCTCTCTACTAAATGTCATTTGGCACTTTTGTACAGTTCTCTACTAAAACCCACACCTCCCATAATGTCAGTTCCTACCAGCTAATGAACTACTCCCAGAACCCCCACCCCCACCCCCACACTCCACCCCCCCCCCACACACACACCTCCCCCCCACACACCTCCCATAATGGGCTCAGCTTGTCAATTCCTACCAGCTAATGAACTACTCCCAGAACCCCCCACCCCCACACTCCACCCCCCACCCCCCCCCCACACACACCTCCCCCCCACACACACCTCCCATAATGGGCTCAGCTTGTCATTTCCTACCAGCTAATGAACTACTCCCAGAACCCCCACCCCCCCCCCCCCCCCCCATAATGGGCTCAGCTTGTCATTTCCTACCAGATAATGAACTACTCCCAGAACCCACCCCCACACTCCACCCCCCCCCCCCCCCACACACACACCTCCCATAATGGGCTCAGCTTGTCATTTCCTACCAGCTAATGAACTACTTCTAGACTTGCATTATTTAAACTTTCTCTCTGATTATTTCAAGGCGAGCGTTGGGCGGGCTGTCTGACACAGATGTCTCTTTAAACTAGAATCATTAGACATGGGGCTCGGCATTTTACTACAGCTGCCCAAAACTGACAGCTGTCCGACAGCCCTACAACGGACAGCTGTCCGACAGCCTTACAACTGACAGCTGTCCGACATCCCTACAACTGACAGCTGTCCGACAGCCCTGCCCCCGGATGACGAGCGACCTAGCGGTGGTTGATGGAATCATTGATTAGCCCGAGTTGTATGCCAGGCCTGGGGAACACCTGTTGTGTCGGGTGGGGGGGTGTGTACCAGGATGTGCTAGTGGCAAGCAGCAGACCCATCCACCCTGCTCCATCCACCCTGCTCCATCCACCCTGCTCCATCCATCCTGCTCCACTCACCACACTGCTCCACTCACCAGCCCATCCACCCTGCTCCGCCTACCACCCTGCTCCATCCACCCCACTCCATCCACCACCCATCCTGCTCCATCCACCCTGCTCCACCCACCACCCCATCCACCATGCTCCACCCATCCACCCTGCTCCACCCATAAGCCCATCCACCCTGCTCCGCCCATAAGCCCATCCACCCTGCTCCGCCCATCCACCCTGCTCCACCACTAGCCCATCCACCCTGCTCCACCCACCAGACCACCCACCCTGCTCCACCCATAAGCCCATCCACCCTGCTCCACCCATAAGCCCATCCACCCTGCTCCACCCACCAGACCATCCACCCTGCTCCACCCATAAGCCCATCCACCCTGCTCCACCCATAAGCCCATCCACCCTGCTCCGCCCATCCACCCTGCTCCACCACTAGCCCATCCACCCTGCTCCACCCACCAGCCCATCCACCCTGCTCCACCCAACAGCCCATCCACCCTGCTCCACCCACCAGACCATCCACCCTGCTCCACCCATAAGCCCATCCACCCTGCTCCACCCAACAGCCCATCCACCCTGCTCCACCCATAAGCCCATCCACCCTGCTCCACCCACCAGCCCATCCACCCTGCTCCACCCATAAGCCCATCCACCCTACTCCACCCACCAGCCCATCCACACTGCTCCACCCACCAGCCCATCCACCCTACTGTGTATACACCTTCCCCCAGCTGGCAGCACGGATAACATTTGCCTGTGTTTGTTACACGCACAGTGTGGAAGGGAGGGGGGTGTGCTGGCTGGCTGTACCTCTTCACAGCACGCTGATATGGTCTGTTGACTTGCCATGGTCACACTGTTATCTACACAACCTGGGTCCACCTGTCTGTGTGGGTCTGTGTGGGTCCATGGTGGGTCTCTGTGGGTCCATGGTGGGTCTGTGTGGGTCCATGGTGGGTCTCTGTGGGTCCATGGTGGGTCTGTGTGGGTCCATGGTTCGTCTGTGGGGGTCCATGGTTGGTCTGTGTGGGCCCATGGTTGGTCTGTGTGGGCCCATGGTTGGTCTGTGTGGGTCCATGGTTGGTCTGTGTGGGTCCATGGTTGGTCTGTGTGGGTCCATGGTTGGTCTGTGTGGGTCCATGGTTGGTCTGTGTGGGTCTGTGGGGTCCATGGTTGGTCTGTGTGGGTCCATGGTTGGTCTGTGTGGGTCTGTGTGGGTCCATGGTTGGTCTGTGTGGGTCTGTGGGGTCCATGGTTGGTCTGTGTGGGCCCATGGTTGGTCTCTGTGGTCCATGGTTGGTCTGTGTGGGTCCATGGTTGGTCTGTGTGGGTCTGTGGGGTCCATGGTTGGTCTGTGTGGGTCCATGGTTGGTCTGTGTGGGCCCATGGTTGGTCTGTGTGGGTCCATGGTTGGTCTGTGTGGGCCCATGGTTGGTCTCTGTGGTCCATGGTTGGTCTGTGTGGGTCCATGGTTGGTCTGTGTGGGTCCATGGTTGGTCTGTGTGGGTCTGTGTGGGCCCATGGTTGGTCTGTGTGGGTCCATGGTTGGTCTGTGTGGGCCCATGGTTGGTCTGTGTGGGTCTGTGTGGGTCTGTGTGGGTCCATGGTTGGTCTGTGTGGTCCATGGTTGGTCTGTGTGGTCCATGGTTGGTCTGTGTGGGTCCATGGTTGGTCTGTGTGGGTCTGTGTGGGCCCATGGTTGGTCTGTGTGGGTCCATGGTTGGTCTGTGTGGGCCCATGGTTGGTCTGTGTGGGCCCATGGTTGGTCTGTGTGGGTCCATGGTTGGTCTGTGTGGGTCCATGGTGGGTCTGTGTGGGCCCATGGTTGGTCTCTGTGGTCCATGGTTGGTCTGTGTGGGTCCATGGTTGGTCTGTGTGGGCCCATGGTTGGTGTCTGTGGTCCATGGTTGGTCTGTGTGGGTCTGTGGGGTCCATGGTTGGTCTGTGTGGGTCCATGGTTGGTCTGTGTGGGCCCATGGTTGGTCTGTGTGGGTCCATGGTTGGTCTGTGTGGGCCCATGGTTGGTCTCTGTGGTCCATGGTTGGTCTGTGTGGGTCCATGGTTGGTCTGTGTGGGTCCATGGTTGGTCTGTGTGGGTCTGTGTGGGCCCATGGTTGGTCTGTGTGGGTCCATGGTTGGTCTGTGTGGGCCCATGGTTGGTCTGTGTGGGTCTGTGTGGGTCTGTGTGGGTCCATGGTTGGTCTGTGTGGTCCATGGTTGGTCTGTTTGGTCCATGGTTGGTCTGTGTGGGTCCATGGTTGGTCTGTGTGGGTCTGTGTGGGCCCATGGTTGGTCTGTGTGGGTCCATGGTTGGTCTGTGTGGGCCCATGGTTGGTCTGTGTGGGTCCATGGTTGGTCTGTGTGGGTCCATGGTGGGTCTGTGTGGGCCCATGGTTGGTCTCTGTGGTCCATGGTTGGTCTGTGTGGGTCCATGGTTGGTCTGTGTGGGCCCATGGTTGGTCTCTGTGGTCCATGGTTGGTCTGTGTGGGTCTGTGTGGGTCCATGGTTGGTCTGTGTGGGTCTGTGTGGGTCCATGGTTGGTCTGTGTGGGCCCATGGTTGGTCTGTGTGGGTCTGTGTGGGTCCATGGTTGGTCTGTGTGGGTCTGTGTGGGCCCATGGTTGGTCTGTGTGGGTCTGTGTGGGCCCATGGTTGGTCTCTGTGGGCCCATGGTTGGTCTGTGTGGGCCCATGGTTGGTCTGTGTGGGTCTGTGTGGGTCCATGGTTGGTCTGTGTGGGTCTGTGTGGGTCCATGGTTGGTCTGTGTGGGTCCATGGTTGGTCTGTGTGGGCCCATGGTTGGTCTGTATGGTCCATGGTTGGTCTGTGTGGGTCCATGGTGGGTCTCTGTGGGTCCATGGTTGGTCTGTGTGGGCCCATGGTTGGTCTGTGTGGGTCTGTGTGGTCCATGGTTGGTCTGTGTGGTCCATGGTTGGTCTGTGTGGGCCCATGGTTGGTCTCTGTGGTCCATGGTTGGTCTCTGTGGTCCATGGTTGGTCTGTGTGGTCCATGGTTGGTCTGTGTGGGTCCATGGTTGGTCTCTGTGGTCCATGGTTGGTCTGTGTGGGCCCATGGTTGGTCTGTGTGGGCCCATGGTTTACCACTACATCTCACCAGTTTACCACTGTATGTGACACCAGTTTACCACTGTACATCTCACCAGTTTACTACTGTACATGTCACCAGTTTACCACTGTACATCTCACCAGTTTACCACTGTACATCTCACCAGTTTACCACTGTACATCTCACCAGTTTACTACTGTACATGTCACCAGTTTACCACTGTACATGTCACCAGTTTATCACTGTACATCTCACCAGTTTACCACTGTACATCTCACCAGTTTACCACTATACATCTCACCAGTTTACTACTGTACATGTCACCAGTTTACCACTGTACATGTCACCAGTTTACCACTGTACATCTCACCAGTTTACCACTGTACATGTCACCAGTTTACCACTGTACATGTCACCAGTTTACCACTGTACATCTCACCAGTTTACCACTGTACATGTCACCAGTTTACCACTGTACATCTCACCAGTTTACCACTGTACATCTCACCAGTTTACAACTGTACATGTCTGTGTTTGTTCACCAGGTGTGACCTGCCGTGAACATGCCCCAATAATGGCGCAGGAACAGATCTATTCTCTGATTGATGACGATGACTCTCATCTGATGTCAAGGAGATGATGCCCTGCCCACCTTACTCATCCCCGGGTAGCTATGGTGGGCATCAGAGATACCCTCAACAGACTTTCTTGTAAGTTTCCTCATTCCCCTCCTCCCCTTCCCTGCCCACCTTACTCATCCCCGGGTAGCTATGGTGGGCATCAGAGATACCCTCAACAGACTTTCTTGTAAGTTTCCTCATTCCCCTCCTCCCCTTCCCTGCCCCACCTTACTCATCCCCGGGTAGCTATGGTGGGCATCAGAGATACCCTCAACAGACTTTCTTGTAAGTTTCCTCATTCCCCTCCTCCCCTTCCCTGCCCACCTTACTCATCCCCGGGTAGCTATGGGTGGGCATCAGAGATACCCTCAACAGACTTTCTTGTAAGTTTCCTCATTCCCCTCCTCCCCCTCCCTGCCCACCTTACTCATCCCCGGGTAGCTATGGTGGGCATCAGAGATACCCTCAACAGACTTTCTTGTAAGTTTCCTCATTCCCCCTCCTCCCCCTTCCCTGCCCACCTTACTCATCCCCCGGGTAGCTATGGTGGGCATCAGAGATACCCTCAACAGACTTTCTTGTAAGTTTCCTCATTCCCCTCCTCCCCTTCCCTGCCCACCTTACTCATCCCCGGGTAGCTATGGTGGGCATCAGAGATACCCTCAACAGACTTTCTTGTAAGTTTCCTCATTCACCTCCTCCCCTTCCCTGCCCCACCTTACTCATCCCCGGGTAGCTATGGTGGGCATCAGAGATACCCTCAACAGACTTTCTTGTAAGTTTCCTCATTCCCCTCCTCCCCCTCCCTGCCCACCTTACTCATCCCCGGGTAGCTATGGTGGGCATCAGAGATACCCTCAACAGACATTCTTGTAAGTTTCCTCATTCCCCTCCTCCCCCTCCCCACATTTCTGTTATTGTTCATCCATTAACTCCCAGTTTTCTGCAGCAGTTCATTTATTGCTATCTGATATTGTCCTCTACCTGATACTGTCCTCTACCTGGGCTACAGGACATTACCCCCTGACATCCCCCCCCCCCCCCCCCACTCAAGTTAGAATCCTAACTCTAACTCAAATTCTTTAACCTACATATTTTTTACCTAATCCTAACTTTAAGAAAAAGACCAAAAACCTAAGCATCCACCGCAGACTAAAACTTAACACACAAGAAAATTGATGCTAGACACTGTCTTAAAACCTAGCCCTAACCCTAGCTCTAACTCTAGCCATAGCTATAGCCATAACACTAACCCTAGCCCTAACTCTAGCCATAGCTATAGCCATAACCCTAACCCTATCCCTAACTCTAACGCTATCCCTAACTCTAACCCTATCCCTAAACCAAGCCCTAACCCTAGCTGTACTTTAAGCATTGTGGGGGGGGGGGGGGGGTAATGCCCTGTTCCCCTCTACCTGATACTGTCCTCCATTTCAAATATGTGATAAGATGTGTTTTTATGAAATATAATATACGAGCCGGCCCGCGGCATAACATACGCCGCTATTTAGTTGTTTCTAATTTTCAATAATTCATAATTTGTGAATTCGACAGTACCAACGCTGACACTGAAAATATTTCTTTAAAACACTATAAGTAGCTCGTTAAGGACCATAACCCCCCCCCCCTTCCTTCCTCCCCCCCCCCCCCCCCCCCCCCCCACGTTTAAAATCGTTGGCTCTGCTTGTAAACATTTAGAGTGAACACAGCTCACTAAAAACCATGTAGGGGTGGGGAGGTAGGGAGAGCGTTCGCAGCTTGTTTTCTAACGGCTCGAAGAAGAGAATTATATATATAGATTATATTATTATATATCATGTATCTTGAGATGAAGGGTTGGTGTGGTCAGCACTATGCCACATGGAGGGTTGGTGTGGTCAGCACTATGCCACATGGAGGGTTGGTGTGGTCAGCACTATGCCACATGGAGGGTTGGTGTGGTCAGCACTATGCCACATAGAGGGTTGGTGTGGTCAGCACTATGCCACATGAAGGGTTGGTGTGGTCAGCACTATTCCCATCTGCCTCTACTTTCCCTAATGTTAGCCAGGTACCATCACAGCTAGGTGGACTCTCCAGCAATGATATCCAGCAGTCATGTCCTAACCCATATCTAAACTCAAAACTTTCTGGTTAGCACTCAGTTACTCTACTACACTCTGTCCCATTGTGTTATCAAATATTATATTCAAGTTTGTTATAAACTAAGTATTTGTTTATGTTTTTATCAAATGTGTGATCACATTTTAAAATCAAATATGTAACTAGAGGAGTGTTTGATTAAATATTTGATTGAATGTGTTTTGATTAAATATTGATTGAATGTTTTTTGATCAAATGACTTAATTCGTGTATATCAGATGTGGTTGTGTGTGATTTAGGCTCCTGTAGGCCTAGAAAAGGATCAAGTCTATTATTAGTATCCTTTTCTTTGTCAGCCTAATGTCACCAAATTGACGATGAGAAAATTTGATTAAGTTAACATCACAAGATGACATCTCATTACCGTCAGCGTGAGGGGCAACAGCTGGCTCAGGCTGGCTGATCAACAAATCCAATCCCTGGTCTACCAAAATATCTAGTGGAAATATCAGCTGCTCACACTATGTCTAGTAGAAACATCAGCTGCTCACACTATGTCTAGTAGAACTCAAGATGGTTGACTTATGCATCTTTTCTTTCCAGTGATGATCAGATCAAGGTGGAGCGTGTCAGTTTTCTAGAGGGAGGCAACTGCAGCGGTCAGTCGCAGCCAGCAAATGTGTCCCAGCAACAGCTCAGCGTGCAGCACTCCATCCATCAAGCACAGGGAGGTCAGTGAGCTGACCTACGCTCAGGCCATCCTCAAACAGGCCTCCAAGCTGACCAACTCAGGCGACCTTGACCGCTCCAGTGTCCTGAGGCTGGCCAAGGCTTACGTCACCCTGCAGCATGGTAGGTCTCACCCACAGGTTAGGTCTCACACCCACAGGTTAGGTCTCACACCCACAGGTTAGGTCTCACACCCACAGGTTAGGTGGTTAGGTCTCACACCCACAGGGTAGGTGGTTAGGTCTCACACCCACAGGTCTCACACCCACAGGTTAGGTCTCACACCCACAGGTTAGGTGGTTAGGTCTCACACCCCACAGGTTAGGTGGTTAGGTCTCACACCCACAGGTTAGGTCTCACACCCACAGGTTAGGTCTCACACCCACAGGTTAGGTGGTTAGGTCTCACACCCACAGGGTAGGTGGTTAGGTCTCACACCCACAGGTTAGGTCTCACACCCACAGGTTAGGTGGTTAGTCTCACACCCACAGGTTAGGTCTCACACCCACAGGTTAGGTCTCACACCCACATGTTAGGTGGTTAGGTCTCACACCCACAGGTTAGGTGGTTAGGTCTCACACCCACAGGTTAGGTGGTTAGGTCTCACACCCCACAGGTTAGGTCTCACACCCACAGGTTAGGTCTCACACCCCACATGTTAGCTGGTTAGGTCTCACACCCACAGGTTAGGTGGTTAGGTCTCACACCCACAGGTTAGGTCTCACACCCACAGGTTAGGTCATTAGGCCTCACACCCACAGGTTAGGTGGTTAGGTCTCACACCCACAGGTTAGGTGGTTAGGTCTCACACCCACAGGTTAGGTGGTTAGGTCTCACACCCACAGGTTAGGTGGTTAGGTCTCACATCCACAGGTTAGGTGGTTAGGTCTCACACCCACAGGGTAGGTGGTTAGGTCTCACACCCACAGGTTAGGTGGTTAGGTCTCACATCCAATGATCCACAGGTTAGGTCTTACATCCACTGGTTAGGTCTCACATCCACAGGTTTAGCTCCAGTGTATTATAGTATTAGTATTATACTGGGTTGTAGTATAGAATAGTATGAAGTGCTAAATTAATGAATCTGCTGCCTGTAATTATATTCATGTCCGTTCTTCAAGTTAACATCATACAAACGTGGCAGTCTTTTGTCCCATGTGCATCTATTTTCCCTGTAAGATCCAATGTGTATCTATTATCCCTATAAGGTCCCATGTGTATCTATTATCCCTGTAAGGTCCCATGTGTATCTATTTTCCCTGTAAGATCCTTTGCTTCTATTTTCCCTGTAAGATCCTTTGCTTCTATTTTCCCTGTGAGATCCTTTGCTTCTATTTTCCCTGTAAGATCCTTTGCTTCTATTTTCCCTGTAAGATCCTTTGCTTCTATTTTCCCTGTAAGATCCTTTGCTTCTGTTTTCCCTGTAAGATCCTTTGCTTCTATTTTCACTGTAAGATCCCATGTGCATCTATTTTCCCTGTAAAATCCCGTGTGCATCTATTTTCCCTGTAAAATCCCATGTGCATCTATTTTCCCTGTAATATCCCATGTGTATCTATTATCTCTGTAATATCCCATGTGCATCTATTTTCCCTGTAATATCCCATGTGCATCTATTTTCCCTGTAATATCCCATGTGTATCTATTTTCCCTGTAAAATCCCATGTGCATCTATTTTCCCTGTTCTATCCCACAGGTCTGCAGTGCTGGGAGAACTTTGGCCATCAGAGCAAATGGTGGCCAGACTACCTGGACGGTGGCCGACTTACACTTGCTGCTCAGGAGGTATTCAGTGGGGTGGGGGGGGGGGTGTGGTTGGAGGGAACATATCTTTTAGTTAAGCCAATTGTTCCACGTAGTGTTGTAGTGTAACATAGTATTATGTTTTCAATTGTTTGTGCAGACGATGAACTGTTTTGTGCTGATCATGTAAAATTGTTTGTGCAGACAATGAACTGTTTTGTGCTGATCATGTAAAATTGTGCAGACAATGAACTGTTTTGTGCTGATCATGTAAAATTGTTTGTGCAGACAATGAACTGTTTTGTGCTGATCATGTAAAATTGTGCAGACAATGAACTGTTTTGTGCTGATCATGTAAATTTGTTTGTGCAGACAATGAACTGTTTTGTGCTGATCATGTAAAATTGTGCAGACAATGAACTGTTTTGTGCTGATCATGTAAAATTGTGCAGACAATGAACTGTTTTGTGCTGATCATGTAAAATTGTGCAGACAATGAACTGTTTTGTGCTGATCATGTAAAATTGTGCAGACAATGAACTGTTTTGTGCTGATCATGTAAAATTGTGCAGACAATGAACTGTTTTGTGCTGATCATGTAAAATTGTGCAGACAATGAACTGTTTTGTGCTGATCATGTAAAATTGTTTGTGCAGACGATGAACTGTTTTGTGCTGATCATGACGTCCCGTGGGAATGTTGTCTACATCTCTGATGCTGTGGAGGCTCTGCTGGGACATGACCAGGTCAGTTACCCGCCCCACTCCCCACACAACTTACATGACCAGGTCAGTTACCCGCCCCACTCCCCACACAACTTACATGACCAGGTCAGTTACCCGCCCCACTCCCCGCCCCACTCCCCACACAACTTACATGACCAGGTCAGTTACCCGCCCCACTCCCCACACAACTTACATGACCAGGTCAGTTACCCGCCCCACTCCCCGCCCCACTCCCCGCCCCACTCCCCACACAACTTACATGACCAGGTCAGTTACCCGCCCCACTCCCCACACAACTTACATGACCAGGTCAGTTACCCGCCCCACTCCCCACACAACTTACATGACCAGGTCAGTTACCCGCCCCACTCCCCACACAACTTACATGACCAGGTCAGTTACCCGCCCCACTCCCCACACAACTTACATGACCAGGTCAGTTAAATTTAGTTGGACGCTCCATAGATACACTGGTCCACCCAGTAAATTTATGTTAATTTATTCCCAGTTAAATTTAGTTGGACGCTCCATAGATACACTGGTCCACCCAGTAAATTTATGTTAATTTATTCCCAGTTAAATTTGGTTGGACGCTCCATAGATACACTGGTCCACCCAGTAAATTTATGTTAATTTATTCCCAGTTAAATTTGGTTGGACGCTCCATAGATACATTGGTCCACCCAGTAAATTTATGTTAATTTATTCCCAGTTAAATTTGGTTGGACGCTCTATAGATACACTGGTCCACCCAGTAAATTTATGTTAATTTATTCCCAGTTAAATTTGGTTGGACGCTCCATAGATACATTGGTCCACCCTGATGAAATTCCTGTACTGGAGGCACAGTTTCCCATGATGATTAGTTCAAGTAAGTGTATAGTGGTCAGGTGGTCATAGCCACACAGCCACTGGTCATAGCCACACAGCCACTGGTCATAGCCACACAGCCACTGGTCATAGCCACACAGCCACTGGTCATAGCCACACAGCCACTGGTCATAGCCACACAGCCACTGGTCATAGCCACACAGCCACTGGTCATAGCCACACAGCCACTGGTCATAGCCACACAGCCACTGGTCATAGCCACACAGCCACTGGTCATAGCCACACAGCCACTGGTCATAGCCACACAGCCACTGGTCATAGCCACACAACCACTGGTCATAGCCACACAACCACTGGTCATAGCCACACAACCACTGGTCATAGCCACACAACCACTGGTCATAGCCACACAACCACTGGTCATAGCCACACAACCACTGGTCATAGCCACACAACCACTGGTCATAGCCACACAACCACTGGTCAGTAGCTCTAGCAAATGATTCTAGTCAGCTGAGTTTTATTTGAGGTTTTATCTTGTGACCTAAGCCTGAGATCCATCAGTTGAATCCTCTATGCCTAGTGTATGAGTATAAAGCTATTGTTTTTTAACCGTGGAAATAAAACACAAACTGGTGCATAATGTGATCATGTTTTTCACAGCAGGTCGACCTACCCTCCAGAGGTCTTTCTACATCAGGATGTTGAATGCCAGAAGGTCAGGGCCACAGCACCAGAAGTTTGAACTAGTTCACATGGTGGGACATGTGCAGGACGTCTCACTGGCCACTGGTCAGCCTGGTCAAGGTGAGGGTCAATGGGGGGGCTGGTCAAGGTGAGGGTCAATGGGGGGGGCGGGCTGGTGAAGGTCAGTGGAGGGCTGGTCAAGGTGAGGGGGGGGGGGGGTGCTAGTCAAGGTGAGGGTCAGTGGGGGCTGGTCGAGGTGAGGGTCAATGGGGGGGGGGGGGGGGCTGGTCGAGGTGAGGGTCAGTGGAGGGGCTGGTCAAGGTGAGGGTCAATGGGGTGGAGGGGCTGGTCAATGGGGGGGGGGGGCTGGTGAAGGTCAGTGGAGGGCTGGTGAAGGTGAGGGTCAGAGGAGGGATGGTCAAGGTGAGGTTCAGTGGAGGGGCTGGTCAAGGTGAGGGTCAGTGGGGGCTGGTCAAGGTGAGGGTCAGTGGGGGGGGGGGGGGGGGGGGGGGGCTGGTCAAGGTGAAGGTCAGTGGAGGTCTGGTCAAGGTGAGGGGGTGGGTGCTAGTCAAGGTGAGGGTCAGAGGAGGGATGGTCAAGGGGAGGGTCAGTGGAGGGCTGGTCAAGGGGAGGGTCAGTGGAGGGGCTGGTCAAGGTAATGATAGCTGCCGAAAACAATGATATTGTGATTACGTTTAACGTTTCATGGTCATTTCAGAAATATATACTTAAAATTGTTATTTTTGAGTATTATTCAACTATACCGGTCTAGTTTTAACAATGGTCGAGTAGTGTTTGATGCAAACTTGCCTGCAGCTAGCCATAAAGTTGACTTGACCCCTGACTTCTCCCACCCTGTCAGGTCAGAGAGAAACCTGGCTGATGTGTGCCTGTCGTGTCATGAGCCCTGTCATAGAGAAGGAAGGCAGTAGCGCCCCCTACACAGAGTGGGTCTCACACAACGCCTTGGACGGAAAAATTATTTACATGGATGCCAGGTTAGAACTCCATTTAATATCTACATTAGAATCAGAAAATTAGGGCAATAAATATCTAACTCTCCCCTCAACCCAAACATTTGTATAACTTAACAAGAGTAAATTTCAGAAAGTTTGGCAGCTAAAGAATCAATGACCATGTATTTTTACATTTATTAGCTCTTACTTCATGTCAAAAATATGTAGGGTTTTAAAAGTATACTTTGACTTGTTAGCCACAGATATTTTCCTAGTAGGTCTTCATGTCCAGTTTGTCTGTCAGGCTAATTATTGGCTCGTTACTATTTTTTTTCAGGTCATGTCAAATAACTGGCTATCTCCCTAACGAGGTTGTAGGTCAGTCGACCTACTGCTTCATTCATCAAGATGACCAGGAACATGTAGCGTTTAGTCACAACCAAGGTACAGTCAGAGCTCATCTATTTTAGGTCAATGAGCTTTAATCAACATAAAACTTAATCAGTTGGAAGCTTTAAATAACTTGACAGCTTTAATTAAATAAAATGTGTTTGGTTTTAATTTACATAAATTTATTGGCAAGCTTAAATTGACTTACTTAAATTTGTAGGCCAGCTTTGATTAATTAAATTTGTTTACCAGCTTTGACTAAATTAAAATTTGTTGGATACTTTAATTAATGTAATTAAAATTGTTTACCAGCTTTGACTAAATTAAAATTTGTTGGATACTTTAATTAATGTAATTAAAATTGTTTACCAGCTTTGACTAAATTAAAATTTGTTGGATACTTTAATTAATGTAATTAAATTTGTTGACCAGCTTCAATTAACATAATTAAGTTTGTTGAGCAGCTAATAATTAGCTAAATTAAATTTGTTGGATAGCTTTAATTACCATAATTAACTTTGTTGAGCAGCTTTAATCAATGTGGGCGGGTCCAGCTGTACGTACAGGATGTACCGGCGCAGCAACGACCTGGTGTATGTCCACACCACCACACAACTGGCCAGAGACAAGCACAGCAACAAACCTAAGTTTCTCTTTTGTATCAACCACATTGTTGAGTGAGTAGCCTCTTAATGGTAGTTGAGGAATGGATGAATTTGTTGCATTAGCTCACCTGTCACCTTGTGTTACTTAGCTCACCTGTCACCTTGTGTTACTTAGCTCACCTGTCACCTTGTTGTATTGCTTAGCTCACCTGTCACCTTGTCATTACTTAGCTCACCTGTCACCTTGTTGTATTGCTTAGCTCACCTGTCACCTGGTCATTACTTAGCTCACCTGTCACCTTGTGTTACTTAGCTCACCTGTCACCTTGTATTACTTAGCTCACCTGTCACCTTGTTGTATTGCTTAGCTCACCTGTCACCTGGTCATTACTTAGCTCACCTGTCACCTTGTGTTACTTAGCTCACCTGTCACCTTGTGTTACTTAGCTCACCTGTTACCTTGTTGTATTGCTTAGCTCACCTGTCACCTGGTCATTACTTAGCTCACCTGTCACCTTGTGTTACTTAGCTCACCTGTCACCTTGTGTTACTTAGCTCACCTGTCACCTTGTGTTACTTAGCTCACCTGTCACCTTGTTTTACTTAGCTCACCTGTCACCTTGTATTACTTAGCTCACCTGTTACCTTGTGTTACTTAGCTCACCTGTCACCTTGTGTTACTTAGCTCACCTGTTACCTTGTATTACTTAGCTCACCTGTCACCTTATTACTTAGCTCACCTGTCACCTTGTGTTACTTAGCTCACCTGTCACCTTGTGTTACTTAGCTCACCTGTTACCTTGTGTTACTTAGCTCACCTGTCACCTTGTGTTACTTAGCTCACCTGTCACCTTGTGTTACTTAGCTCACCTGTTACCTTGTTGTATTGCTTAGCTCACCTGTCACCTGGTCATTACTTAGCTCACCTGTCACCTTGTATTACTTAGCTCACCTGTCACCTTGTGTTACTTAGCTCACCTGTCACCTTGTGTTACTTAGCTCACCTGTCACCTTGTGTTACTTAGCTCACCTGTCACCTTGTATTACTTAGCTCACCTGTCACCTTGTATTACTTAGCTCACCTGTTACCTTGTGTTACTTAGCTCACCTGTTACCTTGTATTACTTAGCTCACCTGTTACCTTGTGTTACTTAGCTCACCTGTCACCTTATTACTTAGCTCACCTGTCACCTTGTGTTACTTAGCTCACCTGTCACCTTGTGTTACTTAGCTCACCTGTCACCTTGTTACTTAGCTCACCTGTCACCTTGTATTACTTAGCTCACCTGTCACCTTGTGTTACTTAGCTCACCTGTCACCTTGTATTCCAGTGAGCAGGAAGGGAAGCTGCAGGTGTCGCGCCACCAGCAGGAGCTGATGTGGGAGAAGTCTGACCCCTCCATCAAGTACAGCATGACAGACATTGAGAGGACCGTCAAAGCTCTAGAGGTGGAGGGGGTCAACTCCCCCCCACTGGTCTCCAAGGGCGGCATGAAGATGAGCAAGTTGACTGACAGCTGTGCTGCAGATGGGGGGGACCTGCTGAGCATCCACATCCCCGCCATGATGCGCTACCCCCCACTGGTTGTAAAGTCAGAGAAAGATGAAAGCTTTGACCTGTGCCAAAGGGGGGTCCAGCAGAGGGGCGGGTACCCCCAGTACCAGCATGCGTCCCTGGCCTCACCCCCAGACTACAGACAGCAGCAGGTGTACAGCAGGCAGGGCTACGGCTCCCACCGCCCCCACTACCAGCAGCAGATGTCCCTGCCCAACGCCATGTGTCACAGCATGATCTCCAGTGGCAGCGAGGTCACCAGCCCAGCCACCAGCACTGGCTCCTTCGTGGACTATCTGTACGACAACTCTGCTTCACCCTCTGTACCAGCTGATGTCTTCAATGTTGATGACCTGTTGAGCCCAGCTATGCCCTCGGTGGGGCGGGCACGTGGAAGGGGCAGAACTCGCGGTAGACCTAGAGGAAGTGGACGAGGAGGGAGAGGTGTGACTAGAGGGGTGCGGGGAACACGAGGCCCCCGGGGCAGCCGAGGAAGTAGGGCACGTGGACGTGGGGCCAGCTCCCAGCTGAGTGAGGTGATGGGGGCCATCAAGAAATCTGAGAGCATGGTGTCCTGTGGCAGCATGTCCCCCATATCCCGCAGCAACATGTCCCCACGCAGTAACATGTCCCCCATGGGCAGTGAGCACATGTTCCCCAGCCCCAGCTCCACCCTAGGGCTCCAAAGATCAGGATCTCTGACCAGTAGTGGCCAAGGTCTCCAGCCTGATGATGTCACCTCTACTGGCCTCCAGAGGATGATGTCAGATGACATGTTCCAGAGGATGACGTCGCTAGATGGCATTGACATGCTGGACACCAGCAGCCCCAGTGAGGAGCTAATGTCCCCGCGCTCCTGGGGCCAAGAGAGGGCCCCCAGTGCACAGGTGTCCCCCTACAGGAGCATGCAGAGAGAGCACGTGCCAGAGAAGCGGGTGGGGAGGCCCAGGGGGAGCGGCAAGAACCAGGACAGACAACTCCACCATTGCGCCCAGTCCATGGACGACCCCTCCATGAACCTGGCTGGGTTTGGCTCCAACACCCCCATGTACGGCCATGAGTCCAGCTACCCCGGCCACCCCAGGTACCAGAGCGGCCATGGAGGCCGGGGAGGCAACGTCAGCTCCACCTACCAGCCCAGCGGTGGCCGGGACCAGGATGACTTCCAAAGGTCAGAGGGTCACATGACCGCAGACACGCAGGATCCAGAACATTCCATTTTGGGAAACTTGCTCAAGGGGAGAGGTGGGTCAAGTGGTGTTAAGTCACCTGACCACATGGTGCTGGGGCGGGGCCACTCCCTGGACAAGGGGAGGTCACCAGGCAGCCTGTCAGCCAGGTCTCCAGCTCACTCCGTCATGTCAGACACCGCCTCGCCCGTCTTCTCCCCAGATCCCTGCCACTCACTGCCATCTGTCATTAAAGGTAACCCCCTTGTCTCTGTCATGTCTTAAAATGTTCTAATATTTTCATTGGTCAAAATACAAACGCTTGTTACAATAAAACTGGCAAAAACTTGAGTAGCTAAGGTCACTCCTAATTTGTCAGTAACTCAACAAACATTGCTGGCTGCTGTAATGCTGCTCAAACTTTCAGTGGTGCAAATAAAATTGCAAATACGCTGTTGTTTTGTTTAAATTGTGTCAAGTTGCTGTTGTTTTATTTTGTTTAAATTGTGTCAAGTTGCTGTTGTTTTATTTTGTTTAAATTTTGTCATGTTGCTGTTGTTTTGTTTAAATTGTGTCAAGTTGCTGTTGTTTTGTTAGGTTTAAATTGTGTCAAGTTGCTGTTATTTTGTTTAAATTGTGTCAAGTTGCTGTTGTTTTGTTTAAATTGTGTCAAGTTGCTGATGTTTTGTTAGGTTTAAATTGTGTCAAGTTGCTGTTGTTTTGTTTAAATTGTGTGAAGTTCCTGTTATTTTGTTTAAATTGTGTCAAGTTGCTGTTATTTTGTTTAAATTGTGTCAAGTTGCTGTTGTTTTGTTTAAATTGTGTCAAGTTGCTGTTGTTTTGTTTAAATTGTGTCAAGTTGCTGTTGTTTTGTTTAAATTGTGTCAAGTTGCTGTTGTTTTGTTTAAATTGTGTCAAGTTGCTGTTGTTTTGTTAGGTTTAAATTGTGTCAAGTTGCTGTTGTTTTATTTAAATTGTGTCAAGTTGCTGTTGTTTTGTTTAAATTGTGTCAAGTTGCTGTTGTTTTGTTAGGTTTAAATTGTGTCAAGTTGCTGTTGTTTTGTTTAAATTGTGTCAAGTTGCTGTTGTTTTATTTTGTTTAAATTGTGTCAAGTTGCTGTTGTTTTGTTTAAATTGTGTGAAGTTGCTGTTATTTTGTTTAAATTGTGTGAAGTTGCTGTTATTTTGTTTAAATTGTGACAAGTTGCTGTTGTTTTGTTTAAATTGTGTCAAGTTGCTGTTATTTTGTTTAAATTGTGTCAAGTTGCTGTTGTTTTGTTTAAATTGTGTCAAGTTGCTGTTTTGTTTAAATTGTGTCAAGTTGCTGTTGTTTTGTTAGGTTTAAATTGTGTCAAGTTGCTGTTGTTTTGTTAGGTTTAAATTGTGTCAAGTTGCTGTTGTTTTGTTTAAATTGTGTCAAGTTGCTGTTGTTTTGTTAGGTTTAAATTGTGTCAAGTTGCTGTCGTTTTATTTAAATTGTGTCAAGTTGCTGTTGTTTTGTTTAAATTGTGTCAAGTTGCTGTTGTTTTGTTAGGTTTAAATTGTGTCAAGTTGCTGTTGTTTTGTTTAAATTGTGTCAAGTTGCTGTTGTTTTATTTTGTTTAAATTGTGTCAAGTTGCTGTTGTTTTGTTTAAATTGTGTGAAGTTGCTGTTATTTTGTTTAAATTGTGTGAAATTGCTGTTATTTTGTTTAAATTGTGTCAAGTTGCTGTTATTTTGTTTAAATTGTGTCAAGTTGCTGTTGTTTTGTTAGGTTTAAATTGTGTCAAGTTGCTGTTGTTTTGTTTAAATTGTGTCAAGTTGCTGTTGTTTTGTTAGGTTTAAATTGTGTCAAGTTGCTGTTGTTTTGTTTAAATTGTGTCAAGTTGCTGTTGTTTTGTTAGGTTTAAATTGTGTCAAGTTGCTGTTGTTTTGTTTAAATTGTGTCAAGTTGCTGTTGTTTTGTTAGGTTTAAATTGTGTCAAGTTGCTGTCGTTTTATTTAAATTGTGTCAAGTTGCTGTTGTTTTGTTTAAATTGTGTCAAGTTGCTGTTGTTTTGTTAGGTTTAAATTGTGTCAAGTTGCTGTTGTTTTGTTTAAATTGTGTCAAGTTGCTGTTGTTTTATTTTGTTTAAATTGTGTCAAGTTGCTGTTGTTTTGTTTAAATTGTGTGAAGTTGCTGTTATTTTGTTTAAATTGTGTGAAATTGCTGTTATTTTGTTTAAATTGTGTCAAGTTGCTGTTATTTTGTTTAAATTGTGTCAAATTGCTGTTGTTTTGTAAGGTTTAAATTGTGTCAAGTTGCTGTTGTTTTGTTTAAATTGTGTCAAGTTGCTGTTATTTTATTTTGTTTAAATTGTGTCAAGTTGCTGTTGTTTTGTTTAAATTGTGTCAAGTTGCTGTTGTTTTGTTTAAATTGTGTCAAGTTGCTGTTGTTTTGTTTAAATTGTGTCAAGTTGCTGTTGTTTTGTTTAAATTGTGTCAAGTTGCTGATGTTTTATTAGGTTTAATGGTAAATGGTGTAAAGATGATTGGTTGGAATTTCTAAAATAAACAAAGAAAAGCAGGTTGTTGTGCTGTTCAGTGTAAATTGAGTAAAGCAGGTTGTTGTGATGTTGACTGTAAATTGTTGCCAGTGTTTGTGAGTGTAAATAAGAGCGCAACTTGTCCTCTGGCAGATGAACCAATGCTGCTGTCCTCCATGGAGGAGTCGTCCTCACAGCTCTACCCCACTAGTGTCGTACAGCAGGAAGACTTGAGTGCTGATCAAGGTAGGGCTCGTCACCTTGACCTCTGTGACCTAGTGTAGTGTCTGATTAACCTTCCTTTGTACCTCTGTCTGACCTTGACCTCCCCCTAACCACCCTGCCGCCTGTCCACAGGGCGCCAGAAAACCCTGGCGGAGCTGCAGATGTTCTCCAGCCAGTTGCGGCAGAAGTTCAAGTCCCTGGAGCACAGCCTGATCCAGCAGGAGAAGGTTATCCAGGCCCTGGAGGGCAAGCTCAAGCAGGTGCCTAAAGACTCCAACCCTGACTCCAAGTACTCCACGCTCAACTCTAAGCTGGAGATCATCAAGGTAACCCCAACTTGCTAGTTTATCAAAGTAACCCCACACACACAACTTGCTAGTCCATCAAGGTAACCCCACACAACTTGCTAATCCATCAAGGTAACCCCACACAACTTGCTAGTCCATCAAGGTAACCCCACACACACAACTTGCTAGTCCATCAAGGTAACCCCACACACACAACTTGCTAGTCCATCAAGGTAACCCCACACACACAACTTGCTAGTCCATCAAGGTAACCCCACACACACAACTTGCTAGTCCATCAAGGTAACCCCACACACACAACTTGCTAGTCCATCAAGGTAACCCCACACAACTTGCTAGTCCATCAAGGTAACCCCACACACACAACTTGCTAGTCCATCAAGGTAACCCCACACACACAACTTGCTAGTCCATCAAGGTAACCCCACACACACAACTTGCTAGTCCATCAAGGTAACCCCACACAACTTGCTAGTCCATCAAGGTAACCCCACACACACAACTTGCTAGTCCATCAAGGTAACCCCACACAACATGCTAGTCCATCAAGGTAACCCCACACACAGAACATGCTAGTCTATCAAGGTAACCCCACACAACTTGCTAGTCCATCAAGGTAACCCCACACAACATGCTAGTCCATCAAGGTAACCCCACACACACAACTAGTTTATCAAGGTAACCCCACACACAGAACATGCTAGTCTATCAAGGTAACCCCCACACACAACTTGCTAGTCCATCAAGGTAACCCCACACACACAACTAGTTTATCAAGGTAACCCCACACAAACTAGTTTATCAAGGTAACCCCACACAAACTAGTTTATCAAGGTAACCCCACACAAACTAGTTTATCAAGGTAACCCCACACACACAACTAGTTTATCAAGGTAACCCCACACACACAACTAGTTTATCAAGGTAACCCCACACACACAACTAGTTTATCAAGGTAACCCCACACACACAACTAGTTTATCAAGGTAACCCCACACACACAACTAGTTTATCAAGGTAACCCCACACACACAACTAGTTTATCAAGGTAACCCCACACTGTTCTACGGCAAATTCCCGAAAGACACTTGCCCGAAGGCCAATTTCCCGAATGTCCACTAACCGGAATGCAACAAATGCCCAAATGGTGTAGTAGTGTCCAGAAAATATGCAAACAAAAATTGTGCTCTAGAAATATACATTGTTCTGTGAGGGCATTCTTTGGTGGCCAATTATTCCATCGCCAAATTTTCTGACCACCTTTTCTTATTTTGACATAAATATACAATATACAGGAAGTATTACAGTAGTGCAAGAAATCTTCTAGTCAATATACAGGAAGTATTACAGTAGTGCAAGAAATCTTCTAGTGTCCTGGTGTTTTTGTGGTAATAGAAGATTTATTTCCTTTCAGACCATGAAGGCCAAGCAAGAACTGGATCTGAAAGCTGTTCAGTTCCAGGAGGCTAAAGTTAGACAGCATCAGCAGCAGCTACACCAACAGCTGCAGCAACAGCTGCAACAGAGGCAGCTACACCATCAACAACAGCATCAACACCTACAACAGCATCAACCACAGCTTCAACCACAGCACCAACCGCCACAGCATCAGCAACAACCACAGCTTCATCAACCACAACAACAGCATCAACAACAGCATCAACCGCCACAGCACCAACAACCACAGCATCAGCAACAACCACAGCAACCCCTGGATGTACAACGTCATCGCTTGAGCTCCCCAGCCCCTACCAACACCCGTAGGATGGCCATCGTGCCGCCCATCCAGCGCCAACCTACTGAGGGCGAGACACCCCTGGGGGAGATGAAGCCCAGCCAACAGCCTGAGCCAGACTGCAGCAAGATGTCCTCCCCACAGTGCACAGAGGGTGGTGGCTCCACAACTCCACTGGGTAAACTGGGGGGGCCAGACCCAGCTGGCTCCAACTCTGGACTGGTCTCATCATCCAACAGCGTGCACCACCACGGCACTCAGCCATCCCCCTACAGCCTGCACCATCACCACCACCACCACCATCACTACCATCACCACCCCATCCCCCCAGCCCGACACAACCCGCAGCATGTAGAGTTTGCTGGATCTCTGAAAACCACCCCCCCTCCACCCCCGTATGGCGCCTTTGATGGCTCCCTGTTCTCCTCCTCCGCGCCCGGCACCCTCAGCATCTCTGTGTCCTCCAGCAACACGTCCCTGGCCTCCCCCATCCTCTGTGACACGTCACCAGTGTCAGTTGACGAGTCCCCAAGTTGCGCCAGCGACGCCTCCTCCGGCTACCACAGCTTGTCTCATGCCAACGAGGCCGTGACTGGTCAGTTTGTCAAAGCTTCCTGTCTGGACATGCCAGCCCACTCCACCTACAACCCCGCCGGCCCCCTCCTCAACTCTGGCAAGTCTCCAGATCTCCTGCCATCCGCACAGGTCAGCAACCAATCACCATCCACCTAGGGATCACATGGTGCTCTCCCTTGTGGCTCTCTGGCTGCCTTGTGACTTGTGGACGGCCACTACACCACGGGCCACTACACCTGTGGCCATCCACACCACAGGCCAACAACAACACTGACTAGATAAAGATTTTTTTTAAAATTTACATTAGATTAGTGTTGATTGACAAGGAATTACTCTTTCATGATCTTGAAGATCTTGTTGTCATGATCTTTGGTTTGAAGAAATTGTATGATATAAATGGGATTGTTAAGTTTGTACATATCAGATGTCAAAGTTTATGTACATATCAAATGCCAGGGCTGTGGCAGCAGATGTCAGGCTGTCCATGTACATATCAAATGACAAATCTGTTTTCTCTTGGTTGTTGTTTGTGTTTGGTAAGAACACCACACAGTATTCAATTCTTACATAGCTTGTACATACATACATACATTCATCATGGGACTATTTATAGAAAACTTGGTGGAGACTGAATTACACAGGAAGTGATGTCACACACACCCAGGAAGTGATGTCACCCAAAGGAGTGAGAGATCTGAATGCTCTAAGCTCTATATCAGTGAGGCCTTAGTTGAACTGTTCAAGTGAATTCTTGCTGGGAGCTGATGGTCTTCATCAAGAGAACGTTGAATGTGTAGTTAGGTTCTTTCATGTGATATATTGGTTACATTAGGCTTGTATCAATGATACATTGTTACATTAGGCTTGTATCAATGATACATTGTTACACTAGCTGTGTACAGATGATACATTGTTACACTAGCTGTGTACAGATGCTGTATTGTTACACTAGCTGTGTACAGATGATACATTGTACAAATGCTGTTCTCAACACTTTATTCTTGTGTCAACTTTTTTCTACTAGCAAAAAGTCTTTCAAGGTCATGTCTGATGGCTTTCTCTGGCTGATGTTTGAATTAACTTAAGCTCTGAGTTTCTAGGTTTAGCTCTGAGATGTGGGGGATAGGAATCTCTAGGCCAGACTTGTTACTCTCTCCTATGGTGAGTTGTCGGCCAGGCCGTCAAGGTTGTGCATTTGGACAAGTTGGGGGGGGGGGGGGGGGAATCTGTCCCCACCATCTGAGAACCACCGTGTTAAGTTGATGTGGCGATGCCACCACCATACACAGCTGCGGTCATCTATCTGACCAACTGGCGCAGTGGTGGTTTTATACCAAGTGGTTATGTGATCGACCATGTGACAAGCCTCGAGCTGCCATTAAGATTCTGTCTAGTTTGTTGTTTCTGTGAAACAGTCAAGTTGGCAGCCTCTTGCTAATTCTCACTTGTCAGTGTGGGCAGATAGAAAAATGAATTGTTCATCTAGTGCCAGGAATTGGCAGCAAATTCTCTTTCAATATTGGGCCAGTTTTGTCATAGTTGCCGGTTTTATGTTTAGATCAGTCTGTGGCTGATGTAGCCACTGTAGGGTAGCCATTGGTTGGTGGCCACTGTAGGGTAGCCACTGGCTGGTGCCCACTGTAGGGTAGCCACTGGTTGGTGCCCACTGTAGGGTAGCCACTGGTTGGTGTGCCCACTGTAGGGTAGCCACTGGCTGGTGCCCACTGTAGGGTAGCCACTGGCTGGTGCCCACTGTAGGGTAGCCACTGGCTGGTGCCCACTGTAGGGTAGCCACTGGTTGGTGCCCACTGTAGGGTAGCCACTGACTGGTGTAGCTACTGTAGGGTAGCCACTGGTTGGTGCCCACTGTATGGTAGCCACTGACTGGTGTAGCTACTGTAGGGTAGCCACTAGCTAGTGTAGCTACTGTAGGGTAGCCACTGGCTGATGCCCACGCTAAGTATAAGGTAGTTCTGCTATGCTCCTTGCCATCTTTCACCCTCAGCGCTATGCAGGGGAACTAATTCAAAAATCTCCAGTGTATTTAAGAAGAGTTACCGTAGTCAGGCTGCCATCTATTTTATGGTGTATCTTTATTTTTCTTAAATAAAATGACAAAAAAAATGTTTTGTTTTGTTTTGATCCACATGTCATTTCCTGCTGGAAACTTAATAGTTACGTATAACATGACGTCATTCCGATGAGAGGTGGGTCGCTGTTCTATATTTAGATTCCTCCTTAACTCAAGAGTCAAGGTTTTATAATAGTAATAGATGCGTAACACATTTTTTTTTATTCTAGTAGGAGTTTGATAAACCACGAAGTGACACAGGCTAATTGTTTTTACACAGGCTAATTCATAACATCTTTACTGTCTACTTGACCTGGCCAGTGGCTGTTGGCCTACATGAATTACTGCAGCTGTTGGCCAACATTAATTACTGCAGCTGTTGGCCTACATGAATTACTGTAGCTGTTGGCCAACATTAATTACTGTAGCTGTTGGCCTACATGAATTACTGCAGCTGTTGGCCAACATTAATTACTGTAACTGTTGGCCAACATGAATTACTGCAGCTGTTGGCCAACATTAATTACTGTAGCTGTTGGCCTACATGAATTACTGTAGCTGTTGGCCTACATGAATTACTGTAGCTGTTGGCCAACATTAATTACTGTAACTGTTGGCCAACATGAATTACTGCAGCTGTTGACCAACATTAAATACTGTAGCTGTTGGCCAACATTAATTACTGTAGCTGTTGGCCAACGTGAATTACTGGAGCTGTTGGTTACATTAATTACTGTAGCTGTTGGCCTACATGAATTACTGTAGCTGTTGGCCAACATTAATTACTGTAGCTGTTGGCCAACATGAATTACTGCAGCTGTTGGCCAACATTAATTACTGTAGCTGTTGGCCTACATGAATTACTGTAGCTGTTGGCCTACATGAATTACTGTAGCTGTTGGCCAACATTAATTACTGTAACTGTTGGCCAACATGAATTACTGCAGCTGTTGACCAACATTAAATACTGTAGCTGTTGGCCAACATTAATTACTGTAGCTGTTGGCCAACGTGAATTACTGGAGCTGTTGGCCAACATTAATTACTGTAGCTGTTGGCCTACATGAATTACTGTAGCTGTTGGCCAACATTAATTACTGTAGCTGTTGGCCTACATTAATTACTGTAGCTGTTGGCCTACATGAATTACTGTAGCTGTTGGCCAACATTAATTACTGTAGCTGTTGGCCTACATGAATTACTGTAGCTGTTGGCCAACATTAATTACTGTAGCTGTTGGCCAACATTAATTACTGTAGCTGTTGGCCAACATGAATTACTGTAGCTGTTGGCCAACATGAATTACTGTAGCTGTTGGCCAACATGAATTACTGTAGCTGGTGACGTGTTGGCTGACCTCGGGAAGACAACCCAGCAAAAGTGTGGCTACCAGCAGACGACAACGCTTATCGGGTGAACTGATCTAAAAATAGATAGCCTCGCAAATTAATCGAGCAAAAAGAAAAACGTACATGTTTTTACAAACTTTTATTTCGTTCGCAACGGCTGTCTGTTGCAAACCTTGATTTTGACCCACTTCTAAATCAGCGATTTCGTTCAATATTTCCAGATGCGTCCCACTTCGATGAAAATACAAAATCTTTTTTTTAAATTTAATTAGATGTTTAATTAGTCATTAAAGATTAATTAAAAGGTTTCGGATATAAGGGGAGAAAATAAAATTAAAAGCTAGCGAGCACTCGATATTGAGCAACCCTAGGGGAGATAACTAGCTAGACGCGATCAGTCTGCTGAGCTGTGGTTCACGCCGAATGTTTACAATCGTAGAGACAAGTTAGTAAAGGCTAGTAGGGGCAGATAATAGATTTTATTTTTAAACGATTTGAAACTAACTGAGGTAACACGATTAAGACTAGCGTTCGCTTGATCAGCTTGCTGTCGTCTGTAAACTGTGTTCACGCTCGGCTGGTTTCATGGGGCAGAGAATCGTCTCTCAGAGATCGCGTGCCACTGATGGTGTTGTAAAGCAAGTCTTTTTAGTCGCAGCATTGGTAGTGTTGACTTATTAAACAAATACTAAAAATATTTCCAATAACAAGCAATGAAAATAAGAAATAAAACTAATTTGTTTTCTTTCATAAAAGCTTTGATTGCTAAAATTTGCAAAAGATCTCATGAGCGACCAACGCTTTTATATACAAAGCAAATTAGTTTTATTTTCTAATTTCATATATTTAAAAGCTTGCTATTAGAAAGATTGTTTAGTTTTTCATTTCAATAGTAAATAGGGCATCAATCTTTCCCTCTACGGATCAGTTTCACATGCTTGGCTGGGGGGGGGGGGGGTCCTTTATTAGTGTAGTTTTGTTTACCTTGCTTTTAATCTGCGTTAGTAAAAAAACAAGTTAATAAAAAGTGACAATTAAAGCGCAATTTCCTTGTTATCCATAACAATTTTAAATCGAGATAAACCATATATTCAGCAAATAAATAATGCAACAAAAGTAGTTTAATAATTCAAAACAAAATAGAAACCAGTATGGAAATTGCGCTAAAAAAAAGACAACTATATTAACCTATATCCGAGTAGGCCTACACGATGCTCAGTTAAAAAAAAATACAAGTAGTAAATATCATCCTAGGCCCTACACGATGCTCAGTTTAAATAAACCGGGAGTGATCTCCCCTAAACTTTCTCGAATATTCTAATATAACACTACGGGGGATGGCAACTCGGGATATAGACTTCTAGACATGATTTTTAATCAATTTTAAATACTCAAATTTTTAAAAATAGAATATAATCTCGTAGAAAAAAGAAATGCACACCAAATAAAGATGTGCATAATAGTGCGCAATATTATTAGTACTTTATAAATTTACATGCGTTTTTTGAGAAATCGGAAATAGCGTAAATAAGTACTTCCGGTCAACGGAAATTACTCCAAATTTGACATAAGGTAGAGAATTAGATCTTTTACTCACATGTGAAATTTCATTTATCTATCTGAAATAGTACTCAAGTTATAGGCTTTTGAAAAATTCAAAGTAGAAAAAGTACCACTTCCGGTTATCGGAAATCGCTTATAAGTTGATACGGATCTACGATTTTGATAAAATACTTATATATGAAATTTCATCAACCTAGCTGTAACGGTACTCAAGTTATCGTGTTTACACACGGACACACACACACACACACTGACAGACACACAGACATACGGACAAGATTGCAAAATTATGTTTTTCCGTATCAGTGAGATGTAAAACGTCGAGATTTGCAAAAATCTCGGTTTTTTTTTTTTTTTTTTTTTGCACGATTACAAGACTTTCTCTATACTTCGTATATACGAGAAAGTAAAAAGTAGTAAATATTTTTTTGTGACCGAACGAAAGGATATTTTTGAAAACGTTCTTCGGCAATATTGTTCTAAATTATGGCAGGAATCGATTGGTAAATGTTTCAAGTCGCTAAGTGGTCTGGTTGCCGAGATATGGGCCAAAAACTGCATTTTTTCGAGGTTTTTTGGCTTTTCCGGGAAATCCAGGAAGGAATTCCGGGATTTTTTGGGCCTATGTTCATCCTCGGAACTTGCTTAACATATTTGCTTTGGAACTAGTCCTCTATATTGCTTCGTTGAGGAGGAGATACGACTTAAAGCTGCGGACACGCTGCGGACACACATCCATCCATCCAGAAATGACGAGTTAATAATCGCAATCCCCCAGTATGGAAATTGCGCTAAAAATTGAATCAGGAGTTATCCATGAACTGTGTACTAAAACTAAAGCCGATCTTGGGACTTTATGAGTTTGTATTGTACTGTGCCTATTGACACAACATTCATACGTTACTTTACTTACCAGCTGGAAAAACCAGACTTTTAAATACTTGCTAGTTTTTATTTTGGTGCATCTTGTTGTAACAAGTGATCATAGATATTGATATTTGACTGATTTGTTAGTATTTAATACTAGCCTTATTTACGGTTTACACACATTCAAAATCTGCTCATGATCTTTTTATTCCTACTTTGGCTAATCGCCCCAAGCCGTTTCACAAACTGGCTGGCCAATATCCGAATCATTAGAGCACCTCACGGTATGGCTCGACATTTCAACATGCACCGAATATCACCACTAGTGCAGCCAGCCATGCAGAGGTCGGACGGTGTCAAGTATCTTTTGTCGCCATAAAATCTGTGACAGGCGTCCACGCAGCTCTGGTTCAGCTTGCAGTTCACGATACAGTTGACGGTGTCAAGTATCTTTTGTCGCCATAAAATCTGTGACAGGCGTCCACGCAGCTCTGGTCCAGCTTGCAGTTCACGATACAGTTGACGGTGTCAAGTATCTTTTGTCGCCATAAAATCTGTGACAGGCGTCCACGCAGCTCTGGTCCAGCTTGCAGTTCACGATACAGTTGACGGTGTCAAGTATCTTTTGTCGCCATAAAATCTGTGACAGGCGTCCACGCAGCTCTGGTTCAGCTTGCAGTTCACGATACAGTTGACGGTGTCAAGTATCTTTTGTCGCCATAAAATCTGTGACAGGCGTCCACGCAGCTCTGGTTCAGCTTGCAGTTCACGATACAGTTGACGGTGTCAAGTATCTTTTGTCGCCATAAAATCTGTGACAGGCGACAACGCAGCTCTGGTCCAGCTTGCAGTTCACGATACAGTTGACGGTGTCAAGTATCTTTTGTCGCCATAAAATCTGTGACAGGCGTCCACGCAGCTCTGGTCCAGCTTGCAGTTCACGATACAGTTGACGGTGTCAAGTATCTTTTGTCGCCATAAAATCTGTGACAGGCGTCCACGCAGCTCTGGTCCAGCTTGCAGTTCACGATACAGTTGACGGTGTCAAGTATCTTTTGTCGCCATAAAATCTGTGACAGGCGTCCACGCAGCTCTGGTCCAGCTTGCAGTTCACGATACAGTTGACCAGTGACCGGTGCTCTTTTCCTGCGGATTGAAACGTTCTTTTTTTTTTACTTCTATTCTATCCAGAGTATAGAGGAAGTATTGTAATCGTGCGCAAAAAGTGTTATATAAGAATATTCGAGAAAGTTTAGGGGAGATCACTCTCGATTAAAAAAAATATTAACAATGACCACTTGATTTCAACATTCTGTAGGTTGCTGAGGCAGTATCTATATATATAATTCTCTTCTGGGAGCCGTTAGAAAACAAGCTGCAAGCGCCTCCTTACAGTCCCCTCTCTTTCTCTCTATCACTATCACTACCACCCCCACCCCATCCCCCACATGGTCTGGTGAGTTGTGGTCACGCTAAATTAAATGTTTACAAATCGTAGAGCCGGGTTTAGTGACGGCTATTAGGGGCAGATAATTTAGTTTGAAACGATTTTAAACTTACAGGAGGTAACTAAGAAGAGGCTGCTTTCACGGAGGAGGGGGGGTGTAGGGTAGGGGTTGGGGGAAAGGAGGGGGGGGGTAGGGGTTGGGGGAAAGGAGGGGGGGGGGTTAGTATCGTTCTTAACGACCTACTGATAGTGTTTTAAAGCAAATATTTTCAGTGGCAGCATTGGTACTGTCGAATTCACAAATTATGAATTACTGAAAAGTAGAAAATAAAACAACTAAATAGCGGCGTATGATACGCCGCGGGTCGGCTCGTGTAATGTGTTTGGTGTGTGTCGATTAGCGAGTAAGTATTTAATGTGTGTGGTGTTTATTTATGGTGATAAAACCTGGGTCTTACCTCACTGCCACCTGTCACATGGGTCTGTCACCTGGGTCTTACCTCCTTTGATGTCAGGTCATGTTGTCCTACAGCAGATGTTGTGACAGTGACAGATGTTTGTTGTGACAGTGACAGATGTTTGTTGTGACAGTGACAGATGTTTGTGACAGTGACAGATGTTTGTTGTGACAGTGACAGATGTTTGTTGTGACAGTGACAGATGTTTGTTGTGACAGTGACAGATGTTTGTTGTGACAGATGTACTCACCTGTCGTCAAGACGATGCCAGACAAAACAAATGCCAGGAGCAGCTTCATGACCGGAGCTCCTAGAGCAGACGATTGGTCGAACCTTCTAGACTAAAGCGAATCTTCTAGAATCTAGACTAAAGCAGATCAAATGGACAATGTGTTCATGCCTCTCAACATTATACGTCCTTTACCAACCAGCACAAATGATTGTTTCCCCACACTAATCGCCACTAGATGGATTACTATGGATTGCTGACTAAAGATAAACAAATGCAACTTTTTATTAATTAGGTTCGATACAACACCTTTGTGTGTGTGTGTTTAATATATATATATATATATATATATATATATATATATATATATATATATATATATATATATATATATATATATATATATATATATATATATATATATATATATATGTGTGTGTGTGTGTGTGTGTGTGTGTATGTGTGTAGATGCATATATTCATATACATCCATATGTGTCTATTTACATAGATGATTTAATGCGAAACAAACAAAAAACTAATTGCTTTGCTCCTATATTTTTATTATTATTATTTTTTTTTTTAGAAAACTTTGTTTTAAGGCGCCTTCCCACGTAACTCAAGAAAACCAAGGCGCCTTCCCACGTTGATCACGAAATAGCCCGACACACAAACAGGTTTTTACTCTAACAAGGTCATGTCCGAGATTGTCAAGTTTATTCTGTCGTGTCTTACAATCCTTATCTCTAGCCCCACGAGTCACGTGTTCTTACGTCTTATCTCAGTCAGACGTTGTGTTTCTTGGTCGTGCCATGGTCAGTCTTAAGGTCATGATAATGGTCAGTCTTAAGGTCATGATAATGGTCAGTCTTAAGGTTCTGATAATGGTCAGTCTTATAATGGTCAGTCTTAAGGTCCAGATAATGGTCAGTCTTAAGGTCCAGATAATGGTCAGTCTTAAGGTCCAGATAATGGTCAGTCTTAAGGTCCAGATAATGGTCAGTCTTAAGGTCCAGATAATGGTCAGTCTTAAGGTCCAGATAATGGTCAGTCTTAAGGTCCAGATAATGGTCAGTCTTAAGGTCCTGATAATGGTCAGTGAGCTACGTGCGATCAAGGCCGTGGGCCTGCTAAGCTTCTGTGGAAGAGCCTTATCGTCTGCTCAGACAATGATGACGTGTAACAGATGTCGGCCAAGGCTGTGCCAGATTTTTCAGACGCCTGTAAACAATTTTAAGCCAAGTCACGAGGATGATTTACAGCCAAGTCACGAGGATGACTTAAACGTTGGGTAACCTAAGATCAGGATTTAGGTCCGTGTTAAGGTCTATTTGTGGACCTGTGGGCCGATGAATGGTGGGTTGGTGGGTGTGTGGGTTGGTGTGGTAGTCAGATAGTTGTGTGACATTTCAAATCTTTGAACTCTGAGTGTACATTTACTTTAAAAGGTATTAAACTTTCAGATGTATTGCTACTAAGCCTCTATCATTTCTACACATGATGAACCTTGAACCTAAGCCACAAGCCCCTAGCCTTCCTACATATGATGAACCTTGAACCTAAGCCCCAAGCCCCTAGCTTTCCTACATATGATGAACCTAAGCCCCAAGCCCCTAGCCTTCCTACATATGATCAACCTTGAACCTAAGCCCCAAGCCCCTAGCTTTCCTACATATGATGAACCTAAGCCCCAAGCCCCTAGCCTTCCTACAGATGATGAACCTTGAACCTACGTCCCTGCCCGTCACGAAGACCAGAAACTGCGGCCCGGATTTTAAAATATCTGCCAAATCAGGCACGAATTTTGTTTTTTAACAAAACTAAAAGTTGAAACGTTGTTTTGAAAGATGGAACCACACCTGTCTCCGTCTCACGGGTCTGGCATCCAGCTCTTGTATAAAACGTCCGTCTGTCACGTCTGCTGCACCACAACACAACCAGCAAATTATTTACAGTACCACCACGACAATCAGAATGGCTGCTCGACATTTTGCCCTGCTACTTTTGCTCCCCGTTTGCTTCGGTGAGTTTTTTTTTTAATAGCTAGGCGGCAAACTTTAAGGACAAATTTTATTGGTCAGTCCAATATTTTAAATAGCTAGGTGGCGAACTGTAAGGACAAATTGTATTGGTCAGTCCAATATTTTAAATAGCTAGGCGGCAAACTTTAAGGACAAATTTTATTGGTCAGTCCAATATTTTAAATAGCTAGGTGGCAATCTGTAAGGACGAATTGTATTGGTCAGTCAAATGATATTGCGAGATGCTGAACGTGATCTATGATATAATCAGAGTTTCTTCCAGGCATCTCTTCTTCGCCCCCCTCCCCCCGAAAATTTTTTACCGTCCCCCCCCCCCCCCGAAAGAAATGAAATTTATATAATTTATATAGAAGATATATACTTTTAACAGTGTCCGCCCCCCCCCCCCGAAGACAGTCTACCGCCCCCCTCCCCCCCCCCGAAAATTTCAAGTGCCCCCCCCCCCCCCGGAGAAAAAAGTCTGGAAGAAACACTGGATATAATGCTATTGGTATTCTGTCAGGCTATCACTCTATCAGACGGTCTATCAGGGAGTCAAGCAATCAGTCAGACATACATTCAAGCAGGCACTAAAAATGTCCAATATTAGAGAAATCGAATGCACTTTTTTTTTTTAATTATGATAGAAAAATCCAAGATTTTAATTTTTAAAGGGTAGTTGTGAGGGATAAAGCTCGGGGTAGAAAGTTTAAATCGAAAACCGCCTTACTTAACAACCAAAACAAATTAATTTATATTATTTTATTATGTCAATCAACAACTGCTAATTTTATGATAACAAACCCTAATTTGGGATATTCCTCTAGCCCGGCTAAATATAAAAAATAATATGATTTAGCTATTCTAGTGTATTTATAGAGCCAACTAAATATTTTTCTGCTTACGAATGAAACAGCCATAAAGTTTAAACTTAGCACAAAAATAATATCAGGTTGTAGTAGAATAGCTTTTATAAAGTAGGATATTAATTTTAAACACTTTGGTATTTATGAAATAGCATCGGCTATGTTAACTTGACGAGACAATTGTTTTATTTTATCAAAATCTCATCCTGAAAAAAAAGTGTGATTTTAAAAACAATAGTTTAACCTTTAATGCTTTTTATTTATTAATTGTAATTCAAATTAAACGTGTTACACTAAATGTTTAAATAATTGAGCTTCGTTTCTCTTAAAGTATTACAAAAGTTTGAAAAAAGTGTAACCTAAAAAATAATCTATACTATACGACCCGGTTATCCGTTGGATAACTATTTTTGGCTCACCCAATCCGCGTTACATCCACTCCAATTTCTCTACTACACACATCCCACCGACCCCATAAGGCTAACCCAACCCTCTCTAATTATTTATATCTCTTTATATCTAAATTCTCGCCGTGTCCGCTCACGCCGCTGCCTATGTAGCGTGTCAAAACAATAAATCGTTAAAATACGATTTTCATTCCTTTATATTTTTTTATTTGTGATATAACTGTATTTGTGTTTTGTTCTGCTTTATTTTTCACACTGAGAAATAAATATTGTACAATATTGGTAAAATTGGCAACTTAATTTTTCTACGTATTATTCGATGTATTATTTTATGACGGTCATGATTTAAAGAAAAATCTAAATTTTTAGCGTCCCTCCAAACTAATTTGTGGCTGAACGTGTTTGTCATGCCTGTTTTTTTATGTTGTTACAGGCGCCGTGAGAAGAAATGCCTACCAAGACTGTGTCCACGCCTGCCCACCGACCGACATGGGATGCCAACAGGCATGCGACCACTTAAAGCCAGCGGCTAGAGAGTCCATCGACAGCTGTATTAACGGCTGTAATGGCAACATGCACTGCGAGATCGAGTGTATTCACAACAACGCCAGAAACAACGTGTCTGACTGCATCCACAACTGCGCCCACGGAGATGTAGATTGTGATATCCAATGCCTGCAAAACAACAAAAAAAGAGCATCAGTCGACAGCTGCATCAACGGCTGTAACGGCGACATGCACTGCGAAATACAGTGTCTTCATGTCAACGCTAGAAACAACGTGTCTGACTGCATCCACAACTGCGCCCACGGAGATGTAGATTGTGATATCCAGTGTCTGCAAAACAATAAAAGAGCATCAGTCGACAGCTGCATCAACGGCTGTAACGGCGACATGCACTGCGAAATACAGTGTCTTCATGTCAACGCTAGAAACAACGTGTCTGACTGCATCCACAACTGCGCCCACGGAGATGTAGATTGTGATATCCAGTGCCTGCAAAACAATAAAAGAGCATCAGTCGACAGCTGCATCAACGGCTGTAACGGCGACATGCACTGCGAGGTCCAGTGTCTTCATGCCAAAAAAAGAAACGCATTCCAAGATTGCCTGCACGCCTGCCCAACTGGAGATATGGGATGTCAACTGGGTTGTGAGCACCTGAGGCCAGTCAAAAGAGGTTCCATCGACAGCTGCATCAATGCCTGTGACGGTGACATGCACTGCGCGATTCAGTGTCTGCATCCTTAAAATGTAAACAATGTTCAATGCGACACCGTAACGTTTCTCATGCTACCACCCCGAGAAGATGAAACACAACTGAGAGTACAAATGTCGTGTTTTTTTCTTTTACGAATGTTGTCCCGTACGATTTTATAAAACTTTTTGAATGACTAAAAATATAAAAACATTATAAATCTACAACCATATACAGAATTTCTTGTTGTTTTTTTAGAATTTACACACAAAAAACATGATTAGAATTTAATATGTTCTACTAACCAAAAGCTAAGGTTGGCTTTAATCATAACATTAACTACAAATTGAAACTTACCTGACACGCCAACTGCAAAAAGAAAGGACACTCAAACGCTTAAATTTTACAAAGATATGTCTCAACATTAGAGGACCAAAGATTTTTAAAATTAGGCAACAAAAACATATAGCAACAAAAACATAGAGCAACAAAAACAGAGCAACTAAAACATAACAAAAAGATAACACAAGTTTTGTAAAAAATGAAACTAATTTACCGTAACAACTTAGAAATGTATGACACAGACAATTTTAATCGTTTTTAAAAACCAACTATGGACCCCGTGCTCTACTCGAATTCCTACCTTTTCAGCTCATGATGCCTAAATTGATATCATGTACTACGTAAATAATACTACAATCATTCGACGACTAATCAAGACTTATAATAATTTAAACGTAAAAAAAAACAATCAGCTCAAAACACAACCTCTCTTGCTCTTATACTTCTGAGAAAGCCATTAGACTGTAAAGAAAGAAAAAAAAACATTTAAAATGACGACATGGGTTCCTACATGATGGATGTCCACTAGGCTACCCCATCAGTTGTCATTTGATCAAAGTTTACTATTTTTATCGCATGGCGGCTTCACAAGTCGACAGCGCGGGCTCCGGTATGGCGTATTGGAGGGGAATATATTTCTCGACAGAGGCTCCCCCATTTACAGATGATTTTGTCCGGTCAAATCCTGAGTCAATTGACTCACTAGACATTAAAGTACTTTGGGTCCCATAAAGCAGTGGCGTGCAGACCTATGTAGATGCCCGGGACCAACTCAAGAGGAAGATGCCCCAATATATACATTATGTATATATATATATATATATATATATATATATATATATATATATATATATATATATATATATATATATATATATATATATATATATATATATATATATATATATATATACATATATATATATATACATATATATATATACATATATATATATATATATATATATATATATATATATATATATATATATATATATATATATAAATGCGTGAATTGATAAAGTGATATATGGTAGGTAAACACTGATATTTTAAATATTGCCTATTTTTTATTGTATATTATTTATTATTATTTTATCTTTCGGTTTGCGGACAAGCTGGGGTTTTATAAGAGAGGCGTAGCTAGGGGGGGGGGGGTTGGAAATCGAAAGTTTTAGGGAGGGGGGTAGGGTGCGAATCGAAAGTTTTAGGGGGTGCAAATCAAAAGTTTGAGCGGGGGAAATTTCAAATCAAAAGTGGTGCAAATCGAAAGTCTGAAGGGAATGCAAATCAAAAGTTTAAGGGGGTGGGGTGGAAATTGAAATTTTGAGGGGAGGGGGTGCAAATCGTAAGTTTGAGGGAGGGTCAAATCGAAAGTTTGTCCCCGGGCGCCGGAAAGGGTCGCAACACCTCTGTTTTGTAGTCATTCACTGTGTCAGACGCGTCCGCCGGGACTCGGAAAGGGCGCGATTTGGCGCTACGGGCTAGACTGTGAGCAATATGCCTTTATGATTGCATTTAAATTGTGTTTATGTTATGAGTGTTGTGTTCGTTTTTTCGTTTTTTTTTTTTTTGCGTTCGTTCGTTTGTGTTGTGTTTAGTTTTGTTCTGTTCCAAAGTTGGTATATTTAAAAATGATTTACCGTGGCGGAGCACGGGATACAGCTAGTATATATATATATATATATATATATATATATATATATATATATATATATATATATATATATATATATATATATATATATATATATATATAATATAATATAAGCGGGCTGGTAGTGTGTCAGTCCTTCCGTCATCGCTATAGATTTTGGAACCATAAAAGTAAACATAGCACCATGCAGTGCTTTTCAGTGCATCGCAAGGTATTATTATAAGTAATAGAGTAGGGTTTGTTTATATAACGACATAAAGTTATTTTATAGCTGCCACTGTCTTTACTCTTTTGCATAACGTAAAGAAAATATTAAATACACGCACATTGCTAAAACATATTAAAAGGATCAATGTCAAATATCATTTTCGTTTATATTCCTAGAAAAAGTAGATACATTTTCATAACAGTAGGGGCGAATTAACTAATTAATTCAACTGGTTTTTTTAAATTTTGCCAAGGGGGGTAATTTAAAAATAAATTCAACTCTCAATAATTTAAGTTGATTTTTTTTTAATTACTACCGCATTGATTATTATATGTTAATGTTCATATTTAAAATAGAAAAATATTAAGATTATTTATACTATTTTCTAATTTATCTATGATCTCTCAAAATCACTATATATTTTTTCGGTGTTATTAAAACAGATGGTGAAATTAGACTTATAGAGAATGCTTGAAAGGCTCTCTCTGTGCGCAGACGCCTGGGAAAACGTGTTTTTAATACTCAACTCACTCTCAGTAATTTTTTTTATTACTACCGCATTGATTATTATATGTTAAGGTTCATAATTAAAATAGAAAAATGTTAAGATTATTAATATTATTTTCTAATTAGTCTATGATCTCTCAAAATCACTATTTAAAAAAAAAATTGTGTTTCGGTGTTATTAAAACAGATGGTGAAATTAGATTTATAGAGAATTTATAGAGGACGCCTGGGAAAGCGTGTATTTCGGTGGTGATTCTAATTACATTGCCAATGTGTTTTCTTCGAACCCTTAAAGTAAACATCACTTGCCGTACATTTATTTGCATCGCATTGTTTTATTGTAAGTTATGGAGTAGGATCTATTTATGTGACTTAAATTTTTAATGCTGGAAAGGCTCTCTTTGGGCGCGGACGCCTAGAAAAGCGTGTTGTTCGGTGGTGATTCTAATGTTGTGGTTGTGGTGTAGTTGTGTTGTGGTTGTGGTTGTGTTGTGTTTGTGTTTGTGTTGTGGTTGTGTTGTGTTTGTGTTTTTGTTTGTTTTGTTCTGTTCCCAAGTTGGTACACCTTATTTATGAGTTTCCCGACGGCATGTTCGGACTGCCGTGAATGCCAGTACTTTAGACGTGTGGGAAATCAGGACAACTTTACAATAAAGCGAAATCGGCCCGATGTATCAAAACAGTTTGGAAATCAAAATGTGTTTAGAATCCATACAATATTTTAAAACCAAAATCATTCATGGTCTTAACAATTGTAAAGGATATCCTTCAGTAAAAAAAATGTGCGTTTATTAATGACTGCAATATCACTGCCCTTCATTGACGCCCTTCCTCCATAAAAGTTGTGCGACGCGGACGATTCGATGACGATATTATGTCAGCACCATTGGAAACGATTGTATATAACAATTTGAATGAATTGAGTAATTTAATAACTATGTTTGGGAACGGATGAATCCTTAAAAAGACACAACATAACGACATTTTTATATTCTTCCAAAAAAAAAAAAAATAATAAATCACTCTGCTGGATGCCCCCCCCCCCCACCCCAGTCGCCCTCCTCCCAACCCCTATGCCCGCCACTGAATGTTAATTTTGTTATACCAAGACAAGTAGGCCTACATATACGACAACTACAACAGGACTAGCGTTCATCAGGTTACCGACTGTCTACTACAAGCATCCTGCCTGTTCACTACAAAACCTCTTCATCGGGCCGCATACAATAGGGTATCTGATTACGTGTTTTCCAAATTTTCCTCCCTGCTCAGGTCGGGGCTAATTCGAGTCCACCCATCTTCAGTCACCTCAGGTCAAATGCGAGGCGACCGTACCACAGGGAGGTGTGTGACACTATAATTTACGGCCTGTCCCAGTTTAGGTGGGTAATAACTCTCTAACATCAACCGTGGCCTCAGTTATAACAATCAACAACGTCGGCATCCGACCATTTCGTTTTTCCCAAGTGAATTCAGCAAGACTTATTTAAGTTTACAAACTAATTCAGATAACAGTGACGGTGCTGAAGCGCGGGGCCCCTCCAAGTGCGGGGCCTGGGGCGACCGCCCCGTTCGCCACCCCAAACGCCGGCTCTGATTTGGGTGCCCCTAAAAATTCGGGGACCCCGGCTTCAGCCCTTTCAGCCCCCACCTTCCCCTTAATCCACTACTGCCTGACTACAATGTATATTTGGACTAGACACGCAACCAGATCACAAGGTAACAACACAAAATAAAAAACAAGGTTGTCATGGCGATCAAGATTTTTATTAAAAATTTACATTTCGTTGCTTCAGTCCCACGTGTCGTCATCTCGGTCGTTGAATGAGTTAGTACCATCAGTCCAGTCATTTACCGATTGTCGTGTTCTTCAGTCACCATGTTGGTGCTATGTCGTTCAATGAGGAAAAGAATTATGTAAAGTTTAGAAAAAAAAAGCTTTTAACCGAAATTAACCTGAGGTTCGTTGTATTTGGCCAGAGGTCAGTTCTCTCTGGCCTGAGGTCAGTTCCCTCTAGCCTGAGGTCAGTTCCCTCTAGCCTGAGGTCAGTTCCCTCTGGCCTGAGGTCAGTTCCCTCTAGCCTGAGGTCAGTTCCCTCTAGCCTGAGGTCAGTTCCCTCTAGCCTGAGGTCAGTTCCCTCTAGCCTGAGGTCAGTTCCCTCTGGCCTGAGGTCAGCTCCCTCTGGCCTGAGGTCAGTTCCCTCTAGCCTGAGGTCAGGTAGCTTGGCTTGTATGTGAGGACAAACACCTTGTGGTTGACACATTCCTGCAAGAGATGACGAAATCTTAAGTCACGTGATATCATTGAAACATTGCAGGTTTGTCACAGCTGTAGGAAAAGGGCATGTCATAAAAACCAGAAAGAACAAAATCACTTGATGAAATCATCTTGAGTAAATATCTTGTGGATAGATCGTGAGAAAAGATCTAGAATAAAGGTTTAGAGTAAAGATATTGAGAAAAGAGATTGATAAACTATATAGATTAAATAAATAAATAAAATGTCTTAATGATGATCTATAGATTGATAATATATTGATAATGATATTGAGTAAAGATCTTTATAAAGATCTTGAGTAAAGATCTTGAGTAAAGATATTGAGTAAAGATCTTGAGTAAAGATCTTGAGTAAAGATCTTGACAGAAAGCTGAAGCTGCCCACGTACCCTGATGGCGTCAGTATCGCCGTAGATGTTCTTGAGGTCATCGCTGGACAGGTCAGTCTCCTGGGCAGTGTGGGTGGTAATCAGCTGGTAGATCTCTTCCTGTGGAGGTCAACTCAAGGTCAAGTACAAGGTCACCCATACAACGTGCGCAAGTTAACGCAAAATACAAGGTTACACACAGTCACTCAAGGTCACATAAATTGTCACACCGACCAATACAACGATTATTTTGTCTGTATTAGATCACGTGATGATAAAGTGCTACGAGCGCTAGATCACGTGAAACGGAGGCTGCCGGCAGCGTGCCAGGAACATCGTCCACGTGGTACAATTTATATTCGCTAAATCTATTCCAAGAGGTAAGCTAGGAAATCATATTTAAAACCATGTTTACCACACACACGCAATCTTAATTTGATGGTGAAACAGCGGATAAAAAGACAATAAACTGCAGAAATTGTCTATATAACGCATATTAGCTCTGACAAGGCGTTGCTCTAGCTGCTCCGGCTAGGTGTTGCTCTAGCTGTTCCGGCTAGGTGTTGCTCTAGCTGTCCCGGTTTTTACACAGTTGTACCTACACTTCACTAACCAATGCTGCGAACCCAAACATCTAAACCAATACTAGCTTAAATTAACGATCAGTTAAACATTACACTTACACAAACAAATTATGAAATTGGAGCTAAGACACATTTTACATTAACACGAAAACAAATACAAATTCTAAACTGTTAACTTGTGTCCAGTCCAAACGATACCACGTGATACTTACACTAATGATGTGAACCTTGTCGTCATTTGTCAGGTCAGCTGCCCAATCAGGTGTTACTTCGATTAGGTGACATGACCTGTCAGAGCTGACGTCACTGATGGCAACAATCAGGTGGTGGCCCTAGATGGGAGAAATCCGAAACATGGATGTTGGCCAAAAGTTAGGATGTTGGCCTAAAGTTAGGATGTTGGCCAAAAGTTAGGATGTTGGCCTAAAGTTAGGATGTTGGCCAAAAGTTAGGATGTTGGCCTAAAGTTAGGATGTTGACCTAAAGTTAGGATGTTGGCCAAAAGTTAGGATGTTGGCCAAAAGTTAGGATGTTGGCCAAAAGTTAGGATGTTGGCCAAAAGTTAGGATGTTGGCCAAAAGTTAGGATGTTGACCTAAAGTTAGGATGTTGGCCAAAAGTTAGGATGTTGGCCAAAAGTTAGGATGTTGGCCAAAAGTTAGGATATTGGCCTAAAGTTAGGATGTTGGCCTAAAGTTAGGATGTTGGCCTAAAGTTAGGATGTTGGCCTAAAGTTAGGATGTTGGCCTAAAGTTAGGATGTTGGCCTAAAGTTAGGATGTTGGCCTAAAGTTAGGATGTTGGCCTAAAGTTAGGATGTTGGCCTAAAGTTAGGATGTTGGCCAAAAGTTAGGATGTTGGCCTAAAGTTAGGATGTTGGCCAAAAGTTAGGATGTTGGCCTAAAGTTAGGATGTTGACCTAAAGTTAGGATGTTGGCCTAAAGTTAGGATGTTGGCCTAAAGTTAGGATGTTGGCCTAAAGTTACGATGTTGGCCTAAAGCTAGAATGATGGACTAAAGCTATGATGTTGGCCTAAATTTAGGATGTTAGCCTAGCATTGGGATGGTGTTCTAGCTTTACGTTGATGGCCTAAAGTTTAGTATTAACTAAGATTACTTACACTGCATAAAAGTAACAAAATAAATTCTCCAAATTTCCCATGGGACAACCCCCCTCCACATTCCCCCCTGGACATTCTTTCCCCCCCCCCCCCCCCAGGCATACATTTTCCCTGAGACAAGCTACCCGACAAAATGACCTACCGTGATGTCGTGTTCCTCAAATCTGTAGTTGTGAACGAAGTCGATGGTGAAGTCGTTTTTGTTGTTGTTGGCGAACCAATCGCGGATTCCCTGTAGAAAACCAGATCCGCTCTGCGCCTGTGGGTCAAGTGGTTGATGGGGGGGGGGGGGGGAAGAGGTCACGTTATAGTAGGTAATAAAAGCCACATTGCTTTGTTAGTTGACATACTAAATCTAAAAAACGAATCAAAAACATGGATAAGATTGTACAACATTTCACTAAAATTTCAGTCCATCTCTAAACTTTAACCTTGACCTACGTTAAAGCCAAACTTACGGAGACAAAGACGAGGACGGAGGCTGCGAGAATCAGACAACGCATGACTGGAGTTGGTAGCACTGATGTAGACAACAAACTGACACTCTCTGGGCGAGCCACTCTACTTATAACATTAAACCTAGGCCGTGTCACGTGATATTATCCGAGAGATCCATTAACGGGAGGCGACACAGTAAACATGGACAGGTAACTCAAGCTTTCGGGTGTTTAAAAGTCAGATTCAGGAACAAAAAAAATGCAAACAATGAAAATTATAATAATTCAGAGAGTAATTTATTTTCATGACGATAGTTTGAACAGTAAGTCACCTAGCTCATTAAGACACGTTCTTATAAAGGTGTTGTAATTAAACGGATGTTTATGGACAAGGCGCACCACATTTGTATCGTGACACTTAGAGAGAGATAAGAAGAACAAGAAGCACTCACAGACCTCAGTACTTTTGATGGCACACAATTTTAATCAAGTTATTTCTTACTCAATTCACATGTATAATAGTAGTTCTAATTCCTCACAATCTTTGTCAGGATGTAATAAAGTATTTGATAACTTATAAACAACTTTTTAAAATTATTACAACTATGGTTATAATTCATACACCTCTGTCGTCTGTTGTCCCTCACAAATTATTGTTTTTTTGTTTTTTTTTTGCTAGAGACGCAATACACCTTTAAACACAGACTAAAACTTAAATCTACTAATTTATATTATTCATTAGTGGGATAATATCATAGTTCAAGATTTTTAAGATATATTTAGCACTGAACAAATTACTCAGATTTAATCTACTTTCTAAAAGTGAATGTAAAATATTGATGCCAATTTTCTAATAAGCTGTAATTTTTTCTTATTTTCTAAAAATGTAGAAATCTGATGCCAAATTTCATTCCCTAAAATAACTAAAACTCGAGACTACATTTTGTTTGACAGATGTCATTGTCCCATGTGACGTAGTAGGTCAGGTTGCCGCCAAAACTTGATCGGATCTTGTACGAACGTCTGCTAACCTGTCTGTGAAGATGAAAGTTCTCTACATCTTATTCCTCGTTCTGCTTGCCGTCTGCACCGTGTTGGCGGGAAAATCAGGTACAGTTCGAAGATTTATTTTTTTAGTTAAAAAAATCGATGAAATATAACAAAACAATTAATAAATAACTACTTACTCTTTTTTCTTGTCATATTTTCCTGTCATATTTTCCTGTCATATTTTCCTGTCATATTTTTCTGTCATATTTTCCTGTCATATTTTCCTGTCATATTTTCCTGTCATATTTTCCTGTCATATTTTCCTGTCATATTTTCCTGTCATATTTTCCTGTCATATTTTCCTGTCATATTTTCCTCATATTTTCCTGTCATATTTTCCTGTCATATTTTCCTGTCATATTTTCCTGTCATATTTTCCTGTCATATTTTCCTGTCATATTTTCCTGTCATATTTTCCTGTCATATTTTCCTGTCATATTTTCCTGTCATATTTTCCTGTGATGCGTGACTCCCCCCACGTGACTCCCCACGTGACCAGGGCTCAAGCGTCAGGCCACCTATGGTGAGTGCATCACATGGTGTGGTGACGACATCCCGTGCAAGATTGGATGTTCAAATAACTTTCCTAATTAGCAACTTGATGACGTCAAGTCGGTAGGTCATTTCTTCCTCCTAGCGAGTTCTAGCTACAGGTTGGTCCACTGAATAGTATGCTGGACAAAGGGCTGACCACACTTTTCAATATGTCACAAACACGCTGTTTGCTGACCATCAGGTCCAAATTAGTGCAATCAAATGAAACAATAATTTTCAAATGTTAGTAAATTAAAAATGTATTTCCCCATGTTTGTTTATTTTCAGCATCTGACCAGCGGATATTCACAACACAATTCTACTACAATGTTGTCGACATTTATTCAATTAAAAACGTTTTAAAATTAGTTGGACTTAAGTTTCTTCCTATACCTGTGTCATCCTTGTTTGTGTTTGTGGCGTGTGGTAGTCGGGTAAATATTGACGTCTTGGGGTCAGGTCAAGTTAACATTGACGTCTTGTTGTCAGGTAAGGTTAACACTGACGTCTTATCACATTTGACAATCATAACGTTAAAATATTTTTAGCTTTTATTTATAACACCTAAAGCAAAGATGTGTCCAACAAGCTAGTGAGAGGGTGTGAGGGTATGAGGGTGTGTTTGTGAGTGTGAGGGGGATCAGATTCCGTCTCTAGGTGTGTTGGCACGAGCTCCTACAGTGGCAGTCTCTGTGGAAAGATTGAATGATTGAAAGATTGATCCATCTTTTTATATGAATGGTTGCCCACTCACCCATCTATCAACTGACCCACCCACCCACACAAACAAACACACACACACACATACCAACTAACTCACACACACGCACACCCAAACAGACTCACTCACCCACCTACCAACTCACCCACCAATCCACCCAAACCCACTCACCCACCCCCGTACTCACACACACCCACCCACCCTATTCCTGCACCAGTTAGCGGTACTCACTCCCCTTTCTTCCTATATAAGTTTGTAAACATTCCTTAACAGTTCCATATAGTTATTGTTACGACTCGCTAACTTTCTTACCGTTTGATTTCTTGTTACCTTTATCACGATTTAATAAATAATTTTGAAATTTTATGAACAACTTTTTAATATTAGTACAACTATGGTTATAATTCACAGACCTCTGTCGTCTGTTTTCCCCAGCAAATCATTGTTTTTTTTTTTTTTTTTTTTTTTTTTTTTTTTTTTTTTGCTAAAGACACAATACACAATTAAACGCAGACTAAAACTTAAATCTACTGTACATTTAATTATTATTTATTCATCAATATAATGATATCTTCGTTCGAATTTTTGGAGATATATTGAGCACTGATATATTTGTTCAGCTCTAAATATTTTGCTGTAAATTTTACTTATTTTCTAAAAATGTAGAAATCTGATGCCAAATTTCATTCCCTAAAATAACTAAAACTCGAGACTACATTTTGTTTGACACATGTCATTGTCCCATGTGACGTAGTAGGTCAGGTTGCCGCCAAAACTTGGTCGGATCTTGTACGAACGTCTGCTAACCTGTCTGTGAAGATGAAAGTTCTTTACATACTTTCCCTCGTTCTGCTTGCCGTCTGCACTGTGTTGGCGGGAAAATCAGGTACAGTTCGCCGATTTATTTTTTTAGTAAAAATCGATAAAATAATGTCGAATGAACATAATTTAGTATTTTAGATGAAATAAGGTCTAAAGAACAAATTTGAGTAATTTAGATGAAATAAGGTCTAACGAGCATATTTGAGTATTTTAGATAAAATAAATATCACCAGTCGCCCTGGGGAAGCTGCAGGCAGGTCATCTGTGTTCTTGGCTAACCACTGCATCAGCCACAGGTCTATGTTGAGGCGCCTTAACTTTCCCCAACTCTAGCCAGATACCAATTAAAGCTGGATGGGCTCAGGAAAGTTTAACGGGCTCGAACACAAAATGGTTCACTTTTTTATCAAAGGCAACAAGTTCTGATACCATGGTTTACACCTCAAGATTTACCACGTTTAACCTTTATCGGAGCATGTCTCAATCTTTTCATATAACGTTTAACCTGAGCAGGTCTCAATATTTTCATGCCACGTTTAACCTGAGCAGGTCTCAATATTTTCATGCCACGTTTAACCTGAGCAGGTCTCAATATTTTCATACCACGTTTAACCTGAGCAGGTCTCAATATTTTCATGCCCCGTTTAACCTGAGCAGGTCTCAATATTTTCATGCCACGTTTAACCTGAGCAGGTCTCAATATTTTCATGCCACGTTTAACCTGAGCAGGTCTAAAGCGCCAGGCCAACTACGCCGAGTGCCTTAAAGATTGCGGTGATGACATCCCGTGCTTAATGAGCTGTTCGATTAGGTTCCCTAGTTAGCTGCTCGATGACGTCATGTAGGTAGGCCGCTTCTTCCTTTAATAAACTTTTAAATTATTTACACCTTATGTTCTTGTGTATATAAAAAAATCCCCCCCCCCCAAAAAAAAAAGAACCAAATGCAAAAAGTGTGCGTGGGGGGGGGGGGGGGTGACGAGAACTTTCTTTTTCTTAGGTAAGAACACAATGCTTGGGCATCAGACGGTAAGCATAGTGCCTGGGCATGTCACATGCCGAGTGTCACAAGTACAGATGAACTCTACTTTATCTGCAACATTGACCACCAGGTTCAAATGGAAAATATATTTTTTTAAAGTTATTTTCACAGGCCAGTTGATCGTTTATTTTTGTGTGTTTTATTTCAGCAGTTCAGCAACGGATGTGGATCTCAAGACTTTCCAGCTATGCTATACACAAATATGTAATTAAATAAAGTTAAATTATAATAAAAAATATTATATTTGTTTCTTCCAAAACCACGTCAATAATATTTGTGTTTTTGCCGTGTGTTAATTAGGTACGGTTAAGATTGACGTCTTGTGGTCAGATTAAATTAACATTGACGTCTTGTGGTCATCGGGTCAAATTAACATTGACGTCTTGTGGTCATCGGGTCAAATTAACATTGACGTCTTGTGGTCATCGGTCAAATTAACATTGACGTCTTGTGGTCATCGGGTCAAATTAACATTGACGTCTTGTGGTCATCGGGTCAAATTAACATTGACGTCTTGTGGTCATCGGGTCAAATTAACATTGACGTCTTGTGGTCATCTGGTCAAATTAACATTGACGTCTTGTGGTCATCGGGTCAAATTAACATTGACGTCTACTTTAATTTTACCTAACAACCAGACGTCCATTAAAATTGACTTTAACCTCCGGACATCAGGTAGAGTTAATATGGAAAAAAAAGACATTTTTTAAACATTTAATTTTCATTTATTCATTTATTCATTAGTGAAATAATATTTTAATAAAAAATGGTATAGATATATTTAGCACTGACCATTTATTAAAGACATACGCCTATATATTGCATTTGTAATTTTAACCTTAAAGTGATTGTAAAATATAGGTGCCAATTTTCATTCCTTGAAAAATCTAAAACTCGAGACACCATTTTGTTTGACACATGTCATTGTCCCATGTGACGTAGTAGGTCAGGTTGCAGCCAAAAATTAGTTGCATCTTGTACGAACGTCTGTGAAGATGAAAGTTCTCTACATCTTTTCCCTCGTTCTGCTTGCCGTCTGCGCCGTGTTGGCGGGAAAATCAGGTACAGTTCGCCGATTTTTTTTATAGTAAAAATCGATAAAATAATATCGAATGAACGTATTTGGGTATTTTAGATGAAATAATATCTAATGAACATATTTGCGTATTTGAGATAAAATAAATATCACCAGTCGCCCTGAGGAAGTTGAAGGTCATCTGTGTTTGACCACTGCTTTTTATGTCACGTTTAACCTTTGACCTGAGCAGGTCTCAAGCGCCAGTACACAGAGTGTTTCAAATGGTGCGGTAATGACATCACGTGCTTAATGAGCTGTCCAAAAAGGTCCTCTAATTAGCTGCTCTATGACGTCATGTTGGTAGGCCGATAACGTCATGTTGGTAGGTCGCTTCTTCCTTCAGTAAACTTTCAAATTATTTAAACTCCCAAGTTCTTGTGTTTATAGCCATTCCCACTCAAAGACTTTACAGCCAAAAGTGTGTGTAGTGAGGGGGGCGAACTTATTAGGTGAGGGCACAGTGCTCTGGGCATAGTGCCTAGGCATAATGATCTGGGTGTTTTGCGTGCGCATAGTGCCTGGGCTTGAGACGCAAAGCAAATTGCGCTGGGCATATAACAAGCCAAGTGTCACAAGTACAGATGAACTCTACTTTATCTGCTACATTGACCACCAGGTTCAAAATATTTTTAAAAAATTATTTTAACAGGAACATTGATCGTTTATTTTTGCGTGTTTAATTTCAGCAGTTCAGCTACGGATGTAGGTCTCAAAGATCCCCAGCCTCTCTATACACATGTATCTAATTAAATAAAGTTTAATTATTTTATATTTGTTTCTTCCAAAACCACGTCAACAATATTTGTGTTTGTGGCGTGTGTTCATTAGGTAAGGTTAACATTGGCGTCTTGTGGTCAGATTAAATTAATATTGACGTCTTGTGGTCAGATTAAATTAACATTGACGTCTTGTGGTCAGATTAAATCAACATTGACGTCTTGTGGTCAGATTAAATTAACATTGACGTCTTGTGGTCAGATTAAATTAACATTGACGTCTTGTGGTCAGATTAAATCAACATTGGCGTCTTGTCAAATGAAGCAACTAAAACGTGAAACTATTTTTATCCTTTATTTATTACACCAAAACTAAACATGAACACGGCTAGTTGGTGTGAGAGTGAAAGGGTGAGGGTGTGTCGGTGTGAGGAGGTGTGGGTGTAAGGGTGTGGGTGTGAGGGGGATCAGATTCCGTCTCTAGATGTGTTGGCATGAGCTCCTACAGTGGCAGTCTCTGGGGAAAGATTGAATAATTGAAAGATTGATGTATCTGTTTTACGAGGATGGTTCTCACCCCCTCCCCACCCCCATCCGCGCACCATAAAGCACCATTTGCACACGTCACTGTTAACATCAGCACCTTCTTAATAAATTGTTTTCAACATTCGCCAACACTTCAAATGTTTTCAACTTTCGCCAACATTTCAAATGTCTTCCCAACACTCTTTATCTCTCTCAGACCGTCTCATTAAAATTCCCCTGTGTTCCCCAACAGTTAAAAGTTCCCTGTGTTCCCCAACATTTAAAAGTTCCCTGAGTTCCCCAACAGGTAAACGTTTAGTTCCCGGACAGAAGTGCAACCTGCTTACGTCACACAGTTGGTCCCAGGGGCACAGAGCATGACCAGACATTGACTGACACACGGCAGGGCGGGGTTAGGACAGTCAGCACGTGCCGAGTTGACTGGTGAGCCTGTTGGAGGTTTCACAATTTTTAAAGAGAGCGTCGGTGTATGTGGAGTCAAATGACGCGGACATTTCTGACGTCACATTTCCGGTCAACTGTCTGTGCTATTTATAGTAAGACCGGAAGTGTTTGAAATTAACGTGCACCTACCTGCCACCTGGACCACGCCCACCACCATCCCGACCGTCAGGAGGGTAAGCAGACAGGATAGCTTCATTGTTAGTCGCTCACTTCACTTAAACTGTGACTCCGCGTCAGAGATTGACTTACAACACAAACAGCATGTGTAACATTTATTTTCTTCTACCACATTTTTAATTTTCTCGTATACAAAGTACATTTTACACCGCCCCGAGTCGGAAAATATAGTTTTGCAGTTTTGTCCGTATGTCTGTATATTATTATATATGGGTGTGTGTGTGTGTGTGTGTGTGTGTGTGTGTGTGTGTGTGTGTGTTTGTCTGTAAACACGATAACTTGAGTACCATAACAGATAGGTTGATGAAATTTCATATATAAGTATTATATCAAATTAGTAGTTCTGTATTAACATTTCACCCATTTCTGATAACCCGAAGAGGAACTTATTCTATTTATTTTTCAAAATCCTATTACTTGAGTACTGTTTCAGATAGATAAACGAAAAATTCAAAGATTTAAATCTCTGCCTTCTGTCAAATTTTGAGTAATTTCCGTTGAACGGAAGTTGTACTTTATGCTATTTCCAATTTCTCAATAAACACATACGAATGTATAAAGTACTAGTACTCCGCACGACTATACACATATTGTTTGCCGTTCACTTGGTGCGCAGTTATTTTTTCTACGACATTCTATTCTATTTAAAAAAAAGTTTAAGTATGTAAAAACTGATTTTAAAAATCATGTCTATACCGCCAGTTGCCAGGCCCGTAGTGTTATATTAGAATACTAGCCGTCCTGGCCAGGCCCTGCACTGGCTTCTGTGAAAAACTTATCTGTAAAGTACTATGCCTTGTGTGTTTAGTAATCAGCATATACCCGGCATTCCCCACCCTAACCACAACCACCAAAAACCAAAACACAAACAAAAATGCTAATATAACACAAACGCAAACACAAACCTAACCACAAACGCAAACACAAAGAAAACACTAACACAAAAGCAAACGATAAGCAAACGAAAACAAACCAAATCCAAACGCAAACACAAACTCAACTACAAACGCAAACCCAACCCAAACACAAAGGAAACGCAACTACCTTTCAAATATCCATCCAAATACTAATGTATTTGTTTTAAATGGGAAAATAAAAGTATTCAAAAAACAAAACAAAAACATACAGAATTGAACTTTATATATTAGATTCAAGAAAGTTTGGGGGAGATCACTCCCGCTTTATTTTTTCCTATATTTTTAAAAACTTGAAAAACTTATAGTTATCCTTACATAAAACTTCAATAGGGATGGTGTGCATGTGTTTGTATGGGGGGGGGTGGAGGCGGAAACGTGTGTGGGGGGGGGGGCGAGAGTTGTATGTCTATTATGTCTTGTATTAACCCACTATTCAAATTCCCTATAATTCCCACATCCTATACCAACCCTTTTTCATTTCGCTCCCCCCCCCCCGAGTCTTCCCCTCCCTCATCCTCAAATTACCAGACGATTTAAGCATTTGTGCATGACGTCATAATTGCAGCACGGGTATTTTCTGACGCTGTCTGTTTCTGTCATTATGTCTGTCATTAAACTGTTCGTCATTATGTTTTTTGTCATTATGTCTGTCATTAAATTGTTCGTCATTATGTTTTCTGTCGTTATGTTGTCTGATTTCATCAACAACATTGCCTTTAAAAAAAAACTTCACGTCCAGATATTTAAAGATGATTACACATCTTCTGCTGGTGTCCAAACGAGAGGTTAGTCGTCTGCTCGTCTTTAATCAAAACCAGGAGTTTGAAAAAAATAATTGCCATTTTTTTATAAAATAATTAATTGTACGTGACATTAGCAAGCATCTGGCATTGTTTGAGTTATAGCGAGGTAGTGAGATAGTCAACATCGGTAGTTATCTTTGAGTTACTTTGTATTGTCAACTTGTTAAACAATTCTTCGGAGCCAGAAATCTACAATTTTTTTTTAGTTTAGAACAACAGGCAGTTGAAGATTGTTTGTTACGTCATACAGGTAAAGATTGTCACCTCATACAGGTAAAGATTGTCACGTCATACAGGTAAAGATTGTCACGTCATACAGGTAAAGATTGTTACGTCATACTGGTAAAGATTGTCACGTCATACAGGTAAAGATTGTCACGTCATACTGGTAGAGATTGCTAGCCCCCCCCCCCACACATACTACAGCACACGGGGGAGCTGGAGGACTCTGTCCTGGTCCTGTGTCTTCGGGCTGAGGCTGTCATTGAAGGACTTCTCGCTGTGGTTGGTGTTGTGTGCAACCTCTTCAACATCCTCATCTTTAACCGGATCGGCTACAGCGACACGTCCAACATTTTGCTGACAGCCCTCTCGGTCAGCGGGGCGTTGGTCTCTCAGTACTTGAACATCATCATACCCAGCACCTGGTTTGATCAACCCTGTGGACTTTGGCACCGTATTCCTCGTCTACCCTCACAACTACTTTGTCCGCGTCAGTGGCTTGATCACTGCCTTCGCGGCCTTTGAAAGATGCATGTGTGTCGTCATACCCCTCAAGGTCAAGCAGATCATCACGAAAAAAGTAACCTTGGTATACACCATGGTGACATGAGTTGTCATGACCCTGTACCTGTTTCTCATTAAATACGTCACAGATGTTGCCTCAGACAACCAGACCCACTTCCGGATCAACTTTCACCCGAACGGTCTCAAAGTCTTTGCGGTCTCGTATTTCATCACTGACTTGTTCCTGCCGTACCTGACCTACTCAGTGCTCATCGTCTGCACGGTGGTCATCTCGGTCAAAATAAGACAGTCAGTCTTGTGTTGGGGAATTTTGGGGCATTAAAACTAGTGTTTTGAACGGACACAAATTTTGAAAATTCATAAAAAATTAGTTTGAAGATATGCACTTAAATTTTTTAGTTGCGTGCCCAAAATATGGTAGAAGATTATGAATTGATTGTTTATTGGGCTTAAAAAGTAATATTTTATGAATGGTGGAAAACCTACGAAGGGGTTAATTTTTAAAGACGGCCGCCGTTGTCATAGTTACCAATATTTTTCCACCAATTTTTCTTAGTGGATTTGCAGATGCGGATATATCTTAATAAAGCTGTAAAGAAATAACTGTTTTCTAACGAGTTTTAAAAAAGTTTTTTTTTTTTTACCGGAGCCCTCCCCCTTAATTTTGAATTAATTATGAATTTATTATGAACTGTTTTAACAATATAAGTTTCTCACACTCTACGTAAGTGTGTGTGTGAGTTCGTGTATGTGTGATGACAGTGTCTAGAGGTCGGATGGGGATAAGTGGTCTTGTTCGGATGGTGTTATGAAGATGACAGTTTTCCATCTGAATACCGGGTAGTCTAGTATACTAATAAAACTCACGGGAGATGGTATAATTCACAACTGAGCGGGGGAAATATTTGAATTTTAAACTAAAATTTCAGTGATCTAAATCTCAGTTTTAAAAGTTCTGCAACTTGTAAAAAGTACATTATTTTAAACGGTGTATTTAATAAAACATAAGACTTGGTCTGATTAGGTCACTAAAACAGAAGACCTGGTCTGATTAGGTCACTAAAACAGAAGACCTGGGCTGATTAGGTCACTAAAACAGAAGACCTTGGCTGATTAGGTCACTAAGGCTGTATAGCTCACAGATCTCAGGGAAAACTTCCTAGAACCGATTGCTTCATAAGTTGGGTGGCTTGATCAAATATCTAAATATAGCTGGCAACTTTAGCAAACTCTGTTCTGGCGTCGATAAATAATTTGTTGACGAAACCAGTCACAAGCACAATCACATGACTTACACAACACAATCTCAGACACGTTTTATACTTTATTTTAGAATGGTGTTCTGTCACGGTGGTGACGCATGGTGATACTCCAGATGGTGACGTGCATGAAAACTTAACTAATTAATATCAATAGCCTTCACAGGAAGCGACTTAAGGGCAGGTATAACCGCACACACAATCTCTGTCGACAAACATTAGAGCAAGATTTTAAACTTTACAAACGAGCATATATGTGAAATAAAATAAAATAATGCACTGTGTCCAATATTGACTTCAGTAGGCTGACTTTAACCCTGCTGGGCTGGATAATATTTACCTGATGCAGGTGTGGATATTTACCTGAGGCAGGTGTGGATAATATTTACCTGATGCAGGTGTGGATAATATTTACCTGAGGCAGGTGTGGATAATATTTACCTGATGCAGGTGTGTGGATAATATTTACCTGAGGCAGGTGTGGATATTTACCTGAGGCAGGTGTGTGGATAATATTTACCTGATGCAGGTGTGGATATTTACCTGATGCAGGTGTGTGGATATTTACCTGATGCAGGTGGTGGGACAAGGTGACATCATGTAGGCGTGTGGATATTTACCTGATGCAGGTGGTGGGACAAGGTGACATCATGCAGGCGTGTGTATATTTACCTGATGCAGGTGGTGGGACAAGGTGACATCATGCAGGCGTGTGTATATTTACCTGATGCAGGTGGTGGGACAAGGTGACATCATGCAGGCGTGTGTATATTTACCTGATGCAGGTGGTGGGACAAGGTGACATCATGCAGGCGTCTATGAAGCAGAGGGCGGGGTGAGCACAAACGGCACGCACGTCCCTGAACATCTCCCTCAGGTCAGCTGACCCTGGGGAGGAAATAACTCGACAGTTTGGTCACGTGATTTTGGTAAGTACGTGGTCAATTTATCTGGCTAGAATGTAATTGATCTGCCAGATTGTACTGACCAAGCCGGTCACACGTCGTGAATTATTTAGCCGGTCACACGTCGTGAATTATTTAGCCGGTCACACGTCGTGAATTATTTAGCCGGTCACACGTCGTGAATTATTTAGCCGGTCACACGTCGTGAATTATTTAGCCGGTCACACGTCGTGAATTATTTAGCCGGTCACACGTCGTGAATTATTTAGCCGGTCACTGTCGTGAATTATTTAGCCGGTCAAATGTCGTGAATTATTTAGCCGAGATGAGCGGCTAGTTGAGATAACCTTGACGATCAAACACCCAATGACCCCTGAACTCACTTTGTCCAAACGCCAGACACACAACAAAAACAACAGCACTCAGGTAAACAACAAACTTCATCGTTGGTCTCTCGTGTTTAGTGACCTGCCAGTTAAACTATAGACCGGTCAAGTTTCTCAAATCTTTGGCGCGATGTTAGTTCACTGATAAGAACATATTCTTTAATTGGAACAAGTTACCGTAAGATTTCTTAATGCACTTTGAACTGTATTTAAAAAGTGATTTACTTTTGTAAAGTAGTGCCTGGTCTAAAGTACAAAATTAGTGTACGGTGTAAAGTACTGTCATCAACAAAAATAGTAAACGGTGTAAAGTACTGGTCATTCACAAAATTAGTGTACGGTGTAAAGTACTGTCATTAACACAATTATTAAACGGTGTAAAGTACTGGCAGTAACAAAATTAGTAAACAGTGTAAAGGACTGGTATTAACAAAATTAGTAAACAGTGTAAAAGTACTGTCATTACTTACACATACATCAACGGAGCAGATAATGAAAAGCTCATACGAAAACTGGGCTTCCATCTAACATTTGCCAACAAGCCAAGATTTTGTTTTTATATTTAAAAAATGAAAAGCACTATCCTTTCTGCCGCACTTGCAGCCAAAGTTGGTACCAAACTGCTTAACTTTCCTTTGTACTCTACAGGCATTTTCTGCAAACTAGCGTACCCGTCCCGCGTGTTGCTGCGGCCTCAGAAGAAAGGCTGACTCAATATTTTAAGAGAATTTCATCAATGGATTATATCAAGTTTGTAATTCTGTTTCAATTTTTCAGCGATTTCCTGTAACCGGAAGTGGATTTTATTCTGCTTATGGTTTTTCAAAAGCCCTTAACTTGTTTCAGATAGTTAAATAAAATTTCACATATAAGTAAAAGATCTAATTCTCTGCCTTCTGTCAAATTTTGAGCAATTTCCATTTACCAGAAATAGTACTTGACGCTATTTCCCATTTCTCAAAAAATACATGTGAATTTTATAAAGTACAAATATTCCGCACTATTATATACACTTTGTTTGCTGTTCATTTGGTACGCAATTCTTTCTCTACTAGATTCCATTCTATTTTTAAAAGTTTAAGTAATTAAAAATGGATTAAAAATCATGTCTATATCCCGAGTTGCCACACCCTGTAGTGTTATATAAGTATATACGAGAAAATTTAGGGGAGATCACTCCCGCTTTATTTTAACACGTTTTTCTTAACTCAGCTTCGCGTTTGTTTGTTTGTTTGTTGTTAAAATTGACATCGAAAATTAGCCCACTTCTGATTGCTCTAGAGATCTGAAATTTGGAATGCAGGCTATTTTCGCCTAACAATTTCAGATGCAATCATAAAAACTAGCAATTAGAGACCTAAATTAGCTTAATTAAATTACGCCCCAAGAACCATAAAATCGAGGACATGATTTCTAAACATACCGACAAGACTGGAGGCCTATTGACACAGTTACTTCGGCCCCAATCGATGTGAGCGCGCTGGCCGTGATTGTATAGTGGTTAGTACTTCGCGTTGTGGTCGCGACAACCCAGGTTCGAATCCTGGTCACGGCATGTAGGCTTAATTAAATTACGCCCTTTCTCTGTTTAAAGCGTATCGGTCGCTCAAGATTTTTAGTCCGTGTATTTATAAACACTTAGTCAAGTCATACTTAATCAAGTCATTAGATAAAGTAGAAAATAAACTATATAAAAAACTTTTTAAAAACCACGTTTTTCATGTGTAGCAACGGACTAAAAAGGAGAAAATAAAATACTTAAAAATTAAAAAAAAAAAACACGTTTTTCTTGTGGACTAAAAAGTAGAAAATAAATTTTGTGCTTCCTCGAGCTGTGCAGGTTCTTGATTATTCATACATTTGATGACAAAAAACGTGGGTCGGGCAGATGGGTCGGGAAATTTGATGGTGAACGGTTACTGCTATGTGTTATTGAATTGCTTTATTTGTTTAAACGGCCAATGTGAAAAAAGGCCTTTGTGCCTACAATTGTAACCGTTGTTTGAATAAATTTGAATAAATTTGAATTTGAATTTGAAATGTATGAATAGTCATCTCAAGAACCTGCACAGCTCGAGGAAGCACAAAATTTATTTTCTACTTTTTAGTCCACAAGAAAAACGTGTTTTTTTTAAAAGTTTTTTTTAATTATTTTATTTTTCATTACGGGTTTATAATAAGGATTATTTTTTATAACCTGAAACAAACAAAATGAACTTTCGAACAAATAGTATGAGTGTAATATGACAGCAAGGGTAATTCTAAAAAATTGTTAATTAATTAAGCTGATTTTAAAGTAGTCGATAAAACAGCTACAAATTTCGCCCCGCCCCCTGTCCCCCCACCCCTCCGAATCATTGAACAAGGCCACACCTATGATGGAGACATCGGCTTGCATGAGATTAAACTGTGTCAACGTATCTTGTTTTTCTCGTGCAACGTCGTTAGTTTTTTTTTTTTTTTTTTTTTTTTTTTTTTTTTGTCATCCCTCATTTTGACAACAGTTACCAGAGCGACTAAAATAACGAGAAAAAGTAACGAGGAAGATGAAGACGGTTGTGATAATCTGCGTCTTCTTGTTAGCGCTCTGCTGGCTAGGTGCTCAAGGTAAGTCATTAGTCGCTCATTAATTAACTCCCCGACATGTCTTTGTTTCATTAGTCGCTCATTAATTACCTCCCCGACATGACTATGTAAAAGTTGTCAGTTTTATCCTTAACCCAGCGAGTTAGATCAGTTCAATCTCATTCATTCGTCAAGGAAAGGCCATTGTATCACATGTTCATCAAAGGCCGGTGTGGCCATTGTATCACATGCTCATCAAAGGCCGGTGTGGCCATTGTATCACATGGTCATCAAAGGCCAGTGTGTGGCCATTGTATCACATGCTCATCAAAGGCCGGTGTGGCCATTGTATCACATGGTCATCAAAGGCCAGTGTGTGGCCATTGTATCACATGCTCATCAAAGGCCGGTGTGGCCATTGTATCACATGGTCATCAAAGGCCGGTGTGGCCATTGTATCACATGCTCATCAAAGGCCGGTGTGGCCATTGTATCACATGGTCATCAAAGGCCGGTGTGGCCATTGTATCACATGCTCATCAAAGGCCGGTGTGGCCATTGTATCACATGGTCATCAAAGGCCAGTGTGTGGCCATTGTATCACATGCTCATCAAAGGCCGGTGTGGCCATTGTATCACACGTTCATCAAAGGCCGGTGTGTGGCCATTGTATCACATGCTCATCAAAGGCCGGTGTGTGGCCATTGTATCACATGCTCATCAAAGGCCGGTGTGTGGCCATTGTATCACATGTTCATCAAAGGCCGGTGTGTGGCCATTGTATCACATGCTCATCAAAGGCCGGTGTGTGGCCATTGTATCACATGCTCATCAAAGGCCGGTAAGTGGCCATTGTATCACATGCTCATCAAAGGCCGGTGTGGCCATTGTATCACATGCTCATCAAAGGCCGGTAAGTGGCCATTGTATCACATGCTCATCAAAGGCCGGTGTGGCCATTGTATCACACGTTCATCAAAGGCCGGTGTGTGGCCATTCAAGGCCGATGTGTAGACCAATGTGTCTAAACAAAGTATCACTACAAACAACGCAATGTTTTAGGAGAAAATGTTTCTCAAATAGTTTGCCAACCCTTCATTTATATGCATCCATTAATTAACTAATTGTTTTACCTCTGCTAATTATTGACTCTGATCTACGGACTCTGGCCTTGACCCCGTCCACTCAACAGGTGTGTCCAACTGTATACCTGGTGGCACGTGCTTTGTTGACCCTTGCAGCTTCAACCCGTGTCCAGGCACATGTGTCTTGTAAGTAACCAATGGTTCATGTGTCAACAATTGGTTGCTAGGTAACCATTTAATGTGTCAAACAAATGGTTGCTAGGTAACCATTTAATGGTTGCTAGGTAATAAATTTGTCAACAAATTAGTTACTATATAACCTTTAAAAGATTCCTCTTTAGACCTAGCTATCCATTGGGCAGGTGAAGCTGCGTTCATATGTTTCTTGACCTCAGCAAATGAAGAGATAATGTGGTCAGCACTTTGCCCAGCCGCCTTTACTTTCCCTGAGTCAGGTACCCATAAGAGCTGTTTGGGCTCAGGGACGTCGTACAGTAGCTAGTCCGAACTGAGACCCGAACACAAGACCTTTGGGTTAGCAGCCAAATGCCCCCCTATGTAACCTTCAAAAATGTGTACAAATGACTTAAACAAAAAGAAGTACCGATACATATTCTGCTTGTCCCCCTTGAACAGAGAATGTGGATGTGCCTACCACTGTGCCTAGAGGCTCACAGCTATGGTCGACACCAGTGAATGTTGCCGCTGTACGGTGCCGTGTGAATTTGTTCTACCAATAAAACTACACTACTAACCATTAAGGTGTACATGGAAAATGTTTGCCTGACTTGGTAGAATATTGTATTACTCTTGTATACATCATGCAATTTGAATTAGCCAATAAACTCACTGCTTAATGCTTGTTTGTTTACTTGTTTATTTGATTGAAAAACACGGCTGATGTTTTTTCCAAATCGAATGAAAACCAAAATATACTCCAAAATTCAAAGTGTAGCTCCCATTTAAAACAAAAAGCGGTCTTTGGTCAATTTTTACAACTTTATAGTTTTTTAAATCAGAAACAGATGTTATTTTTAACCCAAAGGGACGCTATAAATGACTCTTTGATGCTTTATGGCTTGTCATCGATATTATAGGCATATAGGCCTATATAATATTATATATATATATATATATATATATATATATATATATATATATGTATATCCACTGGAAGTCTATTTGAGTAGTCTATAGTTTTCATAGTGTAAGTTCTGAGACGGTGCGAAGTTACAGGTCGCTACAAAGTCTCCAAACATTCTCTGTACAAATCTGGTTTATTTCATTAATTAACCTGTGTGATGTTTTTATAGATCTCGTTTTAAAAACCTGGCCAACCCAACCCATTTTCTCAACAAGTGCCACCCTGGCCAACCCAACCTATTTTCTCAACAAGTGCCAACCTGGCCAACCCAACCCATTTTCTCAACAAGTGCCAACCTGGCCAACCCAACCCATTTTCTCAACAAGTGCCAACCAGGCCAACCCAACCCATTTTCTCAACAAGTGCCAACCTGGCCAACCCAACCCATTTTCTCAACAAGTGCCACCCTGGCCAACCCAACCCATTTTCTCAACAAGTGCCAACCAGGCCAACCCAACCCATTTTCTCAACAAGTGCCAACCAGGCCAACCCAACCCATTTTCTCAACAAGTGCCAACCTGGCCAACCCGACCCATTTTCTCAACAAGTGCCACCCTGGCCAACCCAACCCATTTTCTCAACAAGTGCCACCCTGGCCAACCCAACCCATTTTCTCAACAAGTGCCAAGATTTTCTGAGTGTAAACTAAAAGCTGCAGTTGTGGTTTCTTAAAAAAAAAAAAAGTTAATTAGCAACCAAATTTAATTTACTAACAAAACTTTGCCGCCTTATTCTATGCAAGACATGAACTCAGCTGTCCTTATCTCAGCTCTAGAAGCCACAGGGGGTCATACATCCTCAGGTCCTGAAACCACAGTGGGTCCTACATCCACAGGTCCTGAAACCACAGTCCCTGATAATTGTCTTAGAGGCTTTTTTTCATTTGATCTCACTATAATAATAAAAACAAATATTAGACCTATCAAGTCATCTGACAACCAAACCATTCTTGCAACTAAAGACGTCAGAAGATCAATGTGAAGTTTACAAGCTATAGAGATCACACTATACTACTCACATTCATTACCTGAATTTAAAAAAAAAACAACAAGAAAAATTTGCTTATTTATGATGAAAAATGTGGCTTCATTTTTTTTTCTTACTTTGTCCAGACATTAAAAATATACACCAAGACACAAACACATAAACGAAACAAAAACATGAAGATTCAAATGTTTAGAAATATTTGTACAACAAAAGGTTGATCATCTTTTGTGGGATATTTTGTAAGCGCTGAATTTTCCTGATGGGGGTGCTGGCCAAGATGGCGTCCCTGCATAGCTCCTGTAGAGAAAACACCCTCGGGATCCTCCACAGACGCAGTTGTCCGTCACACGTTGTGCTGGCCAGGTGCTCACCATTCTGAGAGAAGCTGAGATGAAGGATTGTGGGATACCCGCGCTGGATTCTCTGGGTCTGCTCCTGGCACAACACGGACATGTCAATGCTGTGGAACACATTCTGATTCTCAGAGTCATAGACAACGATGTCAAAGTTGTGGAAACCTACAGCAATCAGCTGACCATCCCGACTGTAGTTCAGACAGTCGACGTCCTCATCCGTCTCAAAAGATGAGAGAACCTCAGCAGTGGAGATGTTCAGTGTGTGAACAAATCTGTTTTTTGTGGCCACTGTCAGGACTTCAAAAGCAAATTGTGGGTTGAAATCAAAAGCTAACGGAGACGAGAGGTTCTCATCTAGCAGGTCAGGGCAGATGGTCAGATACTTCGCCAGTGTGGTGGCCCTGACAGTGAACAGTATACCTTGAGAACCACTGACAGCCAGTAGTCTTGAGTTAGGGGAAAATTTACAAGCAACGTTGTCCGTCCGATTTCTGGAGGGAATAAATCCTTGACAGATCTGTCGACATCGCATGCTTGCGTTGGTTTGGATGCCAGAATCAAGTTCATAGAGTTCCAGAAAAAAATCCAGAGTCCCCCGCTTCAAGCATGCCAGGCTGATACCATTGTTGGCCACAGAGCAGTAGACATGGACAGCGTTGGCCAGGTCACGGCTGCGTGTGTACACAGGGTCGCCATTGTTGGCCATCACCACGGCCTCACCGGTCCCACAGTAGGCCACCATCTCACCCAGGGGATGCGGCACCACATTGGGCAACACTGTGCTGTTGGTGCGGCTAAATATGGTGCATTCTAGTTAGAGCAGAAAATAAATGGTTTACATTAAATGTTAAATGGCTGCTATATCTTTCAATTATTTTTTTCACTTCAATTCGTACTCAATTTAACTATGAACTTAAATTAACTTAAAAAATGATTAGCAACTTAGTTTCAAACCAATCAAAGTTTGGTCAAACTCACGGACATCATCAGGAGCAAGTAAGTTGTACTGAAGAACTCGGCCGTTCATGGCGTTGGGAACAGGCGTCCATGTTTGACCAGGACGAGGATGGTAAGCCGAGGATGTGGCATACAAAGTGTTGTCTTTAAATGGAACAAACTCAGCATCACACCACCAGAACCAGGTGCCATCATCAACCCCTCGTCCTATTCAGCAAAGTTTATAAACAACTGATTGATAGCATCTAATTAAATATTAATTATTATTAACTAATACAACATATTGAAAGTCGATACTTTTCAATTTTTCAATTCAGTGTATTGAGATTGCATTTAATTATTTAATAGTTTAAATGTAAATCTAGTTTTTCAGACTGGTGTGAATTAAAACTCATTTAATAATTAGTTTTAACTTTGCTCCTCTGCTGAATAAAGACAATGCAATTTTTATTTTAAGTTGAAACTGATGTAAGTTCAAATGTGTATACACTCAATTAATCACTTAATTTATCAATTAATTTCTACAACCAACAACTTTAAAATTAAGAAGGCGCAACTTTCTAAATATAAGTTTGAACATAAGGTTGCTTTTTAATGAGATGTTCTAAGTGTAAATCAGGCTGAAAGACAGGCTATACTACATGCTGGTAGTCACAGCAGTTTTAAATGGAAGAAGCTGAGCAGGCGAGTGTCATGGGTAGTGGGAAATCTGGACACCCTAAAAGAACTTTAGAAACTTATAAACTAGCGGTCATTGTCAGGATGTCGTGGGCTTATGGTCACTCTGAAAACAACAAACACTAGTGGACATTCTAAGAACTTAACAGGCCAATCATTCTGAGAATCTCATTAATTAATGGTAACTATTAGTATTTAACATTTAACAGGATATATTATATAATATAGACTAATGACTATTCTCAATGATATTAAGAATATAGATTATAGATCCTCTGGATTTGTATGTTCTTCATAAAAACTCTGATAATTAACCATTATGGTCAGTTATCCTATAAACTTTACATAATTGAATACATCTATTATTTGAGCATCTTGGCATATATACCATTGATGAACTTACTTAATTTTTCAGGTAGAATGTGAAAGCCAGACACTAGCCCATCATCTCCAGCTGGCCAAATGTCTTTAGGAAAGGGAATGTAAGGGGACACAGGATAGCAGCAGTCAGACAGAGACTGTATGCTTAAAATTTCTTTAATCCGCAATGAAGGTCCGACTCCCATGATAGATTAAGCCGTCAGTGAGTTCAACTCATGTTGTAGATATCTGAAGTAGAGTTTATCATATTGTTATGTGCACATAAATTATGCTAAATGTCAGAGTTAGATTGACTGGTGTAGTTGTAGTTACCTTTTGGTGTGGTTGTAGTTACCTTTTGGTGTGGTTGTAGTTACCTTTTGGTGTGGTTGTAGTTACCTTTTGGTGTGGTTGTAGTTACCTTTTTGATGTGGTTGTAGCTACCTTTTGGTGTGGTTGTAGTTACTTTTTGGTGTGGTTGTAGTTACCTTTTGGTGTGGTTGAAAATATTTTTTACTAAAAAGTTTCATATTAATTTAGTCGTAACATTTTCTTGACAAACTCCAACTGAGCTAACAGTTTAAAAAAGATGTTTTGATTGGCCAATGAATCAGTACATACATTTTGCACAATCCACCAACTAAAGTTTCTGTATATTGTATTTGTAAGAAGTCTGTTATAACCCACATGCATTTCAGTAATAGATTCAAACACATTGTGTATAATTAATTTAGTTACTTAGTTTTTTTCTTGATTACATGGAGTTTCTTTTTCACCAAAACACTGAAACTGTACAAAAGTGATACTAAAAAAAAGCATTAAATTTTAATTTTATGATATATTTTAATAAAACACTGCCATAATGTCTTTAATATTCTCAATTTCTTTGTGGTCATAAATAGATCATAGGAAATGTTCTTTTGGCCATCATGATATAGACAATGGACTTAATTTATAATAAAACAAGACCAAAACAAATAGCTGTTTTTTTTTTTAAATCACACTTTTGGGGGTCTTTAATACATAAAGTCACACTTTTTTTGATGATTTGTACCCTCCTCCCCATCGCTAAACAATGTCATAAAAAGTCAGCCACCTCCTCTCCCTTAAATTGACATCATACCTTAGCCTACAACCCCCCTCAAAATTTCAGTTTTTTTTTTTTAAAAAAAACATAGATTTCTTTCAAAAATAATTACTGAGCTAGATCTAGGTCAAAATAGAGTATATTGATCAATTTCTAATAAGCTGACAATTTTAAAAAAAAAAAACAGCTTTCTAAAACTCTAATTAACAGTTATAATTTATAATTCAGCTTCTAACATTACTTTAAAAAAAAAAGATGTCAAACTTTCTTAACCCTAACCCTTCCTTGTAGGAGTGTGACGTCATTTATGGACTACCCCTTGGGATGATTTTTATCTCCCCCTCCCCTTTCTAACAACAAGGCATTCGAAACTAGGAATACTATTTAAATTAGTGACAATGTCACTCTCTTCCTCACTAGTAGTCTAATACTTACAAATTAGAATAGTTGCTATGTATTAGGCCTATGTAGATCTAGTATTAAGATTCCATATTCAGTGCATGCGAGTATGATCAGTATGCATATTTTATAATTTATAACAATCACAAAAAGCAATGGCATCAGAGGGGTTTGAATATTTATTTTAATTGTTTTGTACTAAAAAACATTTTTTATAGTTAAGTCAATATTGCAATAATCAATAGTTAATTTAAGTAATTATTGACTATTGTACTGTAGTATTGGCAATACTAATACTAGTCAATTCAGAATCAATATTATACAAAACAAAATATAATAGATCTAGATTCTAGATCTATGACTATATATTATATAATATCAATATGTGAATGTTCAGTCCTTAAAAAAAACTAAGAGTGTAGTTAAGAGTAAGACTTAAGTCCACTACTTTATTAAATAAACCAAATATATAATTTGAAATGTAAACTCACACATACTACTAACTTAATCCACTATACTAAACAATACTTGTCTGTAGAATGATCTGTATTGGTCGGCATTCCTAAATTCAAATGAAGATTTTTATAATTGTTTGTATCAATAAGAAGATTTTACGGTCAATAGTATGTCCACCATTGTTGTCATTAACGACAAATATTTATAAATTATAACCTGCACATACTACTAATAATATTTAAGCTACTTACAAATTCGTTAGTTTTATTTACTAAATAAAACAAAAAAAAATACGTAAGGAACACCGTTTTGTAGGTAACATAATATTTAATTCTAAATCATTATTGATACGAAACTAAAGCTGGAGAGGTAAATCTAAATCTAGAGATATTTTTACAAATGGCTGCCGCAGAGGTAGCGGTAACTCCTACAGTGGGAGCCGAAGACGATGAAGATTGGTTGTATGGGGGTAAAAAAAATTTTTTGCAGTTACTGATTGCAGATTTATAAACACCATTTGGAATCTAATACCATCGTATAAAATTAATTTTCGGAGCTGGCCTTAAAAATTTTTACATGACGTCTCGGAGAACCCGACCATCAGATTTAAATTTCAAAATCAAAATGACTTGCACACCATCATTATTCATTAATCATTTGGCAATTTCTAAAATTAAAAAAATACTAAAATTATGTTTCAAAATTAGATCTAGAATCTAGTCTAGATCTAGACTTCTTAATTAGATTCTAGATCTAGATTCTGGATCTACTGCTGTTGCATTACATATGATATTAAAGCATACATTATTTTAAATAAATGCACATGTTTAAAAAAAGGCAGATGTTATCCGGAAAAAGATGCGCAATGGAGAGAAACTACGACTTGCCATCGCGGCGATGTTTTTGATGGTACTGCGCATGCGTGTGTTTACAACCGCAGAACCCTATACTAACACCAACCCTAGCCCTAATCCTATCCCTAACCCTCATTCTAACCCTAGCCATAGGTCACTGCGCATGCGCAGAGCTATCTTTTGCCGACTAAGTGGAGACGTTGGGGAGAAAAATCTTCCGAGTAGTCACTTCGTTAAAAAAATAATTTAAAGTAGGCCTAGGCCTAAGTGAAAGTGGTAAGCCTAAAAATAAAATCTACTTCTAGAATCTAGCAGTTTACCCCTTAATGATCATGTGCTAAAGAAAAAATTGTTGGCCTAATTATTTGTTTTTGTTTAGTTAGGCCTAGATCTATTAAAAAGGGTGTGAAAATCCCCGGTGACATGTCATTTTTGTTTTATATTTTATTCCCACCCGACAGTTAGACTGGGTGCAGGGTAAAATGTGAAGATGACTGTGACAATTGTACCACCTCCAAGTTCTTAGCTACAAATTATTTACGATGAACTTTGATGCAGACTAAAATTTTATTATCATAAATTCCCATATATATATTTCAAATTCAATGAATCTGATTTTGCGATTTTTACTAAACCCTAAATGTTGACTTTGTATACTGCTATTTGAAACAGCTTAACATGCAGATGATAATTTACTTTTTTAATATTTTGTTGACCAGCAAACAATTCATTACTTAATCACTTAATGTAAAAATGTACTATCGTATAGGCTAAATTTTATCTTTTCATGTTCATTTAATTTTATATCAGTCAAAAATTTCCTGCTCATGTATCTATTTCTCGATTCCTTTAATATTGATATTTTCACAAAAAAGGTATGGACGATATGTTGAGTCATCCCTTTGAAAGCCGGTCAGAAAATCCCCCGGCCTGGCCTTAACCAACCGGCCTCAACTCTTAACCAATTGGCGGGGTTGTTGCATTGAGTTGAATATAAACTCAATCAAAAATATAAACAATCTCCTCACAGTGACCCCTCACAACATCAGCCAAAACAAACTTACAACAAACAACAAGTCTTGCAAAGTTATCTTGCCATTGACTGGTGGTTTTGCTAATATTATCATCTCACATTTTCAAAAAGGCGTCCTATCTAATTGCAAAAAAAACAGTGTTGATCGTCAGTAATTATTATTAGTCTTCTGTCATTGGATGATATTGATAACATACAATTTTAATTGCAGGTGAAGATAAAGACAAAAAGCCAAATATTGAAGAATTGGAAGAAAGGTTTGATTTTTATATGTTCTTCTCATTAGCCATTGTATTATTTATTTTAGATTTAGTTTGTTGGAAGTAAATTTTCATGTCTATTTAAAGTACTTTATTATTATTATGGACACTGAAATTTTAAATATGGGGTAGGTTTTGTGTTTTTCTAATTTATTTTGCTCAGTCTTTTTAAACATGTTACATTTTTTAATGTAAATTATTCCTAACTTGTTTTTGCAGTGTTAACCAACAGAAAGATGTGGAGAAAGAAGGTGTAGAGGTGGTAAGTTATACCTTGGCTTATGTGATGTTCTCATCATGTTGAAACTGTCAGTGAGTCAAGTTAGGTGAGACAGTGTCACATTAATGTATCAAACTGACACAAACACTGTCAGTTATAGAGGACACGTGTAACTACACACAGATATAAAATTACAAGATAGAATGAAATATTACAGGCTGAGTACACCACACTAACCTGTCATTCTCAAAGGGATGTTACAGTTTTGCAGTAATCTAGATTAGACACTTTTTAACCCCAATAATGACTTTAATACCTGGGCCCTGCCCTTCAACCAGATTATTTCCCTTGATAGAGTGGTGTGAAAAATTTTTGTTTTCAAACTTTGTCAGGACTCTGGGCTTGACCCAAACTTGATGTAACAGTTGACTGCCTGGTGCTCAACATTTTTTTCTGTATTGGGGTGCTGTCTGTGATCCTGACAATTAAATAACTGGTTAAGAAAGAAAGTTTTAGAAGGAATTTCATTTATAGCACTCCTTGTTATTACTCTAGTTATTTTTTTAGTATATTATCGTTTTCTAAATTTACTAAATAGTTTGCCATGTATTTGATTTGTCTGTGTCTATTTTCTTGTTTGAATGTATTTGTTGGATATTGTGTGCACCTGATAGTGTTGGATATTGTGTGCATCTGATAGTGTTGGATATTGTATGCACCTGATAGTGTTGGATATTGTGTGCACCTGATAGTGTTGGATAGTGTGTGCACCTGATAGTGTTGGGTATTGTGTGCATCTGATACTGTGTGGTATTGACAGGAACTTGCTGCAGAAGATGCAGAACAAGAAAAGAAGGAGCCAACAGAAGCAGCAGCTGGTGATGAAGATGATGATGAGGACGATGATGATGACAATGTTCAGGTTACCATTGGAGACATCAGAACTTGGACTGGGACAGAGTAAGTCAAGATTGCACATCACAAACATACATTTTCCTGACAAATGGAAACTTTTTCAACAATGTCAATTTTCTTTGATTATTTTTTTCTAGGGCAGCGCCAAGAAATTTATTTAAAAGTGGACAAAATTACCAGAAAAGTGCAGCAGGTGAGAGAAAATTTTGAAGTTCCTCCAACTGAGCTGAGTGTATCCTACCCCAGTCCTTTAGCTGAGTGTATCCTACCCCAGTCCTTTAGGTGCGTGTATCCTACCCCAGTCCTTTAGCTGATTTTATCCTACCCCAGTCCTTTAGCTGATTTTATCCTACCCCAGTCCTTTAGCTGAGTGTATCCTATCCCAGCCTTTAGCTGATTTTATCCTACCCCAGTCCTTTAGCTGATTTTATCCTACCCCAGTCCTTTAGCTGATTTTATCCTACCCCAGTCCTTTAGCTGAGTGTATCCTACCCCAGTCCTTTAGCTGATTTTATCCTACCCCAGTCCTTTAGCTGATTTTATCCTACCCCAGTCCTTTAGCTGATTTTATCCTACCCCAGTCCTTTAGCTGAGTGTATCCTACCCCAGTCCTTTAGCTGATTTTATCCTACCCCAGTCCTTTAGCTGATTTTATCCTACCCCAGTCCTTTAGCTGATTTTATCCTACCCCAGTCCTTTAGCTGAGTGTATTTTGAAGTTCCTTCCATTCTGTTATCTGTAGCAATGTATAAATAGAAATGAATGTTGATTATTGGTCTAGACTCGCTATTAAGATGTTGTACTGTATGTTAATCCAATGGTTTTCATCTCAGCTGCTCCTGCTAAGCCAGCACCCACAACTAAAGGCCTGGACATTGAAGCTGTTGGCACCATCAATGGCACTCCTGTGTATGATTTTGACTTGAACACACTCAGCACAGAGGATATGCCATGGAGGAAACCAGGTACACATATTTACTCCAGTAACAGCTTATTTATTTATAAAATCAAAATGGTTCTTTCCCCTACATTTGATCTGTGGAGCAATTTATAGTTTAAAAGTTTTGTGTGTGACGAGTGAATGGTGTCAGATGTAACAAGGGACTGACTGCGTTGTGTGACAAGTGAATGGTGTCAGATGTAACTAGAGACTGACTGCGTTGTGTGACAAGTGAATGGTGTCAGATGTAACTAGGGACTGACTGCGTTGTGTGACAAGTGAATGGTGTCAGATGTAACTAGGGACTGACTGCGTTGTGTGACGAGTGAATGATGTCAGATGTAACTAGAGACTGACTGCGTTGTGTGACGATTGAATGATGTCAGATGTAACTAGGGACTGACTGCGTTGTGTACGAGTGAATGATGTCAGATGTAACTAGGGACTGACTGCGTTGTGTGATGAGTGAATGATGTCAGATGTAACTAGGGACTGACTGCGTTGTGTGACGAGTGAATGATGTCAGATGTAACTAGAGACTGACTGCGTTGTGTGACGAGTGAATGATGTCAGATGTAACTAGGGACTGACTGCGTTGTGTGACGAGTGAATGATGTCAGATGTAACTAGAGACTGACTGCGTTGTGTGACGAGTGAATGATGTCAGATGTAACTAGGGACTGAGTGCGTTGTGTGACGAGTGAATGATGTCAGATGTAACTAGAGACTGACTGCGTTGTGTGACGAGTGAATGATGTCAGATGTAACTAGGGACTGACTGGGTTGTGTGGCGAGTGAATGATGTCAGATGTAACTAGGGACTGACTGCGTTGTGTGACGAGTGAATGATGTCAGATGTAACTAGGGACTGACTGGGTTGTGTGGCGAGTGATTGATGTCAGATGTAACTAGGGACTGACTGTGTTGTGTGACGATTGAATGATGTCAGATGTAACTAGGGACTGACTGCGTTGTGTGACGAGTGAATGATGTCAGATGTAACTAGAGACTGACTGTGTTGTGTGACGATTGAATGATGTCAGATGTAACTAGGGACTGAGTGCGTTGTGTGACGAGTGAATGATGTCAGATGTAACTAGAGACTGACTGCGTTGTGTGACGAGTGAATGATGTCAGATGTAACTAGGGACTGACTGGGTTGTGTGGCGAGTGAATGATGTCAGATGTAACTAGGGACTGACTGCGTTGTGTGACGAGTGAATGATGTCAGATGTAACTAGGGACTGACTGGGTTGTGTGGCGAGTGATTGATGTCAGATGTAACTAGGGACTGACTGTGTTGTGTGACGATTGAATGATGTCAGATGTAACTAGGGACTGACTGCGTTGTGTGACGAGTGAATGATGTCAGATGTAACTAGAGACTGACTGTGTTGTGTGACGATTGAATGATGTCAGATGTAACTAGGGACTGACTGTGTTGTGTGACGAGTGAATGATGTCAGATGTAACTAGGGACTGACTGGGTTGTGTGGCGAGTGAATGATGTCAGATGTAACTAGGGACTGACTGGGTTGTGTGGCGAGTGAATGATGTCAGATGTAACTAGGGACTGACTGCGTTGTGTGACGAGTGAATGGTGTCAGATGTAACTAGAGACTGACTGCGTTGTGTGACGAGTGAATGATGTCAGATGTAACTAGAGACTGACTGGGTTGTGTGGCGAGTGAATGATGTCAGATGTAACAAGGGACTGACTGTGTTGTGTGACGAGTGAATGATGTCAGATGTAACTAGAGACTGACTGCGTTGTGTGACGATTGAATGATGTCAGATGTAACTAGGGACTGACTGTGTTGTGTGACGAGTGAATGATGTCAGATGTAACTAGGGACTGACTGGGTTGTGTGGCGAGTGAATGATGTCAGATGTAACTAGGGACTGACTGCGTTGTGTGACGAGTGAATGATGTCAGATGTAACTAGGGACTGACTGCGTTGTGTGACGAGTGAATGATGTCAGATGTAACTAGGGACTGACTGCGTTGTGTGAGGAGTGAATGATGTCAGATGTAACTAGGGACTGACTGCGTTGTGTGACGAGTGAATGACAGATGTAACTAGGGACTGACTGGGTTGTGTGGCGAGTGAATGATGTCAGATGTAACTAGGGACTGACTGTGTTGTGTGACGAGTGAATGATGTCAGATGTAACTAGGGACTGACTGGGTTGTGTGGCGAGTGAATGATGTCAGATGTAACTAGGGACTGACCGCGTTGTGTTGGACCAGGTGCTGACATCACAGACTACTTCAACTACGGCTTCACTGAGGAGAGCTGGAAGGCTTACTGTGAGAAACAGAAGGTCCTCCGGGCTGAAGCTACAGGAGGAATTTCTGTCATCTCCACATCAGCTCCCAGATATGTAAGGCACATTTCCCATGATCCCCCAGTTAGCTAAATAATTTGTGAGACACATTTTATTTCCCATGATTCCCCAGTCAGCTAAATAATTTGTGAGACACATTTTATTTCCCATGATCCCCCAGTCAGCTAAATAATTTGTAGAGCACATTTTATTTATGTTTACCTGTAATTTTGTGAGACACATTTTATTTGTGTTTACCTGTAATTTTGTGAGACAGATTTTTTTTGTCTGTAAAACAAGCCTTGTGCTATCACTATCTTAAATAGCTGGCTATTTATCAAGTTATTTCATCAGTTTAACTGACAGCTAAGGGGTCGGCGTGGTCGAGTCGGTAAAGCTCATGTTTGCTAAACCGAAAAAGTCTCGAGTTCGAACCCTCGGGCAGATGAGGCTCGTTAGCTGGGGACAGCTACTCTTCTAGGAGAGACAACTCCAAAATCAAACAACTGCTGCCTTGTAGCTTGTTCTTGGTTGGACAAAGGCTATGGAAGCAAATCCAAAAAGAAAAGCAGGCTGAAATTGGAGTCAATGGCCTCAATGGCGCATAACCAGTTGACACGTAACGCTTAATTGTGTTGGAGGCGTGGTCGAGTCGGCAAAAAGCTCATGGTTGATAAATTCGAAAAAGTCTCGAGTTCAAACCCACTGGCAGATAAATCTCGATCCCCTTCAACACTAATAATTAAGAACGAAGAAGAAGAAGACTGACAGCTAGGATCCTTTTTCTTAAATATATTTAAAAGATTTTTTTAAAAGTACAGTTCCCATTTCAGACCTTACTATAGTAGCCCTACAAAAAATTTCAATGGTACAAGCCACATTTTCTTACTCCAGCGTAGGTGACTAAAAAAAGAAAAAAGTTATTTAGTTTATTGAGCCACCATGTCAGATATAACGGCTCTGTAATGTATGAAAATGTCATCCGTCTGTCTGTCTCTAACATCTGGCACCTTTTGTTTCAGGCTAACCCCATTCTGTCCTCTCTACCTGGTGAGTCAGTCTTGTTCACTCAACTATTTTTGTACAGGCTCTTACATACAATGTCAACACTTAAGTGGACTGAGCTAGTTCAGTTGTTATTATATTACAAGCCTGTTGGTGTTACAGACGTGTTGTTGGTGTTACAGACGTGTTGTTGCTGTTACAGATGTGTTGTTGCTGTTACAGATGTGTTGTTGCTGTTACAGATGTGTTGTTGCTGTTACAGATGTGTTGTTGCTGTTACAGATGTGTTGTTGCTGTTACAGATGTGTTGTTGCTGTTACAGATGTGTTGTTGCTGTTACAGATGTGTTGTTGCTGTTACAGATGTGTTGTTGCTGTTACAGATGTGTTGTTGCTGTTACAGATGTGTTGTTAGTGTTACAGTGATACAGATGTGTTGTTGCTATAAAATTGTTGGTGTTATAGATGTGTTATTGGTGTTACAGATGTGTTGTTGGTGTTACAGATGTGTTGTTGGTGTTACAGACGTGTTGTTGCTGTTACAGATGTGTTGTTGCTGTTACAGATGTGTTGTTAGTGTTACAGTGATACAGATGTGTTGTTGCTATAAAATTGTTGGTGTTATAGATGTGTTATTGGTGTTACAGATGTGTTGTTGGTGTTACAGATGTGTTGTTGGTGTTACAGACGTGTTGTTGGTGTTACAGATGTGTTGTTGGTGTTACAGACGTGTTGTTGGTGTTACAGATGTGTTGTTGCTGTTACAGATGTGTTGTTAGTGTTACAGATGTGTTGTTGCTAAAAATTGTTGCATGTTACAGATGTGTTGCTATAAAATTGTTATTTTTCAGACAAATTAATCCTGCCATCTCAGACGTCGTCCATTAGCACCATCAACTCCAACAACAACTCCAGCGGTAACAGCAACATCATCACAATAGGGGTCATAGGTGGCAGCACCAGCAGACGTAAGGATGACTCCAGCCATGATACGCCTATTCAAGTGGGAAACTTGTAAGGCTGCAGTTAACTATGTACTGGTTGCACACGTTAACTTTGTACTGGTACCATGTACGGATGTATTGGGCTGTACCACATACATATGTATTGGGCTGTACCACATATGACTGTTGATGCAACCCTCTGTTTTTAATATGTTAGATCTGGCCTTGCTTTCATGTCTTTAACCAAATGTTTTGTACACTTCCAGCAACAGAAATATTCCAATGAACTTCAGTCAGCCTCCCCCTGCCCTCCCCAACACATCCATACCTCCACCTGGTAAGATTCTTATCTGCTTAACCCTTTACTGCCCACACATTCACTTTATTAGAGAAAAAGTCAGTGTTTCAGACTTTTAAAAATAAATAAATAAGAAAAATATCTCAGCTATGTTTGATTGTAAATGCATAATGATTGACACTAAAAATATTTTAAAATCCACCTAATTAAATTGTTATAAATTAGTATACATTACAATTTTCTTGTTGAAATTCTTGACTTGTATTTTATGTACTTGAAGAAGTTGATCACTCATTAAATACCATCTGACCACCCATCACTAACTGTTTCTTTCTGTCATGACCACAGGTTTGGCCCTGCCATCATTTACTGCACCTCCACCTTCATTTGAATGTAAGATTTTTTTTTTTTGCCATTATTTAAGTTACTGGTTCATTTGAATGTAAGATTTTTTTTGCCATTATTTAAGTTACCGGTTCCTTTAAATGACTTTTATCAGGGCTTGTAAATGAGCCTGGGGACAGCAGTGGTATCACTAGGGATCCTCCATTTATAACATCCACACACAAATATAAATTTTAAACCTTCTGTTAGTACCTAAAATGTTTTTCTTCTATCCAGCATTCTACCACCCCACCACCATTCTGTTAGTACCTAAAATGTTTTTCTTCTATCCAGCATTCTACCACCCCACCACCATTCTGTTAGTACCTAAAATGTTTTTCTTCTATCCAGCATTCTACCACCCCACCACCATTCTGTTAGTACCTAAAATGTTTTTCTTCTATCCAGCATTCTACCACCCCACCACCATTCTGTTAGTACCTAAAATGTTTTTCTTCTATCCAGCATTCTACCACCCCACCACCATTCTGTTAGTACCTAAAATGTTTTTCTTCTATCCAGCATTCTACCACCCCACCACCATTCTGTTAGTACCTAAAATGTTTTTCTTCTATCCAGCATTCTACCACCCCACCACCATTCTGTTAGTACCTAAAATGTTTTTCTTCTATCCAGCATTTTACCACCCCACCACCATTCTGTTAGTACCTAAAATGTTTTTCTTCTATCCAGCATTCTACCACCCCACCACCATTCTGTTAGTACCTAAAATGTTTTTCTTCTATCCAGCATTCTACCACCCCACCACCATTCTGTTAGTACCTAAAATGTTTTTCTTCTATCCAGCATTCTACCACCCCACCACCATTCTGTTAGTACCTAAAATGTTTTTCTTCTATCCAGCATTCTACCACCCCACCACCATTCTGTTAGTACCTAAAATGTTTTTTTCTTCTATCCAGCATTCTACCACCCCACCACCATTCTGTTAGTACCTAAAATGTTTTTCTTCTATCCAGCATTCTACCACCCCACCACCATTCTGTTAGTACCTAAAATGTTTTTCTTCTATCCAGCATTCTACCACCCCACCACCATTCTGTTAGTACCTAAAATGTTTTTCTTCTATCCAGCATTCTACCACCCCACCACCATTCTGTTAGTACCTAAAATGTTTTTTTCTTCTATCCAGCATTCTACCACCCCACCACCATTCTGTTAGTACCTAAAATGTTTTTCTTCTATCCAGCATTCTACCACCCCACCACCATTCTGTTAGTACCTAAAATGTTTTTCTTCTATCCAGCATTTTACCACCCCACCACCATTCTGTTAGTACCTAAAATGTTTTTCTTCTATCCAGCATTCTACCACCCCACCACCATTCTGTTAGTACCTAAAATGTTTTTCTTCTATCCAGCATTCTACCACCCCACCACCATTCTGTTAGTACCTAAAATGTTTTTTTCTTCTATCCAGCATTCTACCACCCCACCACCATTCTGTTAGTACCTAAAATGTTTTTTTCTTCTATCCAGCATTCTACCACCCCACCACCATTCTGTTAGTACCTAAAATGTTTTTCTTCTATCCAGCATTCTACCACCCCACCACCATTCTGTTAGTACCTAAAATGTTTTTTTCTTCTATCCAGCCTTCTACCACCCCACCACCATTCTGTTAGTACCTAAAATGTTTTTCTTCTATCCAGCATTCTACCACCCCACCACCATTCTGTTAGTACCTAAAATGTTTTTTTCTTCTATCCAGCCTTCTACCACCCCACCACCATTCTGTTAGTACCTAAAATGTTTTTTTCTTCTATCCAGCATTCTACCACCCCACCACCATTCTGTTAGTACCTAAAATGTTTTTTCTTCTATCCAGCATTCTACCACCCCACCACCATTCTGTTAGTACCTAAAATGTTTTTCTTCTATCCAGCATTCTACCACCCCACCACCATTCTGTTAGTACCTAAAATGTTTTTTTCTTCTATCCAGCATTCTACCACCCCACCACCATTCTGTTAGTACCTAAAATGTTTTTTCTTCTATCCAGCATTCTACCACCCCACCACCATTCTGTTAGTACCTAAAATGTTTTTCTTCTATCCAGCATTTTACCACCCCACCACCATTCTGTTAGTACCTAAAATGTTTTTTTCTTCTATCCAGCATTTTACCACCCCACCACCATTCTGTTAGTACCTAAAATGTTTTTTTCTTCTATCCAGCATTCTACCACCCCACCACCATTCTGTTAGTACCTAAAATGTTTTTCTTCTATCCAGCATTTTACCACCCCACCACCATTCTGTTAGTACCTAAAATGTTTTTTTCTTCTATCCAGCATTTTACCACCCCACCACCATTCTGTTAGTACCTAAAATGTTTTTTTCTTCTATCCAGCATTCTACCACCCCACCACCATTCTGTTAGTACCTAAAATGTTTTTCTTCTATCCAGCATTCTACCACCCCACCACCATTCTGTTAGTACCTAAAATGTTTTTCTTCTATCCAGCATTCTACCACCCCACCACCATTCTGTTAGTACCTAAAATGTTTTTCTTCTATCCAGCATTCTACCACCCCACCACCATTCTGTTAGTACCTAAAATGTTTTTTTCTTCTATACAGCATTCTACCACCCCACCACCATTCTGTTAGTACCTAAAATGTTTTTTTCTTCTATCCAGCATTCTACCACCCCACCACCATTCTGTTAGTACCTAAAATGTTTTTTTCTTCTATCCAGCATTCTACCACCCCACCACCATTCTGTTAGTACCTAAAATGTTTTTCTTCTATCCAGCATTCTACCACCCCACCACCATTCTGTTAGTACCTAAAATGTTTTTCTTCTATCCAGCATTCTACCACCCCACCACCATTCTGTTAGTACCTAAAATGTTTTTCTTCTATCCAGCATTTTACCACCCCACCACCATTCTGTTAGTACCTAAAATGTTTTTTCTTCTATCCAGCATTCTACCACCCCACCACCATTCTGTTAGTACCTAAAATGTTTTTCTTCTATCCAGCATTTTACCACCCCACCACCATTCTGTTAGTACCTAAAATGTTTTTTCTTCTATCCAGCATTCTACCACCCCACCACCATTCTGTTAGTACCTAAAATGTTTTTTCTTCTATCCAGCATTCTACCACCCCACCACCATTCTGTTAGTACCTAAAATGTTTTTTCTTCTATCCAGCATTCTACCACCCCACCACCATTCCACCACAGGGACCAGCCACATATGGTGGAGCCTTTCCACCAAACTTCCCTCCACCATTTGGTGATCCACATCCACCACCTGTCTCCACACAACCACAATGGGAGAACAGGTAAAGTCTTGTCTTGGTCTGATGTTTATATTGTCTTGGTCTACTGGCTGTCTTGTTTTTGTCTTATGTAATATTTTTTTTGCCACTAGCTGTACCTGTATACTTTTATATGCCTTTAGCTGTTTTGTAATTTTTTATAAGCTTTTAGCTGTGTAGTAATGTTTTTGTGAATGTTTAAAGCTGTTATGTTAGCTGTGTTGTAATGTTTTTTTTTATGCTTTTAGCTGTGTAGTAATGTTTTTGTGAATGTTTAAAGCTGTTATGTTAGCTGTGTTGTAATGTTTTTTTTTATGCTTTTAGCTGTGTAGTAATGTTTTTGTGAATGTTTAAAGCTGTTATGTTAGCTGTGTAGTGTTTTTTTATGCTTTTAGCCGTGTAGTAATGTCTAAAGCTGTGTAATAATATATTAGTGTATATCTATACCTGTGTATTAATAGATTAGTGTGTATATCTATAGCTGTGTAGTAATAGACTTTTGTTTGGCTATAGCTGTGTAGTAATGTTTTTTTATGCTTTTAGCTGTGTAGTAATATATTTGTGAATATCTAAAGCTGTTATCCCTATAGCTGTGTAGTAATATATTAGTGTATATCTATAGCTGTTATCCCTATAGCTGTGTAGTAATATATTAGTGTATATCTATAGCTGTTATCCCTATAGATTGTGTAGTAATATATTAGTGTATATCTATAGCTGTGTAGTAATAGATTTTTGTTTGCCACTAGGCGGGGTAGAAGAGCAAGGTGAGTTGTTTCCTTCTTGCTTGTCTCCACTAGCATAAGTGGTGACCACACCAGGTTGACCTGTGGTGACCCCACTTATCTGACTGGTGGTGACTCCACTGGTTTGACCTGTGGTGACCCCACTGGTTTGACCTGTGGTGACCCCACTGGTTTGACCTGTGGTGACCCCACTAGGTTGACCTGTGGTGACCCCACTAGTTTGATCTGTGGTGACCCCACTAGTTTGACCTGTGGTGACCCCACTAGTTTGACCTGTGATGACCCCACTGGTTTGACCTGTGGTGACCCCCACTAGTTTGACCTGTGGTGACTCCACTGGTTTGATTGGTGGTGACCCCACTAGTTTGACCTGTGGTGACCCCACTGGTTTGACCTGTGGTGACCCCACTAGTTTGACCTGTGGTGACTCCACTGGTTTGATTGGTGGTGACCCCACTAGTTTGACCTGTGGTGACCCCACTGGTTTGACCTGTGGTGACCCCACTAGTTTGACCTGTGGTGACCCCACTAGTTTGATCTGTGGTGACCCCACTAGTTTGACCTGTGGTGACCCCACTAGTTTGACCTGTGGTGACCCCACTGGTTTGACCTGTGGTGACCCCCACTAGTTTGACCTGTGGTGACTCCACTGGTTTGATTGGTGGTGACCCCACTAGTTTGACCTGTGGTGACCCCACTAGTTTGACCTGTGGTGACCCCACTGGTTTGATTGGTGGTGACCCCACTAGTTTGACCTGTGGTGACCCCACTGGTTTGACCTGTGGTGACCCCACTGGTTTGACCTGTGGTGACCCCACTGGTTTGACCTGTGGTGACCCCACTAGTTTGACCTGTGGTGACCCCACTAGTTTGACTGCTGGAGAGATTTTCCTTTGCCTGCCTGGGATGGTAGTTTCCTCTCTTGTTGACTGGTTTTTCCTTTGTTCAAAATTTTCTTGTTGTAGGGGAAGGCCAGCTCCTTGTGGGTAAGTCATGAGTTAGGTCAAGTTGACATTTAGATCATGTTGACATTTAGGTCATGTTGACATGTATCACCACTTGTTTGAAATCTGCCAACAGAAAGCTGCCATACAAAAACTGTAAAAACAAGACAGGGCTTGTTCTAATTGTTATCATTGATCCGGGACTGTAAACCTAACAAAAGTAATGTAGAGAAAAAAGTTAACTTTGTGGCACGTGTTCTCTGTTGGCAGCACTAGGTGTTGGTCTCCCTTGTTGGTTCATGTTTTCTCAGTTATATTCAAGTACATCACCCATCAAACATATGTTTTCTCAGTTATATTCAAGTACATCACCCATCAAACTTATGTTTTCTCAGTTATATTCCAGTACATCACTCATCAAACATATCCGTTTCTTTTAACTTGATTTTTAAAGTTTAACGTTGAAATTTGACATTCTTTTTTGACATACAACTTTTTAAAATTTTCTACATTAAAGTGGGTTTTTTTTTAAATTTCAAATTTTTTCGTGTAAAAGACAAGTGCATCAAGAAGTAAATGAGATTTTGTCTGGTGATTGGTTGGTTTGTTCATTTTTTTTTTCTGTACTCTCTCAGCTACCAGGACAGGTGGGACTCAGGGAGAAGGGACAGAGAGCGGAGCCCTCGCAGGGATGACTATGAGGAAAGGTATAGAGAAGTGTTGTGCTTTTTGAGGGGGGGGGGGGGTAGGTATAAAGCTGGTGTTTGTAATGTCTGGGGGGGGGGGGGTGGTATTATATGGAGCTGGGTGATGTAAATATGACTAACCATTTTAAAATTTTATTTCAGAATGTTTAGAGAGAGGGACAGAGATAGAGATCGTGACTGGGAGAGGGATAGAGAAAGGAGCAGAGATCGGGATAGGGATAGAGACAGGAGCAGGGACCGAGATAGGGATCGTGATAGAGACAGAGATCGAGACAGGGATAGAGATAGGTCAAGGTCACGAGACAAAGAATCTTCCAGGAATAGAGAATCTTCTAGAACAAAAGACAGAGAAGATAAGCACAAATCTTCACGCAGGTAGTCAGTCTAGTCTAGTCATGTAGCTTTAGTCAGTCTAGTCATGTAGCTTTAGTCAGTCTAGTCTAGTCATGTAGCTTTAGTCAGTCTAGTCTAGTCATGTAGCTTTAGTCAGTCTAGTCTAGTCATGTAGCTTTAGTCAGTCTAGTCTAGTCATGTAGCTTTAGTCAGTCTAGTCTAGTCATGTAGCTTTAGTCAGTCTAGTCTAGTCATGTAGCTTTAGTCAGTCTAGTCTAGTCGTGTAGCTTTAGTCAGTCTAGTCTAGTGGTGTAGCTTTAGTCAGTCTAGTCTAGTCATGTAGCTTTAGTCAGTCTAGTCTAGTGATGTAGCTTTAGTCAGTCTAGTCTAGTGATGTAGCATTAGTCAGTCTAGTCTAGTCATGTAGCTTTAGTCAGTCTAGTCTAGTCATGTAGCTTTAGTCAGTCAAGTCTAGTGATGTAGCTTTAGTCAGTCATGGTGTAGCTTTAGTCTGATTTAGTTTATCCTCCTGTTGTAGATTTAGTTAGTCTATCCTGTATGACACTAATGTTGTTGCTGTGTGACACTAATGTTGTTGTGTGACACTAATGTTGTTGTTGTTGTGTGACACTAATGTTATTGTTGTGTGACACTAATGTTGTTGTGTGCCACTAATGTTGTTGTTTTTGTGACACTAATGTTGTTGTTGTTGTGTGACACTAATGTTGTTGTTGTTGTGTGACACTAATGTTGTTGTTGTGTGACACTAATGTTGTTGTTGTGTGCCACTAATGTTGTTGTGTGACACTAATGTTGTTGTTGTGTGACACTAATGTTGTTGTTGTGTGACACTAATGTTGTTGTTTTTGTGACACTAATGTTGTTGTTGTGTGCCACTAATGTTGTTGTTGTGTGCCACTGATGTTGTTGTGTGCCACTAATGTTGTTGTGTGCCACTAATGTTGTTGTGTGACACTAATGTTGTTGTGTGCCACTAATGTTGTTGTTGTGTGCCACTGATGTTGTTGTGTGCCACTAATGTTGTTGTTGTGTACCAACTCCAGCAGGAAACACACCCGTGACAGAGACAGGGACGACTCAGACACAGAGTCTACCAGGAGTGGGGGCAAACACAAGAAGAGCAAGAGAAGGAAGGAGGACAGGAAGGAAGATGAGCCTGCAGCTGCTGCTGAAGAAGAAAAATCTAAAGACTAAACCAGGCAGGTGGAGCTAGCATTGACCTCTGTAACTTCTTAACCAGGCAGATGGAATTAGCATTGACTTGTCACTTTGGTTTTATCTCACTGCCAAATTTGGATCACCATACCATCCTCCAACACACTGGATGCTGCAGAATATCAGGCAGGGAGACAACTTGCTGGTTGTGTTGGTGGTCAAAGTTATCCCAAGATGTGTTGGTCATGTACATTGATAGTGTTCATTATTTTACATGTAAGCCATCCTTACATTATTGCCAATGCTGTTTATGATAAATACATTCATTACACTGTAGTTTTCTTTTTTGTTTCTAATTGCTGGGGGGGGGGGGGGGGGCGTAGAGAGAAAATGAAAAACTTTGAGAATAACAAAATGAGTTTATTGCCAACTTAAGCAGGCACAGGTTGTTTTGTATTTTAATCTTTGCTCTCCTCTCCTGCAAGTTTACATTTCTTGGTGGCCCTCTCCACCTCATCCCCACCTGACCTGGCTTGTGGTCGAGATAACTTGTTCCCTCTGGAGCTACTAAATGTGGGTGAACTTTGACCTTGAGTGTGAGCCAAGGTCTGCTGCAGCTGTCTGATCTGGTGGTCAATGTCCTGTAGTGTCCACTCCCTGATCAGCTGGTGGGGGTCAGGGGTGAGGGGTTGAAAGGTCACATCATCTGGTACCAGAGAGTACAGGAGCTTGACCATGAGCAACGCTTGGTACTCACATCTGTAGATGACATGCAGCATAACTGATAAACTATAGCAGACAGGTACATGCTGGTTACAGCAACGGATGCAAAATACAACTTAGAACATCTAGGTTAGCTGATGGGTTCAAGACTTTCCCCCGCCCACACACAAGCCTGAGGTTGTCTATAAGCTCTCACCTGCTGTAGATGACCAGATTTAAATGATGTTTGTCACATTGTTTCATCACTTGAACTCTGGCAAACCTCAGCTGCTGATTGGCTGTAAAGATGAACTGGTCAGCCCAGTCCAGCCAATGGAAGGACGGGTGTGTCTGCAGCTTGTGGGGGAGGTCACCCACAGAGCTAAACAGGCTGTGTACAGACAGGTGTGTTGGTACCTGGCAACAGTCTAGTGCCAGCAAGTCCTGACGTCTCATCTCCTCACCTGCTACAAAGTTTCAATGGGAGTTCAAGAAAGTTTTATAAATAGGTTTATAAATATTCAAACAGGAAGGGTCAAGTTTGTTGTGAACAAACTTGGTATTGAGTGAACAAACTTGGTACTGAATTAGGACATGATGGGACTGAGGTTTGGTTGGCAGCTTTCAGATTCTTTTGTATGCTTTCAAATTTGTGTGCACAGTTCAATAGTGCTTATTACATCTAATGGTAGAGGAACTATGCAACACTCTAGAGGTTTTTATAGAAATGAAGAGCTTATATTCTCTGTTTTAGATTACATTGCTTATTTCCTCAAATTTAACAAGAAAACTACGGTAAAACCAAAATCGCCTGTCATGACCATTCTATTATTAGACTGACCCCAACACTATATATAATCCATATTAAAAAATTATATTGTGCCATTTACACTACAAACGAAAAAAAGAAGAATACAGCTATCCTCGGTTCCCATCCGTAAATCTTGATCATTAGGGACTCAGCCACACACAGTTAGACCCAATAAGCACCATGGCAGTGTTCACCCTTAAATTATCTAAAAATAGATTTCTTACCTAACTCAGACTTGCCCAGACCAAGCGGCTGCTCTAGGCCAAATCTTTCTTGTATGACATCATCATCTGTCAGTTGGACGTCAGCAACGTATTGATGTGCAGACCACATGGTGGGGACTTCACCCACACCATACGTGACCACACAGTGAAACTTGGGAGCACAGAGAACCTGCGACAGACTCACGCAACATGTAACGTCCATAGACTGGCCTTGACCTAGGTGTGTGGGGGTCAGCCTGGATGTGTGGGAGTGGTGTGAGACTGACTCCACTAGGGCAGCATGTGACGCAGGGAGAAGAGTCAGGACAATGTCTGACACTGGCCTGTTAAACAAAAGTTGGATCAGGTGAGGTTTGTTGGTAAACACAACTGGTACAACACACTGGCTTGTTAAACATAAGTTGGATCAGGTGAGGTTTGTTGGTAAACACAACTGGTACAACACACTAGCTTGTTAAACAAAAGATGGTTCAGGTAAGGTTTGTTGGTAAACACAACTGGTACAACACACTAGCTTGTTAAACAAAAGTTGGATCAGGTGAGGTTTGTTGGTAAACACAACTGGTACAACACACTGGCTTGTTAAACATAAGTTGGATCAGGTGAGGTTTGTTGGTAAACACAATTGATTCAACAGTTGTTTCAATTTTAAAAAGTGCATTATTTTGTAATAAAACACACTCTTTATATTGTGTGCAATACATGCTTCACTAAGTTTAAATGTTTATTAGACCAAACATTACAAATAAAACATCCATAACATTGTTTTTATAGTTTTTGTAAAACAACAGAAATATTGTGTGTGAACTCTGAGTGTGTGAGTTTAAAATCAAATGAAGAGCACTTGGGAGCACCTACCACTGAGAGACATTCTGTATCCTAACTCCTACAAATTGTTGGAGTGTGTACCTACCACTGAGAGACATTCTGTATCCTAACTCCTACAAATTGTTGGAGTGTGTACCTACCACTGAGAGACATTCTGTATCCTAACTCCTACAAATTGTTGGAGTGTGTACCTACCACTGAGAGACATTCTGTATCCTAACTCCTACAAATTGTTGGAGTGTGTACCTACCACTGAGAGACATTCTGTATCCTAACTCCTACAAATTGTTGGAGTGTGTACCTACCACTGAGAGACATTCTGTATCCTAACTCCTACAAATTGTTGGAGTGTGTACCTACCACTGAGAGACATTCTGTATCCTAACTCCTACAAATTGTTGGAGTGTGTACCTACCACTGAGAGACATTCTGTATCCTAACTCCTACAATGAGAGAGTTCTCAAGAGTTCTGATCCAAGGTTCTCCACAATCCAGCATTTTCTCCTGGCCAATAGACTTGTACGGAAGGTTCCGGTGGATGGCGACAGACGTATGGGGCACAGACCCCAGGGGCACAAGGGGAGGCTAGAATTTTTTAAAGAGTTACGTCTAAATATGGAAGACTGACAATTTTATGGAAAAATAAAGTTTTAAATATTTTAGATTTTTTTTTACTTCTATTAACTGTGGTTATTAAAAATATCAACTTAATAATCAACCAAAAAGTAACTTACTAGACAAGAGCTCTTGCGTGTAAACTCTTCTAGCTGAAGTTTAGAAAAACTCTGCCACAGGTCACCAACAAACAACATTTTACTTTGGACTTCCAACTGGGCTTCTTGTAGTGACAGCTCATGGCTCTGGTAGATAGAAACTCAATTTTTTAAAATGATTTTACATGGCTCAGGTAGATGGAAACTCAATTTTTTAAAATGATTTTACATGGCTCTGGTAGATAGAAACTCAATTTTTTAAATGATTTTATGTCATTTTAACAAAAATAATCAAATCTTAGCATAGGTTGTAGTATGAAAATAATCAAATTTTACACTAGGTTGTAGTATGAAAATAATCAAATTTTAGACTAGGTTGTAGTATGGAAATAATCACATTTTAGTTTAGGTTCTAGTGTGAAAATAATCTAATTTTAGACTCCGCGTAGTGTGAAAATAATCAAATAACATCAGTGACACCAGCTTAAAAAAAGATGAGTGACGAGAGAAGAAAGACTTGAGTGAGAAAATTTTTTTTTAAAATTATAAATCAACCCCAGGGTCAACAGAATCAGATGACAACTATCTGGCCAGTATTACGTTTGTATGCCACGTACTTTATGCTGCAGAAGTAGAGAATGTGCTGCAAAATTTTGTTGCTCCGAGTTTTCAACATCTCTCAAATCATCAGATCTTGTTTCAAGTCCTGCTACTGCCTTTTCATCAATGTCATCCAGATCAACAGTTACCGTTCTTGACCTGTCAAGCAAGTGTTGGTTTCCTCCCTTGGATGAGAGAAGAACAAGCACTAACAGAGGGAACCCACAGGACTGGAGATCACAGCTGTGAATGGATGAAACAGATTGCCAGGTTTTTATCACCTGAAAGTTAAAAATAAAACTTACTAAAAAAAAATGCCAATTTAAAATAAAAGTGAAAATAAATGTTCAGAATTAAAATCTAATAAAATGTAGATTTTTTTTAAACACAGACTACCAACAGATAATATTGTAAAATAAATGTATGTGACATATAGTGAAAGAAAAAAATCTGGGAACTAAGTCTGTACCTGGTCTGTGTCCCAGCTGATCAAAAAACATTGGGTGTTGACCTGTATGGCGCTCACATCCCCGCTGTGGGCAGTACTGAAGTTCAGGATCTTCACAGAACACTCTCCCCACATCTCGTCTGTCCACTCCCCTGTCTCCAGCTGGTCAGTAATGCTGACACACCCTGACATGACACCACTGACAAAGTGGAGGACAAAGCCTGTCACTGTCAACATGGTCAGGGCTGTTTTGTTTCTACCGGCATCTCTCTGGCAGCAGGACGGCCAGAGTTTGATGGACTTGACAATCTGGGAGAAGTCTGAGACAAACAAGGCATCAAGAGAAATGTACTCTACTTCAAAGTGTTGACCTGTTTCCTTATCAGAAGACACAGGTGAAAACTTGCAGCAGAAACACTGGCGAGACTGTGTGGCAGCTAAAACAAGCAGGAAGACGCCATGTTGGTGCACACAGTGGAGGTCCATGACAGCCAGTTGTTGGGCTGGGGTCTCCCCCATGACAGCCAGTTGTTGGGCTGGGGTCTCCCCCATGACAGCCAGTTGTTGGGCTGGGGTCTCCCCCATGACAGCCAGTTGTTGGGCTGGGGTCTCCCCCATGACAGCCAGTTGTTGGGCTGGGGTCTCCCCCATGACAGCCAGTTGTTGGGCTGGGGTCTCCCCCATGACAGCCAGTTGTTGGGCTGGGGTCTCCCCAACAGGCAGCCTGAAGTCTTGGATCCTGGGTGTTGTGACACCTTGATGAAATATGTGAAGTGTCGATGTGGTTTCATCCACACACAACAGTTTAAATTCTGGGATAATTCCCACATGGCTGTTTAACAGGGAGCTGAATATGACAGGAAGTGAAAACTCCCGTAAAAATTCTAGACTAAAAGAAAACTGCGAGCTATGTTTATTCCCAGAGTCGTGCTGCGACACCCCAACTAAAAGTAAAATTTGTGTTCCTGGTTTCTTGCTGACCTTGCCAGGTTTTGAGGCAGTGACCTCTTGACCTTTGACAACAAAAACTGGAATTTCTTGGCCAAGTCCAGGGTCCAGTGAGAAACTCACAGACACCAACTCAAGGCAACTTTTGGAAAGGTGGCGTTTACAATAATCACACAGATTTAATGAAGTTTTTGAAAGGGCACAAGACTTTGAATAAACCTTCTGTTTACTTGTGTGGGATGGTTCTGATTTTCTGTCTAAATCATCCAGATCTGATGAGGAATCAGATGAAGCTGAGTTGAACTCTGTCTCAAGGTTCAACCACTGAAGGAGAAGGGATGTTTTTTTTAGAGCAACCAGAAACAGGTGTTTTCTCCAAGTAAAATAACACTGGGAATCATTTTTAACCACTTCCATTTTAGTCCAGTGACAAACAATATAAGATTGTGTCAAAAAGTTTGTGTGTCAAAAAGTTTGTGTGTCAAAAAGTTTGTGTGTCAAAAAGTTTGTGTGCTTGTGGCCATGTTACATGAGCAGACTAGTAGTTTGTATTCACCTCTGTCAGGCAGTCCCAGTTCTGGAAAATATGTTATTGTTATTGAGATTGAACATTCATATAGTAAGGCCATATTAGTATATATTAATATATAGTAGTAAGTACTTAGTAAGTAGTACATCACTATGACTACTAAGAGTGCTAAGACTCTACTCTAGCTAGACTAAGATTTTTAAGAAGTAAGAATAAGTTTAAGTTAGCCTTAGGATTTCATTTTGTCTTTAGCATTTTAGTCACATATTTAAATTAATAAATTTAGACTTAAACGACAAGGTTTCAATCTAGAAACTAAGTACTAAGTATAGTGACTTAGTGACTATAGATAAGATCATTAGAATCATCATAGATCTAAGTCTTAAGTTAAGAGTTAAGACTTATTATAAAAATGAAACAAGGAAACATTTTTGTATTTTAAAAAACATAAAATCCTCCTCAAATTGTGAAATAATAATTATTAAAATTAAAAATTAAAAAGCGAGTCACCTCGCTCCATTACATTTTACATGGTGTCAATACTCAATTCAGTTCTCACTCACGTGAGCACTGTAACGTACTACTCAACTACTATAACTTTATAACTTAGTAAACTCTAGATCTATACTATTAAGAATTAGATCTAGTACAGTAAGACTAAGAGTGGTGATGTTTACCGTCTACTCCTAACCAAGTTATTTACTTACAACTTTCGCTTTCACTAATCGTAAATTTATTTTTAACTCATGTTTCAGAAGATTTCCTTAGTCTTAAGGGAATTAACTTAGATCTATTACGTCCGCGTTTTCGAAAAAAAAAATTACTTAGTTGTTTCCCTTCGTCCATAAAAATTAAATCTGGCTTTTTAAAAAAAAATTACTTGGTTGTTTCCCTTTGACCATAAAAATTCAATCTGGCTTAAAAAATATTACTTGGTTGTTTCCCTTCGTTCCATAATTGTTGTTTTCATAAAAAAAAAATTAATTTTTTTTTTCAATTATGCCTATATAGTGGCAGTAAAATAAAATAACTAGAAAATCTTCAGAAAGTTAATATTTTAAAATCAATTTAATAAAAACTGCAAAAGCAGATATCTTAAAGTATTTCGTGTTGGGGTTTTTTAAAGGCTGGATTTTTATTTATTTTTATCAAGTTAGTAAATTGTAACCTGCTTTTCTCTTGAGTAAGCCAAACATTAATTGGCTGTAGAGAAACTCCGTGGTTGACTTTTTAAAACCTTATTTTTAGTAGTTTTATTTATACCCTATAACTTTTCGGATAAAATTGTAAAATCAAATAACATTGTATTAAACCACTTCTCCTAGTTGTTATATCATGTTTATTTACATTTTCTTCTAGAAAAAAACAAATTCATTTTTATTTTTAAAAATGTTTGTTATTTATATACTTATTGTATAAAGTTTTTTATGTTTTATGATCCGCATTTTAGTAACTCATTCTAAATAGAAATTCACACGTAGCCTACTGCATCCATAGGCCTACGCCTATTAATATTTGCGCAGAAAACCGATAGTAGCTTGCGATCTCTGAAAGACAATACTTGCCACTTCTTAATCTGTGGTTGATGCTCAGATTTTAAAAATCACTCAGCTGTGACTTCCAGCTGACACAGTGTATGCTAGTAGTACTATGTTATTAAAGTAATTTTTAAAATCAAATTTTTATGTCTAAACTAAAATCTAATTAAATCTAAAATAAAAAGATATTCTTGCATTGTTAAATGTATCTAGAAAGTTTGAACAAAATTGCTGCATTTGAAGTGTGTCAAAGTTTAGTTACAAGGTTAGCCAGCCCTCACAAGCAGAAGTGAACATAATAAAAGCTGAAAAAAAATACAAAAATAGCTTTTCTTAGAGCTAGACCTTGGTGTTTTATTTTATATCTCCCTTTTTTAAAATTGAATATTACCATATAAAACCAAGTTTAATATTATTCCTTGGTTCCTGTTTGTATTGTTTATATAAACCTATATTTAAGAAAGAAAATTGTTTATTTGCACCTGTAGGATGGGACACATAAGTAATAAGAGTCAGCAGATCTCAACTTTGAAATAGAGGTTACCCAAATATACTTCACGTCACTGAAGGTACTACCTGAGGACAGGACACACACCACATACACAATAAGAAACAAAAAACTGACTCATTTATTCTATTAGTTTCACCCTCGTTTATTTACAGAATACTGAGATATATTGATTTATTACAGAATGTATGCGCCCCAGTAAATATGTACCAGTGACATCAAAAATAAATTGTACATAATTTGTACATAATTTATGCATTATCAAACTCTAAAAACAGAGCCATCACAAAACATTTTAATCATAAGCATATAACCGTGCACATTTTTAAAATGAATCATGCACAAACAATTCTTCTACCCCACTCATAGATTTATACAATATTGCATTTTAATAAAACATTTTTTGAAGCAGTTTAAAATTGACCAAGTAGAATGATGTAGGAACTCATTAACAAAATCAACCCTGAATCTGTAAAATGTGGTTGCCTAATTAACATGAAACTAAAATGGAAGACAAAATATGCTAACATTTTAATTTGTAATGCTGCTTTATTTGCTGATGGACTGTCTTTTTTTGCTCAAAGTTGTGGTCTTCTCATGAAATCTCTTGACACAGGAGTGTATAGCATTATTACATTAAATAAAAATCAAATACATATTTTACAGAAACATCCCCTAGGCTACCAGTTGATTAGGTGAAGTTAATGTTAAGTGAAAACTTCTTCCACAAATGTAAAGAGTGACTTCTGATATAAAATTACATCTTACAAAGGTTGGGAGAAATGTGCTAGTAAAGAGTGAACAGAAACTGCCTGAAAGGATGACCACTACAAAATGCCCTGCATGTCATGGTGTATATTTACAAAATTTACATTTGAATATTTGTCATAATAATTGGTAAAGGGTAACACATTGTAAATGTAATTTTATAACTTAACACTTTGTTGTAAAACATCAACATTGGTGAATCAACACTGTTGTAAAATATAGTTTACATGAAATAAAATATGAAATTTATAAATAAAGGTTTGTTGTATGACACATCAATATGATTATAAAAACGTTTGACTGAGATTTTTTTCAATAGACAATGTATAATGCTAATCCTAATGAGATGAAAGCAAATGAATCTGAACACATTTTGTACTGAACTATATGAACATCATGTGGACCAATGAGATCCCACATTTCCCTCTAGTGGTGATTTACCTGTTCTATTTATAGGGTCACCAACAGCCTGGTTGGATAAGGCACGTTTGTGCTGTAAATATTTACACAAGCGACTGCAGGACTAATAACTGTGTGGTGATCGAATTGCATCATCCTAGCAGTACAAAACTTAACATGAACTGTACATATGTACACTGATTTGATTGGGTTGCAGGTCAAAAATAACAGACCAGAATTGTTAATAAATAAAAAGTGGTTTTTAACTGAAACTAAAATAGTTAAAAGTGTCACATTTTTAAAAACTAGTGTCATCAACATTTGATGTAACTACTTAACAGATATAATGTCTATCTATAGACACCAACTGAAGTGGTTTTGACCAAAATATTCTTTATCTTTTCATATATCCACCTTATATCAACAGAGAGAATAAAAATTGAAAAATTAATATTGATCATGAAGGAATCATTAGTTTTCATTTCAATTCAAATCTAAAAATAAAATTTTGGCAATAGCAGTCCAATCTGTTTTAGATTTTCAAATATATAAAAAAAAGTGTTTATGCTTTTGACTAAGTGATTGTTTAATGGTCCAGGTAACTGATCCCCCATCATAAATCTGCCAGTTAACTTTTAAACTAAAAGCTAAATTTTGTTTTTGAATCAAATCAAAAGTCTAGGGTGTCCCATTGGCGTATTTTCTAACCACTTTAGTTTGGTCCCTACATAAGCGTTTGCCAATGGTTTCAACTTTAAATCCCATTTCCATCAGCTTTTGATGGTCAAGGATTAGACGACCATCAAAGATGAAGGCAGGTTTTAGCATCTTGTTGTAAATCCTTTGATAATCCAAATCCTGAGCAAACAAGGAAATAAAACCATTTACATTTTTCATTTAAATTTTGAAACTTAATTTTGTATTACAAATAACTAGTACAAATATAATGCATAAGATTTAAATTTTCTGACTAAAATTATAAATTATAATAAACAAAAGTTACAGTAGGGAATGCAGGTGGTACAAAATGTTTACCTGTCACATCTAGGTCACTCACCTATCAAACTAGGTCACTCACCTGGAATTCATCCCATTCTGTGCACACCACCAGAGCATGACAACCCTCTGCTGCAGTGTAAGCATCATTGCATATAGAGACCAGGTTTTCAACTGAAACACAATTACAAGGTCAATCACAAGGTCAATAACACAATCACAAGGTCAATCACAAGGTCAATAACACAATCACAAGGTCAATCACAAGGTCAATCACAAAGTCAATCACAAGGTCAATCAGAAGGTCAATCAGAAGGTCAATAACACAATCACAAGGCATATATGTCCAAAGGTCAATAGCTTCTATTATGTCCAAGAAAAAACTAGCAAGAATCACCCACATCATCCCCAAAGCACTAAGCAAGCTAAGGGGATTTTGAGTGCTCGAAAGATTTCTTTTCGTAAATCAAACAGGAACAGCAAGGCATGGACACTCAATGCAGGCATACAAAGCTCTAACAATGTTTGCACAAACTTCTAGCAGAGGACCCAGAAGGATGTCATAACATTACAAAAAACTCTTGTGAACCAACCACCTGCCCAGGGTTATGAGATACAACAGCTACATTTTTTCGAATGTTACATTATTGTTTAACTTTTTTTGTTGATATTATTGATTTTAACATCTACTGGTTACTTTTTACCTACTTTTGTTTCTTTTACTACACCTTTAAGATTAGAATTATATTGTAAATTTAAACAAAATTGAATTGAATGTTGACCTACCTAGCTCTGGTTCATCTGTGACTTCAGCAGATTTCAGATCACTGGGAATATAAATTTTATCACAGCTTAGTAGTGCTACTAAAACAAGGGAAACTACTCTGCCTTAAAAGTTCTAATTATAGAATACATGATGTTAACCAAACATAGCCAAAGAAAAACTAAAACCCACGTCATAATTTGGTCCACCGGAACTTTTGGGTCGTATATACGTATCTGGGCGCCTTCCTCCAATAGATATTTAGAGACGTATATGGCAGCAGATTCTCTGAAATTGTTAAATAACATTTCAGATGAGCAGACTTAACCCTAACCTTGTTACACTAATTAAGCTCATGTAGGCTACACTTTAATGACTGCTGGTGCAACAACTCCAACAACTGACACGGTACTTTGCGTCTGCCTGACTTACCTGGTGTCTCCTGTATCTTTTTTAAAAGCAAATCCTAAAATGGCAATCCTTTTGTTGGTGACGGTGTTGAACAGACTCTCCACTATTCGTTTAGTGAAGCGCATCCTTTGGTAGTCATTGATGGCAATCACCTGCAGAGAAACAATGGGGATACAGAACATGTTTGATGTTGTTTGATGATGGCATCTGTGCCACCTGGGTCAGGTGAGATGGTTCTCTCACCTGATCCAGGTGGTTTGTGTTGTGTGTGTTGTTGTTTGATGATGGCATCTGTGCCACCTGGGTCAGGTGAGATGGTTCTCTCACCTGACCCAGGTGGTTTGTGTTGTGTGTTGTTGTTTGATGATGGCATCTGTGCCACCTGGGTCAGGTGAGATGGTTCTCTCACCTGATCCAGGTGGTTTGTGTTGTGTGTTGTTGTTTGATGATGGCATCTGTGCCACCTGGGTCAGGTGAGATGGTTCTCTCACCTGACCCAGGTGGTTTGTGTTGTGTGTTGTTGTTTGATGATGGCATCTGTGCCACCTGGGTCAGGTGAGATGGTTCTCTCACCTGACCCAGGTGGTTTGTGTTGTGTGTTGTTGTTTGATGATGGCATCTGTGCCACCTGGGTCAGGTGAGATGGTTCTCTCACCTGATCCAGGTGGTTTGTGTTGTGTGTTGTTGTTTGATGATGGCATCTGTGCCACCTGGGTCAGGTGAGATGGTTCTCTCACCTGACCCAGGTGGTTTGTGTTGTGTGTTGTTGTTTGATGATGGCATCTGTGCCACCTGGGTCAGGTGAGATGGTTCTCTCACCTGATCCAGGTGGTTTGTGTTGTGTGTTGTTGTTTGATGATGGCATCTGTGCCACCTGGGTCAGGTGAGATGGTTCTCTCACCTGATCCAGGTGGTTTGTGTTGTGTGTTGTTGTTGTTTGATGATGGCATCTGTGCCACCTGGGTCAGGTGAGATGGTTCTCTCACCTGATCCAGGTGGTTTGTGTTGTGTGTTGTTGTTTGATGATGGCATCTGTGCCACCTGGGTCAGGTGAGATGGTTCTCTCACCTGACCCAGGTGGTTTGTGTTGTGTGTTGTTGTTTGATGATGGCATCTGTGCCACCTGGGTCAGGTGAGATGGTTCTCTCACCTGATCCAGGTGGTTTGTGTTGTGTGTTGTTGTTGTTTGATGATGTCATCTGATGATGTCATAAGGTGAGAAGGTTCTCTCACCTGTTGCCAATAGGCTGCCACCTCAGGTAAGTTCAAGCACTCACACAGGTAAACCATGTTTAGAACATCTTTTTGGAAACAGCTGCCACCAAAACCTGGGAACAAAAATATGTTTAAATAAATTTTTTATAATTTACATTAAAGAAAAGTTAATTTACTTATTTAAGTTGGAAATTTTGTTTCTTAAGCCGATGTATTATAATGAGCATTGAATGAACCACACAGAGAGATCACTATACAACTGACCCACTGAGGCCTTGAGAAACTTGGGTCCTATCCTCGTGTCTGTCCCTATGGCGTGAGCTACCTCATCCACGTCTGCTCCTGTGGCCTCACAGATTGCTGACATGGCGTTTATGCTGGAAATTCTTTGGGCTAAAAATGCATTTGCTGCCTGTGGGAGGGGAATATGACACTTCTTTTAACATAACATAATAAAAACTATTTTTATAAAAACAAAAACCTAATTCATCTTCACTTTCTTTCTGATCATTTTAATATCTTAAACAAAACTAATTTTGTGCTGCCATTGGCCAGATTTTAAATTTAAATAAATTGTGTTTAGCTACAGACCAGATGTTTTAATCAAATAAATTGTGTTTGGCCACTGACCAGTTTGGAGAGCTCAGATGACCAGGTGTTCATGGTGATGATGTTCTCTGAGGGCACCCAATGCTTGTACACCCAGCAGAGCGCGTCCACAGCTTCCTGTCCTTCTGGGCTCTGGTCTCCACCAATCAGGACACGGTCTGGCTTCAGCAGGTCAGAGATGGCCGTACCTTCAGCCAGAAATTCTGGATTGGATAAAACCTGAAACAGACACAATTTCAAACTAAACATTACTCAAATTTACTTTATAAAATTAATTCTTTTAGTTATTTAAATAGTAGTAATAGTAGTTCATTTTTATATATTATATTTATACTATAAAGTTAAAGACAATAATTTTTTTCTCCTTTTTAGTACATTATAAAATAAAAGCTACTTATTAAAACATTTTTATGCATTTTGTTTCCATAGTTCAAAATGTTTGATACAATAAAATGCACTGAATGAACAATAAAAATGTGCAGAAAATAGTACTTTGTATAAACAATTTTAATTAATTCTCTAAAAATTAATTAAGCACCCAATAAAGTCAAATTTGATGTCAAATTGCATTGTCATCAGGTCTTGACCAGTGTGCCAAGTTTAAGAGAAATTGGTTGGTTAGAAATGGTCTGAATTTTGCTCGCCAGTTCCAATCCACGACGACAGAGGACAGACATAAGTACAACAGACAGAGGAAGCAAGTAAAACAAAAGCATGCAAACAAAACAGCTGGTGTACCTGATACCTGACCCCAGGCTTGACATTGGCGGACAAAATATTGGCAATACTTTCTGCTGCTTTCACTGGGACTGTACTTTTCTCTACCACAATTTTGTTATTCTGTGCCACTTCTGCAATTCTTCTGGCGGCTGATTCAATGTATTTCAAGTCTGCTGCCCTCCCCTGTCAAATAAAAAGTGAAGCTACATGAAGGATGAAGAAATTTAGATGAAACAAAACACAAGGAAATGATAAGCCAAGTGAGACCTCACCTTTCCCCAGCCAAAAGTTTTTGTGGGTGTGTTGACACAAATGAAGATTAACTCCGCCTCCCTGATTCCCTTCTCAACATCAGTAGAGAAAAACAAGTTGCGGCCCCTGCATGCCTTCACCACCTCGTCCAGCTTTGGCTAAAAAAAATATAGACATCACGGGACCATAATTTCTTGTACATATGGACCAGAATTTCTTGTACATATGGACCATAATTTCTTGTACATATGGACCAGAATTTCTTGTACATGTGGACCATAATTTCTTGTACACAATAGTGTTTTTCACTTAGTTAAAAGTTGATACAGCTATGACTATCACATCCTTAATTCTAAAAATGTAAACTGCCCAACACCCACCTCAAAGATGGGCAGGTTGTCAGAGTTCCACTGGGCTATCCTCTCACTGCTCTGGTCAACCACAGTCACCTGGAGGTTAGGACATTTGTGGGCAATGACAGCACAAGATGGCCCACCCACATACCCAGCACCAATACAACAGATTTTATTCAGCGTCATGTTCCACTCCCTGGAGAAGACAGGATGGAACAAATTAGTTAAACATGTACGGCTGGCAGTGCTTAAGTGTTTGTCAGTGTTCATGTATCTCACTCTTTATCTATAATGTTGTATCACATAAAACAAGATTAGCTTTTATCTATAATGTTGTATCACATAAAACAAGATTAGCTTTTATCTATAATGTTGTATCACATAAAACAAGATTAGCTTTTATGTATAATGTTGTATCACATAAAACAAGACTAGCTTTTATGTATAATGTTGTTTTACATAAAACAAGATTAGCTTTTATCTATGATGTATCACATAAAACAAGATTAGCTTTTATGTATAATGTTGTATCACATAAAACAAGATTAGCTCTATCTGAAATGCTAACTGCAACATTGACAGAATTACATATGTTGTATCAGTCTATCATATACATTAAGTAGTGTAGTAGGAAGAATAGTAGATTAATATATCTAGCACATAAGATAGAGGGCTAATACTTAGGCCTATATCTGCAGCGCTTGGGTGTACTTTTCTAGACAGTGATGATCTCACACTGCCCTCATACAACTAGAAACTAGACAAAATGTTTACACCAAAAAATGAGTTTTGACGTGTAACTTGATCATCTAACACATGACCACTTTACCTTTAGTAACATCTGAACTCTGTATGATTAGTTTTTAACACGTTTTTATTAACTCAGCTTCGCGTGGATGTGTTTGTTGTTAAAATTGACATCGAAAATTAGCCCACTTCTGATTGCTCTATAGATCTGAAATTTGGCATGCAGGTTACTTTCGCCTAACAATTTCAGATGCAATCATAAAAACTAGCAATTAGAGACCGTAATTAGCTTAATTTAATTACGCCCAAAGGACCATAAAATTGAGGACATGATTTCTAAAGATACCGACAAGACTGGAGGCTTGTTGACACAGTTACTTCGGCCCCAATCGATGTGAGCGCGCTGGCCGTGATCGTATAGTGGTTAGTACTGCGCGTTGTGGCCGCGACAACCCAGGTTCGAATCCTGGGCGCTCAAGATTTTTTTAGTCCGTGTATTTATAAACACTTAGTCAATTCATACTTAATCAAGTCATTAGATAAAGTAGAAAATAAACTATATAAAAAACTTTTTTAAAAACCACGTTTTTCATGTGTAGCAACGGACTAAAAAGGAGAAAATAAAATACTTAAAAAAAACTTTTTAAAAAACCACGTTTTTCTTGTGGACTAAAAAGTAGAAAATAAATTTTCATACATTTGATGACAAAAAACGTGGGTCGGGCAGATGGGTCGGGAAATTTGATGGTGAACGTACCCACGTTTTTTGTCATCAAATGTATGAAAATTTATTTTCTACTTTTTAGTCCACAAGAAAAACGTGGTTTTTTAAAAAGTTTTTTTTAAGTATTTTATTTAAACTTCTAGTTTGTCTATAGCTAAACTTACGTGACTCGCGAGATTGTTTTTAAATCAACTCTATGAAATCCCACGTATTTTAAGTAATAAGGTGTTTAACTGAATCGTCCCTATGAACGAACCAAGCAGCAATGTTAAGGTTGGCTGGCAGACAAGGGTCCAACACCACCAGAACAACACCACACAAATGTAGGCAAACTTTCACAGGGTCGACCCACCTAGTGAAGGTTGTGTGTCGCAGGCAAGTTGACCCGTCACCCACAGATTCACCAACACACCCCGCCCATTGACTAGAGAAGCGGGCTATAAGAACAGGCTCGGCTTGATCCAGGAACCGTAAGCCTTTTTTCATGACGCAACCAGCGCACTTTATGACTGGAGCAATAGGGGGTGGTCTTACAAGGGGAGATTATTCGCTCGGTAAACAAGTCACGATATTTTGGGTGTCATACAGTAGCAGAGCTTGGGCTTGGTTGTGTCGTGTACCGCACCTCACACCACACCACTGTACCGCACCTCACAACACATCACTGTACCGCACCTCACAACACACTACTCAACACACCACTGTACCACACCTCACAACACACTACTCAACACACCACTGTACCACACCTCACAACACACCACTGTACCGCACCTCACAACACACTACTCAATACACCACTGTACCGCACCTCACAACACACTACTCAATACACCACTGTACCGCACCTCACAACACACTACTCAACACACCACTGTACCGCACCTCACAACACACTACTCAATACACCACTGTACCGCACCTCACAACACACTACTCAACACACCACTGTACCGCACCTCACAACACACTACTCAATACACCACTGTACTGCATCTCACAACACACTACTCAATACACCACTGTACTGCACCTCACAACACAACACTGTACCGCACCTCACTACACACTACCCAATACACAACTGTACCGCACCCCTCAATACACCAGTGAACCGCACCCCCTCCCCAATACACCAGTGTACCACACCTCACAACATGAGGTAAGGAGAGGGTAGATGAAAGTAAATGTTGACACAGGTAGATGTAGACCTATGTCCCATAAGTCTACGACGTCGGTCTAAGTTGCAACAAATAGTAGACTATGAAGTAGTAACCTATGAAATGGTAAACCATACAAGACTGGAGCAAAACTTACGGCAATGTGTATGTAACTGCTCGTTCTTTCATTACAGAGTTCTTGATGTCAAGTCACGTGATCAAATGGATCAGGTCCCAGAAAACAAGTGTATCACGTTAACCGTTAAGCTATACAATACCGTGTTACAAGCTCACACCGTCCGAAACAAAGTCAGACAACTACACTTGTAAAATGTACAGCTTCTCCTTGAATTTTTTTTCTATAACTTTTCCCCCCAGCATTTGGCCGAGATTTGAAGATTTATGAATGTGCTAGACGCGGAATGTGCCCACGAAAACAAAACAAAGTCACCAGACTCAACTTACGCTGCCAGCACGCATGTGGGGCTATCCGTTCATTTATACACGTTTTATTCTGCGCCGGCCGCTAAAAATAGACCAAAACAGGGGAAAGCACCGCCCACAATTCGCCCTAATAAAACGGTGCGCGTATTGAATTATGTAACCCTACGCCCAATGCGCTGCTCGACGACGTCAAACTATTGTTGACGACTATAAATTGCTATCTGCACTGGATGTGTAGTTATTATCTCCGCGATAATAGACTTTAAAAATAACTTGAAACATGTCTTCCAAAAACGGGAAAACATTTGGTTGTAAGACAGGCCAATAATAGACATTCCTTTGTCGTGACATTCTCCCCACCCACCCACCACACCATATAGCACATGGACCTAGTTTACCCATCTGAAAGTTTATAGATCTACCAGAGGACGACAACAAAGACATGAGACGGCCTACATTAAACGTCAAACATTTTATGACCAGTTGATGGGCTCGAACGACTGGAGGATTGTTTGTGGCAATGGCGATTGGATTGGTTAATAATTTTTTTGCCACGTCATCAAAAATAAGTTCGCATGTCCCTAGCTAGTGTTGGTCTGGGGACCCCGGCCCTTACAGTAGGTGTGTGGACCCCCCCCCCCGGCCCTTAGGGTAGGTGTGTTGACCCCCCGGCCCTTACAGTAGGTGTGTGGACCCCGGCCCTTGCAGTAGGTGTGTGGACCCCCCCCCCCCCCGGCCTTTACAGTAGGTGTGTGGACCCCGGCCCTTACAGTAGGTGTGTGGACCCCGGCCCTTACAGTAGGTGTGTGGACCCCGGCCCTTACAGTAGGTGTGTGGACCCCGGCCTTTACAGTAGGTGTGTGGACCCCGGCCCTTACAGTAGGTGTGTGGACCCCGGCCTTTACAGTAGGTGTGTGGACCCCGGCCCTTACAGTAGGTGTGTGGACCTCGGCCCTTACAGTAGGTGTGTGGGTAGGTGTGTGGACCCCGGCCCTTACAGTAGGTGTGTGGACCCCCGCCCTTACAGTAGGTGTGTGGACCCCCCGGCCCTTGTTGTGTTAGCGCACAGACGTCCTGATATCCCTGGGACGAGGTTTCAGAGCTGTCCATTTTGTGACGTTATACACAAAACTCTCGCAACTAATAGTTTAACACCAGAACAAGCAAACACCACAAAACCTACTTAAGCACCAACAAAACCCAATAAACTTACTTAAACCTCAACAAAACCTACAAAACCTACTTTAACCCCAACAAACCCCAGAAAACCTGTGATACCGCTGTTACCCCACGGTTGATTAGATCAAGAAATGTAATTACTGGCGGATTATAAAACAAGTTGCAGCTGGTGTAGACGTATGTGGGCGAGCCTCAATAAATATTCAGTTTCTACAGTCTGGAGTTGGCTCAGACATTTCACAAGAGTTAAACTACTTTAAAAACTTTGAGAATTGAAAGATTTTAATTGGCTCAAACATTTCACAAGAGTTGAACTACTTTAAAAACTTTGAGAATTGAAAGATTTTAATTGGCTCAGACATTTCACAAGAGTTGAACTACTTTAAAAACTTTGAGAATTGAAAGATTTTAATTGGCTCAGACATTTCACAAGAGTTGAACTACTTTAAAAACTTTGAGAATTGAAGGATTTTAATTGGCTCAAACATTTCACAAGAGTTGAACTACTTTAAAAACTTTGAGAATTGAAAGATTTTAATTGGCTCAAACATTTCACAAGAGTTGAACTACTTTAAAAACTTTGAGAATTGAAGGATTTTAATTGGCTCAAACATTTCACAAGAGTTGAACTACTTTAAAAACTTTGAGAATTGAAAGATTTTAATTGGCTCAAACATTTCACAAGAGTTGAACTACTTTAAAAACTTTGAGAATTGAAAGATTTTAATTGGCTCAAACATTTCACAAGAGTTGAACTACTTTAAAAACTTTGAGAATTGAAGGATTTTAATTGGCTCAAACATTTCACAAGAGTTGAACTACTTTAAAAACTTTGAGAATTGAAGGATTTTAATTGGCTCAAACATTTCACAAGAGTTGAACTACTTTAAAAACTTTGAGAATTGAAGGATTTTAATTGGCTCAAACATTTCACAAGAGTTGAACTACTTTAAAAACTTTGAGAATTGAAAGATTTTAATTGGCTCAAACATTTCACAAGAGTTGAACTACTTTAAAAACTTTAATAATAACAATATTTTAATTGGCTCAAACATTTCACAAGAGTTGAACTACTTTAAAAACTTTGAGAATTGAAAGATTTTAATTGGCTCAAACATTTCACAAGAGTTGAACTACTTTAAAAACTTTGAGAATTGAAAGATTTTAATTGGCTCAAACATTTCACAAGAGTTGAACTACTTTAAAAACTTTTGAGAATTGAAGGATTTTAATTGGCTCAAACATTTCACAAGAGTTGAACTACTTTAAAAACTTTGAGAATTGAAGGATTTTAATTGGCTCAAACATTTCACAAGAGTTGAACTACTTTAAAAACTTTGAGAATTGAAAGATTTTAATTGGCTCAGACATTTCACAAGAGTTGAACTACTTTAAAAACTTTGAGAATTGAAGGATTTTAATTGGCTCAAACATTTCACAAGAGTTGAACTACTTTAAAAACTTTGAGAATTGAAGGATTTTAATTGGCTCAAACATTTCACAAGAGTTGAACTACTTTAAAAACTTTGAGAATTGAAGGATTTTAATTGGCTCAAACATTTCACAAGAGTTGAACTACTTTAAAAACTTTGAGAATTGAAGGATTTTAATTGGTTCAAACATTTCACAAGAGTTGAACTACTTTAAAAACTTTGAGAATTGAAGGATTTTAATTGGCTCAAACATTTCACAAGAGTTGAACTACTTTAAAAACTTTGAGAATTGAAAGATTTTAATTGGCTCAGACATTTCACAAGAGTTGAGCTACTTTAAAAACTTTGAGAATTGAAGGATTTTAATTGGCTCAAACATTTCACAAGAGTTGAACTACTTTAAAAACTTTGAGAATTGAAAGATTTTAATTGCACTAAAATAAAGCACACTTCTCTCAAGGCGACAACTACAATAAGGAAAAAAATTGACTGCTCACAGATTCATACATTTCAACACTTGGTTTTTCCCGATTAAGTAGCTGGCGACCATAACTCTAAACACCAGCACACCTAAGTCCCGTTAAGCTGTTCAATATGGAAATCTTTAAATTATTTTAATGACTCATTTCTAATCTTGCGTTTTCGTCAGAAATGAATTCATCCAGAACATAAGAAAACAAATCGTTGCACCAGAAGTGGGTGACTCAGTTCCAGGACTAGCCGAGAGAAATCTTGTACCAGCAGCCCCACCATCTGAGGATCATGAGGGCAACTCGGAAACTACGACAATTTCTCTCTACCACTCACTCACACGACAACACGGATACAACACGCACAAAACAAGCATGTGACACGCACACAACACGCATATGACACGCTAGGTCGGGTATCACCCGGTGCGACACTTCGTGGTGTCGTCCCCCCCCCCCCTTCCAGAAACAAAGTATATATCTATAGTTTTCCTAAATTTGTACTAAAAATTATTAATGTGACAGGCAAAAAAGCATTGAAAATTTGTCAATTTTTTTGCCTTGGTGTCACCCCCTTAAATGGTGTCACCGGTGTGGCCGGCAACCCCCGCCCCGCCCCCGCAACGCCTCTGGACACGCACATAACATGCACACAAGACGCACATGCCAATCAGCACGGACTCCCAAGAGAGCAGACCCGGATGTTTAAATCTACCTGCCACATTGTAGGCCGTCAGTCGAGTTTATTTGGTCAGATGTAAACACATCTCTGTTGGTCATAGGGGTAGGTGGGGGAGTTTAAGTTGTTGGTGGGGGGGGGGGGGTGAGGGGGTGGACACATCTCTGTTGGTCATGGGGTAGGTAGACACTTTCGGTTGGTGGGGGGGAGGGGGGGTGGTGAGGGGTGGACACATCTCTGTTGGACATGGGGGGGGGTGGACACATCTCTGTTGGTCGTGGGATAGGTAGACAGTTTCAGTTGGTGGGGGGGGGGATGAGGGGGTGGACACATCTCTGTTGGTCATGGGGTAGGTAGACAGTTTCAGTTGGTGGTGGGGGGGGGTGGATACATCTATGTTGGTCATGGGGTAGGTAGACAGTTTCAGTTGTTGGTGGGGGAGGTGGAGGGGGGCACATCTGTTGGTCTTACCCACAGACAATCCATCTAAAACAATAGTGATTACATTTTCTATTGTGTCAATGACAGCACCATCCCATCACCAACCTCCGTTGCTATTTTCATACCATAAACAAACATTCCCATTTTTGTCATTAGTAGAGGATCACACTATCATCCACAGTGACACACTTGGGAGTTGTAGTGGATTTTGGTTCAGCAAGATATTGGGCCACCCTAACATTTGAGTTAGGCCACAAACTCTCCAGTGTACCAGGGTAAGAGTTTGAGAACCCCTGCCCTAGGGGATCTGTTCGAACAGAGCGAGAACTCGTCTAAATCTTGTGCCGAGAGCAATAAAACACGTGACATTTGGTGAGTAGGGAGCACACGTAAACAAACCATCTACATCACTTCCGGAGTTTTCTCTGACGGGTCAATGTGAGATGGGTTATGTGGAGATAGAGCAACGGACCCTGACTACAATAATTAGGTGGGTTGTGACGTATGGGGGGGGGGCTGTCTGAAACAAACACACGGATCATCTACTAGGATTGACACCCGCTAATGATTCTACGTTCTCATTTCTATGTGGGGGGGGGGGGCTGCTAGGTGGTTTCTGGTGTAGATATACCCCCCACCCAGGTAGTTACACGACAGGTGTAGAGCCCCGGAGTGGGGAGGGGGGGGGAGAAGGCGTTGAAGCAAAACATAATCTGCACGTGCCGAGTTGGATTTATATCGTGTGTCATGAATGAAAGGATCTAATGTGGAAAACATCGAATTTTAAATTGGCCAATCAAAGTTGAGACAAGGAGTGCTATTACGTACCTGAGGAACATTTTGATTGGCGGACTGACGTCAGGAAGATGGGGAGCGTCTATGTCGAGTTCTTCTTGTTTCCTCTCAATCCGACATTTGAATAGTTCCCTTCAATCATGGGGAATAGCACAATCATTAGGACATCCACACACGGATCGGAACATCAGGATACAACTGGGCTTTTGGTACACATATGTAGGAACATCAAGACAGCATTCACTAAGGGCTACCAATACGATCATTCAGTGACGGCTACCAACCCAATCATCGCGAATATCAACAGACAGGAGGCTACCATCAACAAGACACCAGGAGGCTACCATCAACAAGACACCAGGCGGCTACCATCAACAAGACACCAGGAGGCTACCATCAACAGACAGGAGGCTACCATCAACAAGACACCAAGAGGCTACCATCAACAAGACACCAGGAGGCTACCATCAACAAGACAGGAGGCTACCATCAACAAGACAGGAGGCTACCATCAACAAGACACCAAGAGGCTACCATCAACAAGACACCAAGAGGCTACCATCAACAAGACACCAAGAGGCTACCATCAACAAGACACCAGGAGGCTACCATCAACAAGACAGGAGACTACCATCAACAAGACACCAGAAGGCTACCATCAACAAGACACCATGAGGCTACCATCAACAAGACACCAGGAGGCTACCATCAACAAGACACCATGAGGCTACCATCAACAAGACACCATGAGGCTACCATCAACAAGACAGGAGACTACCATCAACAAGACACCATGAGGCTACCATCAACAAGACAGGAGGCTACCATCAACAAGACACCATGAGGCTACCATCAACAAGACACCATGAGGCTACCATCAACAAGACACCAGGAGGCTACCATCAACAAGACAGGAGGCTACCATCAACAAGACACCAGGAGGCTACCATCAACAAGACACCAGGAGGCTACCATCAACAGACAGGAGGCTACCATCAACAGACAGGAGGCTACCATCAACAAGACACCAGAAGGCTACCATCAACAAGACACCAGAAGACTACCATCAACAAGACACCAGAAGACTACCATCAACACGTGCGCTACTTGACCCAGCCGTGTCTTGAAATGATCTTCTCACACCAAGACAAGAAACACAAGCAGACAGACTAAAGGGAGCTCACCACAGCACGTGTTGACCTGATTGTACTCACAACATAAGGCCACTGGAATATGTTTCATGTGTCGTCTGGGTGGGGAGAGTGGATGTGCGGTAGTAGTGGGTGGTGTGGGGGGGGGGGTGAATGTTGAGGCCGTGGGGTGGATGTTGTTGCTGACGTGTCCACACAGCTGGGTTGTGTAACCCCGTACAGATCTATGGCCCTGACACACCGTACTACATACGTAGACATTTTTTTAAATATACACCAACTATAAAACTAATTTAGTCACGTGACTAACCTACGTAAAGTCCTATCAAAAGGTCAATCATGTTTGACCAGACTATGTTCGTGTTGAAGTTGACGAGAAGAATTGGAAAGGGGAAGGGGGGGGGGGGTTGAACCACGATAAATAAACAATTGAGAATATTAACGGGAGGGGGGGGGGCTGAAAGAGGACCAATACTAGATGCTTGACAGAAAAAACAGAGACATGAAAAAGTTCGACACGCATGCAGAGGTAGGTCCCACCTAAAGAGGAAGGTCCCACTTAAAGGGGTAGGTCCCACCTAAAGAGGTAGCCCCACCTGAAGAATGAAGCACTGCCCGTGTGTGCCCTGAGATGCACTACAGCAGACGACACTAACATGTTTCTTGTCATCAAAACCATGCCAGGACAACCGGATATGACGTCAGCTAGGCAGAACCAGTTCATCAGTGAACCGTAACTAGACCTAACCTCGCCAGGCTAAAAATACCGTGTCCATGACAGAGCGTTGTATGCGTCAATTACAAATCAGCACGAGAAAAACATACTCCATTTTCAGTGTTTTGAATTAAATTTTTCCTCGGTGGATCCCAACTCTAGACGTTCGGGTTAGTAGTCTGGCGGTTTACCGCTAGGCCACGCCGCCCATTACATTGATACAATTAAGTTAATAAAGAAAAAAAGTTTTTTTTATACATGTCCACGTGACATTACTAGTGTCACCGTGACAAAATGTCACTTCATTTAAATATATAGCTACAATAAAGTCGACTAACTCCTCCAGGCAGTTCAATACGATTGTATGACTGAATAGCACAGTGTTTCTTCCAGACCAGTAGCGTAGCGAGGGGGGGGGGGGGGGCGGGGGGGACATATGTCCCCGGGCGCCGAGCTTAGGGGGCGCCAAAATGGGTTGGAAAAATAAATTGAAAGGTTGAGGGGGGTGCAAATTGAAAGTTTGAGGGGGGGGGTGTGCAAATCAAAATCTCGAGGTGGGGGGTGCAAATCGAAAGTTTGAGGGGGGGGGGTGCAAATCGAAATCTCGAGGGGGGGGGGTGCAAATCGAAAGTTTGAGGGGGGGGTGCAAATCGAAATCTCGAGGGGGGGGGGTGCAAATCGAAAGTTTGAGGGGGGGGGTGCAAATCGAAAAGTTTGTCCCCGGGCGCCGGGAAGAGTCGCTACGCCTCTGTTCCAGACTTTTCTCTGGGGGTGCGGGGGGGGGGGGGGGCGACTAAAAAATTACTCTACTGTGGTTTGGTCCACTGACACGATAGACGCGGCAGACGCTGAGAGTGCAAGATTTGTGGCATGGTTTAACCTCCTGATGACGTCAGCGCCGGAAGTTGTCTGATGCAGTCAAGGAAACTTTTAATAAACACCAGCCATAGCGAGTTCAACCCCCCCCCCCCCCCGGACTTCATGACGTCATTCACATCCGCGGGCTATAACAAAGACGGTAAACTCTATTGGTGGTTAAGGGGGGGGGGGGGGGAGACGACACAAGATAACGTAGGATACTTAGTTCAAATTAAGTTAGCAGTCCTATTTATTTGGTAAACACTATAATTATTTTACGTTAGGTGGGGAAGGCGAATGTGTGGCTACGCCCTTAGTTCTTCATGCCAACTACTCAACATTGTCTGAAAGCTAAACCTTAGCTCCTCTCAAGACATGGTAGACCACTGACACGACATTGTCTGAGAGCTAAACATTAGCTCCTCTAAAGACGTGGTAGACCACTGACTGGCACTACATTCTCTGAGAGCTAAACCTTAGCTCCTCTCAAGACATGGTAGATCTCTGACTGACACGACATTCTCTGAGAGCTAAACCTTAGCTCCTCTCAAGACATGGTAGATCTCTGACTGACACGACATTCTCTGAGAGCTAAACCTTAGCTCCTCTCAAGACATGGTAGATCTCTGACTGACACAACAAGACCATCTACTTCGATCCATCCACACTATCATAAACCAGTTCTTTATGGCTCGCTCATAAGATAGCACAGACGATAGATTGTAGGTCAATACTTGTAGCACAGACGATAGATTGTAGGTCAATACTTGTAGCAGACGATATATTGTAGGTCAATACTTGTAGCACAGATGATAGATTGTAGGTCAATACTTGTAGCAGACGATAGATTGTAGGTCAATACTTGTAGCACAGACGATAGATTGTAGGTCAATACTTGTAGCACAGTCGATAGATTGTAGGTCAATACTTGTAGCACAGTCGATAGATTGTAGGTCAATACTTGTAGCAGACGATAGATTGTAGGTCAATACTTGTAGCACAGATGATAGATTGTAGGTCAATACTTGTAGCACAGATGATAGATTGTAGGTCAATACTTGTAGCACAGACGATAGATAGTAGGTCAATTGTAGGCGGGTACATCAATCTTCACTTACCGTGGTTGTATAGTTAATGGGTGGTTTTATAATTAATGGTTGGATTTTACAATGGGTGGTTTAATAATTAATGGGTGACTATAATTAATGAGTGGTTTTATAATTAATGGGTGGTTATATAATTAATAGGTGGTTTTATAGTAAATGGGTGGTTTTATAATTAATGAGTGGTTTTATAATTAATAGTTGGTTTTATAAATAATAGTTGGTTTTATAATTAATGGGTGGTTTTATAGTAAATGGGTGGTTTTATAATTAATGGGTGGTTTTATAGTAAATGGGTGGTTTTATAATTAATGGGTGGTTTATAATTAATGGGTGGTTTTATAACTAATGGGTGGTTTTATAAAGGGTGGTTTTGGTTATTAGGTGGGGTAGTTTGTCTTGGGAAAAGTAAGTCAAGCAGTAGGGCCTACCAAGTTTTTAAAATATTACCAAAAAAAACATCGATGAAACCTTTCAGTCAGTGAAAAAACGACAAGTTTGTAGTGCACTTTTGAATCATTGACAACAACTGAGTTATCCCCCTTCTTAAGACAAAATATCTCCACAACGAAAACGTGAAGGGTTGCAGCACGATTAAGTCCCCTAACACAACACGAGATCACACGGATCCTGAGAACACAACACCACAATACCCGGAGCAGACATGGAGCAGACGACACGTCGTGCCAGCGTGACGGTGGCGACAAACCAATCACCTTCACCCTGCAGGTTATCACGTGGTCACACCACCACGTGCTGGACCCAACATACTTTATCTGGTGAGGTCACACGGCTTCTAATGAATGAACAACGGTCGCCCCCCCCCCCCCCCCACGGGCACCAGATTAGGCCGTCTCAAGTGCTGCTCTCAGCCTTTCTTTCTCACCGCCTGGCTGGCGCTAATTAGTGCAGCCAATCTACTCTCATTTGGCCAGCGTTAATTAGCGCAGCTCAGAACCGCTCTTTTGGTCAGTTTAAACAACCAAACACTCTCCCCTGACCACTAGCTCAGTGTGAGAAAAAGCTGGTTATGACTTCTTCAATTTTATATCACAGACAGCTGTCTATGTCTTGTTATGGACTGAAGACAGAAATACAGTTTGTGGTGTACATTTGTGTCCAGAGGATATATACGTGTGTGTATGTATAAATGGATTGGTTTGTTTTCATGCCACCTGTTACCAAATATATCACGTGGTTAGCAGATAATAAAATATGAACAATCCGCACATCAATCAAACGACCATCTAAGTAATAATGTAGAATCTATCAAACGACCATCTAAGTAATAATGTAGAATCTATCAAACGACCATCTAAGTAATAATGTAGAATCTATCAAACGACCATCTAAGTAATAATGTAGAATCTATCAAACGACCATCTAAGTAATAATGTAGAATCTATCAAACGACCATCTAAGTAATAATGTAGAATCTATCAAACGACCATCTAAGTAATAATGTAGAATCTATCAAACGACCATCTAAGTAATAATGTAGAATCTATCAAACGACCATCTAAGTAATAATGTAGAATCTATCAAACGACCATCTAAGTAATAATGTAGAATCTATCAAACGACCATCTAAGTAATAATGTAGAATCTATCAAACGACCATCTAAGTAATAATGTAGAATCTATCAAACGACCATCTAAGTAATAATGTAGAATCTATCAAACGAACGGCTCATCTGTACAATAATGTAGATTCTATCAAACGAATGGCTCATCTAAATATAGATTCTAGTCTACTGCAGCCGTATGTAAGGCGGTCTCGCACAACTTATTGCATGCTTAACAAAACATGCTTAACCCCCAATTGTGGGGGTAGGGCATAAGTGGTGGGGGTAGGGCAGCAGTGGTGGGGGTAGGGCAGAAGTGGTGGGTAGGGCAGCAGTGGTGGGGTAGGGCAGCAGTGGTGGGGGTAGGGATGGGACAGCAGTTAAAGGGGAGGGGGGGGGGTTAGATTAAGATCTTATTGTGTTTCCAAAACTTTAATTAATCAATACACCCACGATATAAAAATTAATGCTAAAATATGCAACGTGATTGACCTTTGAGAAGTCTAAAATTGTATTTAAAAAGCCCACTACAGATTGATTTACAAATTACCGTTTCATGAGAGATAATGAGATATTTCTTATCTTAATGAATACATCTAATCTACTGGGAGTTTCGTTCATTTTAACAAGAAAACTAATCGTGCCCTCATTTAATTACTACACACACGTGATGTTTATTTGACGAAATGGCAATTAGGAATTAATTAACTTTATATCAAGCTGTGCAGGGCGGATGTAAGAGAGAATGTTATTGATAGAGATGTACCTGCGATTCTTGCTGACGTCACACATTGTACCCGGGACAGTAACGGCTAATGACGTCACACATTGTACCCGGGACAGTAACGGCTAATGACGTCACACATTGTACCCGGGACAGTAACGGCTAATGACGTCACACATTGTACCCGGGACAGTAACGGCTAATGACGTCACACGTTCAATCACGTCCACCACCTGGCTGATTGAATCCCTCTCGTCCCAATCGATCACCCAATCGATCACCCAATCGATCACCCAATCGATCACCCAATCGATCACCCAATCGATCACACAATCGATCACCCAATCGAACAGCTGTATAAGGTCGATACTGGTACGAAATGGACGTCCCGTTAGCAAGTTTGATCACAGCAAATTATCGTCGGAGGAAATAATATTAGGCGGGAGATCAAAGGCAGGATGGTTTCTATTACCCCCCCCCCCCCCCGGACTCAGGTACTTGTGTTGTCTGTCAACTTTTTGGTTTGAACGTACTCTGTTTGCAGTAAACACGACAATACCAAAGATACAATTCCAATGTGTGTAGGTTATTCTAAACATCGGCACTGAGGCGTCTAGACAGCAGGATTTCTCTAGCCAATAGGTTACAATAGTCCTACAACACCCTGATGGTCCCGCATTCCCACTAGACTTCAACGAATTGTAAAAAGCTGTTAGACGTTAGGACTCGGATAATAAAATACAGTATACACTGGTTAACTCCATTCTTGTTGTTGTGTCTACAATCGTTTCAATAAGATCAAAGAAAGCCGACATTTCACCAAATAAAACCCTTTGAAGCCGACTTACAAATCAACAACAAAGACATAACTTTTAAAATTAGGCTAATATATCGATCTATCCATAATAATATTTATACATACACACAACTGAACATCCAACAAACCCAAGCTAGGCCAAATAACTACCCCCCCCCCTTTTTTTTTTGACGTGCTCCTCCTCCTCCTCAATATGCCACCACACATCAGCAGCAACTTGGGGTCCCCCACATACCTTAACACACAATGGGACTTTCCCCACTGGCTCCATAGGTTGTATAATATTTCTACACGCCATTGTAGGGCGCCCGTGAGGATGGGTACCTGAATCATGTTGAGGAAAGTAAAGGCGGCTAGGCATAGTGCTGACCACACTACCCTTTCATATGTCGAGGCTAAAGAAACAGGTGAACTCTACTTCTATTGCCCCGTGGACTGTGAGGCCAGAAAGGGAGCTACTCGTCTCCTTACCAACCCTAAGGTTATACTTATACAACTGACGTTCGTGTTATAATATGTGCGCTAAATTTAAACGGTCACAGTTTTAAAAATTATACTGGGGAGAAGCGAAGACAGTGTTAAGAGTTCGTGTGTTCTGGGTTCTGTAGGGAAAAGATGACGACCAAAGACAGTGTTATATAACCTTGTTCAATGGTGTGGTCAGCTGACCGTGGCGCATTTGACCCTTGACCTAAGCCTTACTCTACACTCAAACAGGAAGTGCCATTTAGAACAGGAAATGAGAATCTCAACGTCTGAGAGATCAACTTAAGTACGTCTGCAATGATCGCCCCCCCCCCCCACACGGGTCGTCTGCCTAGCACGTGTGTCCCCACACTACGGGATTGTAGGAAAAAAAGTCACAGGAAAAAAAAACACAGGAAAAAAAAACACAGAAAAAAAGTCACAGGAAAAAAAGTCACAGGAAAAAAAGTCACAGGAAAAAAAGTCACAAATATATATTTGCATGATATTTGTTAATACTTTTATGTATTAAATATTTAGAGAGTGCAAATTAACTTAGGATTAATTAAGTGTAATGTAATGTGTGTAGGCTGTATACGCATAGGAATTTTTATAATTAATCTAAAAATACTTAGTATGAAGTATGTAGATTGTAATTATGTTAAACTTAAGATCAGTATCATTTAATAGAATGCTCCGAAGTCCACGTTTTCATCGTGTTTTTTTTTAAATACCAATATTAAATTACCGTGAAATGGTAAGTTCATCTGACTTGCTGCCCTCAACTCATGGCAACAATAGGTATGCTTAGTTCAACCACCTTTACTGCCCACATTTATCACGCTCATTACATAACAAAACATAGGATCAAAACAGAAAGCCGACAAGGTTCAAAGGCGGTCATTGACGCATGACGTCAAAAACACAAAATATGTTCGGACAATGCCTACTGAGGAGAGGCCGACCAGAGAATAGCCTACGGCTAAATTTGCCTAAATTTCTTTTATAATTAACTTTTCTACCGCGTATTTAACTAAATACGTGAGAAATGTTGAGATTGTTGTGTAAATTATCTAAGAGTATTTTTACTTACAATTGTTATAAACCATAATGCTTTTAACGTCTATAAATAATTTATGCCATCATAAAATACAACCCACAACAATAAACATACACAATTTTACAATTCTTAACAAATAAATCAAAATATTTCTAAAACTATTTTTGTGACTTTTTTTCTGTGACTTTATTTCTGTGACTTTTTTTCCGATAAAATTTTTCCACTGTGACTTTTTTTCTGTGACTTTTTTTCCTAGCAAAAACTGTGACTTTTTTTCTGTGTTTTTTTTTCCTGTGACTTTTTTTCCGTTTACCCACTACGGAACACCCCCCCCCCCCCACACACACACAGTACGAAACACTGCCTCCCTCCCCCAGACTACAGAACACCCCCCCCTCCACATACTGTATGAAAGATATTGCCGACCACCCCCCCCCACCCCCGGTAAGTAAAGACATACTTATATTCAGATGTGTTTCATCCATTTCAAAAGTATTTCAATGCAGTGGCGTAGCGAGGTCGGGTGTCACCCGGTGCGTCGAACTTTCGATTTGCACCTCCCCCCCCTCAAATTTTTCTCTATATATTTTACTAATTTTTGCCTTGGTGTCACCCCCCTAAATGGTGTCACCCGGTGCGGTCCGCACCCCCCCCCCCTCTGTTTCAATGTACTCCACAGCCTTCCTAGTTTTATTTATCTTACTGAACTTACTGACTTTGAGTCCACAAAGCGATTTTCTATGTAGATGTTTCTTTGATTCTCAATGATACGTCACATTCCCCACCCCACCTAATACATCGTACAAAATCTACCCCTCCCCCCTGTCTCGACATACGTGATATAATGTTTAGATGACCGTACACATTGCTCAAACGGTAGAGACCGGAGAAAAGGACTTGTCATAAGACAAACAGGTTACATACCAAGGTTGGGAGTCGAACATAAAAAGCTGAGCTTGCAGTAGTTGTAATCTCAGCTAGCAGTAGTTGGCGTGGAAAGGTTCAATACTTGTTGAAGTGAAATACTTGATCACAACATGTGGCTCGGCCACAGCTG